AGTGACTTGCCAAAGCATGACAATGAAAATGGAATATCTTTAGTCTCTTTTAAAATAGAGGAATATTTAAAGTAAATATAACAAACCACTATATTTGCATTTTTGACAAAAAAACTTAAATTTATATATAAAATTGAAACGATATCTGTATTTCTTCTTCTTAATTGGCATACTCAAATAAATCATTAAAAATTATCCTTCCATGACGGCTTCTCCTATTGCATCATAGATTCCTTTCACCTGCAAAAGCACACTTTCGTTTCCGCACCTCCTGAAACATTTCGTGTTCAACAGCCCAGCCACAACATTTAAATTTATTAAGGCCATAAAATGATATTTTTGCGGCCTCAGTCAGCGTTGCTACAAATGGGCTCATAAATATTTAAAACCGCTTAAAACACGCACGAAAACCAAAAACCCAAAGCTAACAAACGTTTAATTTTATTGCCCTGGCCAGCGACCGCATCCCCCATCCATCGGCCATCGGCCATTCCATTCCCAATCCCTTCCTGCTCTCTTAAAGGGCCCTTCCTTGGCGCACTCAAGTCGATAAAAGATTTTAATTCACTTTTGATCGCGTTTGGGGATCGCACCTTTTCAAATCTTTGCTATGTCTTGACCACCCAAATGCCAAGAGGCCATTAAAAAGGCATAAAACCAGGCTTAAATAGTATTACCAGCCATCTCCATGCAGCTACATGATCCCAGCTAATTGAAAAGGTAAAAAATGAAATTTGTGTAAATTATTTTCTGCATAAATTAGCCATTTGATGACTGTGCAGTGGCTGGCATGTTGGCACCTGGTCGGGCACCACCTGTGCAGGCAAAGCTGTCCATGGCCTGTCAACAAGGATTTGCATCGCATCCGACTAGCTGTGTTATTGGCAGCGGTGCTGTCTATAAACATGGCTGAATTGGCAATAAAATTTGCTAAAACGACACTTAATTTTAAGTACTTTATATGGCCGAACAATGAGTCAGAATCGTACTTAATATTTCAGTTAGGAGAACCTAAGATATAATAATTTGGATATATTACCTAAAGGCCAAACACATTTAAGAAACCCTACATTGTATTGAAAGCTAATTTAATCAATTGAGGAACTTTTTTATTGAGCAGTTAAGCAATAGATTAAAAATGTTTTAAAATTTAAATAGAATTGTCCTGTAATCGTTGTAGTTTCCTTTCCCAAACACCAATCAAATTTAGCGAGAATCGCGCCAAACAATCACCACTGACTGGCACCTATTGACAATCTGACAATCAAGCGATTTTATGCCGGATTTGATGGCCTCCGTGGAGCAGTTGGACATTCGGTCCGGGGCCAAGGCCAGGTTGGTGGTCGTTTTGATGACTCTGGACCATTGCTTGGATGTGTGCTAAGGCCCTGGGTGGGTCGTAAAAGTTTTGACGATCCCTCCGGAAGCGAATTTGTTTTGGCACTTCGGCTAAAGCTAAAAGCTAAAGGCTGGAAGCAGATCGGAGTTTAATTTTAATTAAATCTCAGCGAAGTCAGAGTTTTATTTATATGTCTGCCTGGCGTTTTGTTAACCCATTAGCGGCGACAACGTTTTGACCGGCCACTATATTGCAGTGGCCGTTTTACAGTTGTCTGGCCTGCAGCAAAAAAAAAACACTGGATCTGGCGGGGATTGAGGGGTCAATTCAGAGATCGGAGATCGGGGAGAGAGTGGTCCGTCTGAGGCGCTGCCATGTTTAGTGGCAATTAAAATGTTTTTATCTTATTAGTGCGTCTTATCTGCGGCTGCCATTTTAAGATATATGCGAGGGACGTGCGCGAAACGCCGACCACAAACAGTTATCGATTGTGCAGCATCTATGGGGCATCTTGAGTTGGGGCAAGAGAAGGTAGTCCAAGAGATTAAGCTTGATTGAAAAAATTTTTTAAGTTCTTCTACTGTTTAATAGAGTTTATACTGGCCCGTTTCTGCTTGCTTACTTATTTCCCACAGTCTTAATATTTGTTGAAGAAAAATGTTGATTGGAATATGTCTAGATATCCACAGTTGTTTCGGATTTGGTATATTTTTTAAAATGTTTTTTTGGAATACAATTTTTTGGTGTTTCTCTGATTGCCTTACTAAACTTTTAACCTTTCGTTTCTGAACAACTCCAGTAATTGTGAGCCTGGCAGTTAATCACATGCAACACCAATCAATTCCAAGCGCCTTTTAAGCCAGCGGGCCAGACACAAATCAATCCCCCGATTTGCACGCTTCGACATTTCTCGATTGAATTATTATCACCAGTGTCGCACTGGGCCAGGCCAGCTACCAATACCCAGAGACTGGACACGGGACATGGGACATGGGACACGGGACACTGAACACGGGACACTGGAGTCGGGAGTCGGCAGTCTAGAGACCCAAGTTCGAACCCGATCCAGAGACTGACAGCTGTGCGGTGACTTTGACTGGTCCCGGGAAGGTGGAACCCGGTCCGTTGACCACGACCACAATGCCCCAGTGGCCATGTTCATGTTGGGCTATTGGCCTGCTCGTCTGTTGGCCGAGTGAAGCGGGCGACCATATTTGCAGCAGTCGGACCAACGAGTTGCAAAACAAATTTGTCAGAGTGTTGACCATTTTTGGGCAGGCGTTGCAACTTTGGATATGTGATTTGTGCAATGCGTTGCTGATGTCGATGTTGCTGGTGTTGCTGATGCAGTTGCAATTGCTGTTGCTGTTGATGTTGTTACTGGGGACGTTGGTTCCGGCGCAATGTTGTCATTAGCTAATTTGGCAGCCGTCCGCGTTTAATTAGAGGGCCGCCGCGGAGCTCCGACCCGGAGCAACACTTTCGATTTTAGTCCCCCTGTGCTGCCCCCTGATCGGCCACGCCCTCACTGCGGCCCTGCCCCGCCCCTCTCCGATTCAGATGCACTTCAAAGAAATATGGCTTTCAAATTTTAAATTTGGGGAATCTTAGCGTAAAGAAAAGGCTTTACCAACAGGATTAATGTGTAAATTTATAAAACTAAATAACAAATAGTAACCTTATTTTTTAAAACAATCTCTTATAATGTATTTCCCTATTTAAAAAGATATTTGTTAAGAAAGATTAAAATTAGAATGAGCATTAAATACGATAAGGTAATTAAAATTACTGTTATTACTTACTTAAATTTAATAAATCCCTTTATAATGTGGGTTAATCGTTTAACCAGATTAATAGGGCTTTTCTCTTAGACTTCCCAATCTCAAACCAAATTCGAAATTTTTGTGAGTGTGCCAGGTTGAGATCACGTCTCACGTAGAGGCCATTAAAGGCCACAGCATCACGATCGAGTTGAAGCTGGAGTAGGAGCAAGAGATGGAGCTGGGCTTTTGAGCTGGAGCTGGGAGTCGGAGCTGAGTGAATGACTTTGAGCTGGCCTGTCGTCACACCCCCATGTAATCCTCGCACGATCTCTGCGCTTGAACCTTTTTGATTACGGCCCGGGCAACGGAACCGCCAACCGCCGACTGACTGACAGACCCGTCCACTCCTCCCCCTCTCTATCCCCCTCCCCCCTTGTGGATCCCCCAACCCGAAACGTCTCACAAAGGTCGTTAAAGTCGCATGGCTGCCGTTGCCGCTGGGCCCGCAGATTTTCCGGGTCTTGGATCTTGGCTCTTGGCTCAGGGCTCAGGGCCTTGTCCTTTCTGCGCTTCATCAGAGCTTAGTTATGATCTAGAACACCCTAACAACTTTGGGGGCTTACTCCATTTTCATGTAGTTAATGTAGGTAATAAGTTGTTAAACTTTAAACTTTAAAGTTTTTTTAAAAACTATTTCTAGAAATTATTTTCTGTACCTATTAAATAATAGTTAAATCTTTACTTTTGTTATATCAAAACCAAAATTATATTAGCTTCGATTTGTTTTTGATTTGTTTTTGATTTCTATCAATAAACCAGACTTCTTTCCAACTATATTCAGACTCATTCAATTTTATTGTAACATCAATTAAAAAGTATTTAACATGCATTCCAATTTTCAACACATTTTCCACCCATAAAAATATTGCATTTCAATTGACCATGTTTTAATTTGCCACAATTTGTCACCATGTAATTTCTCTGGCCATAATGGCAGGTTGGTAAGAGTGTACCAGAGTCTTTCGCATACAGCGATCAAACCAAATTTTCTCTTTTCATTGAACGTTGTGCAAATGTGCTAATCCGAAGGAGGCTGCTCAATCCAATATTTGGTATTTTTGAAATACCGTCACGTTTCAACATTTTACTACTCACTTGTGGCACGTTGTTGCCATTGAGCATATCAGTTTGGAATTTTATTGGCCACGCTTCTTGCCTGCGTAGCTCCACTCCCCTCTCCTTCCATCTGGGCATTCAACTTCATCCTCATCCTCACCATCGCCTGTGCCATTTGGAGCTCGCTGATCTTGGCCTTGATAGCCGCATATGAAGGCGGCCACAAACCATTCCCCATTCCTCCGATCTGCGATCACCAGTCCCCGTTCTCCGTTCTCCACTTTCCCGGCTCCTGACATTTATATTGGCAAATATTTTAAATATTCCCTGCTCCCCGTGTGGGAGTCGTCTTCTTCCTGGCCAAGGCTTCAGGTGTCGTTATCGCGTCTCAATGGTCTTTACGACCATTCGATGGGTCGGAGGAATCTGGGACAGTCGACAGACAGTAGATGGACCCACAGGCCTGACCACGTCATTGTTTCCCAATCGAAATACTCTTAACTATAATTGGAATTTTTATTGTCATGTGAAGTTTAAGCGGGTTTGGTCGGTAGTGAGGGGTTCTCTTTGGGGCGGATCAACCCTTTATGGGCGATTAACGTTTTATAGTTTTAATTAAAAAGGTTTTGAGGGGCACTACTTTTTTAGATTAACTTAAAGAAAGCATTTTATTTTAGTAAGAATATGCTAGGAATACAAATTAGAGATACTTTAGTTTCTGAACAAACCTCTAATTATAATATTCTTATATTATAATTTCCTTTGGCTTCTGTCACCCACAGCTGTCACACCTTTACCCACCTACCGTCAGAATGTCGGCGATGCCGCTCCCATCGCTGCTCCACCTGCAGAGGGACTACAACTGGGTTTCGAAGAAGCTGGAACTATAGAGCTGCAGGCCCAGGAGAACGACTACGTTCTTGAGGAGTCGGCTCTGAGAGTACCACTCTCCCCTCCGCCAAACTATTGTCCTCTTCCCTTGACACCGCCACCCAGCTACACGGAGAGACCAAGGTCAGGCCAGGAACGAAGGTCCCACCCAGCAGATGCAGTCCATCCGGCCACGCCAGCACGTGTTGTGGTAGTCCCAACTTCAGGAGCACCTGCAGCAGCCAGTGATTTGGCAGCACGTCAGCAGGCAAGACGACGACGGCGACTAAGAGAACTCCAGCAACAGCAACTGCACTTCGCATCCAGCACAGACAGCTCCAGCAGCTCCGGATCCAGTTGCTCCGAGTTGGGTAGCGGTTGCAGTGCCACCCGCCGACAGCGTCGACGCAGGCGGGGATTGAGGGGTAAGTAGCCAAACCCATAAAACTCTTTTATTTCAAACCCTCACTCATATCATTATCCCTTTCAGATGCCTATTGTCCGGATCTGTTGAACGCCTGCTCCCTGATTCTGCAGCAACCCGGCAGTAGTGACAGTTCCGTGGGAAACTTCACGGCCACGCCCCCACCCCCAACGACTGGACACCGTGATCACCGGAATCCCGCAGCGGAGGAGAGTTTCGAGTACAGCTCGGACTATGTGGAGATCGACGAGCTGCTGCCTCTAGTGGCCGGCGAGCGAGCGAAGAGCACTCCGCAGCTGGCGATGGGTCAGAACCTGAGCCTGCGACGGCCGCGCATCTCACTAACCTGGGTGCTCCGAGAGCAGCAGCAGACGCAGACGGCTCCACAATCGCAAACACCGCCATCACCGCAGAAGGAGGTGTCCAAGGAGCCTGTGGATGGCCACGTGGATCGCAAGGAGAACGAGGTGTTTGCCTCCAGGAAAGAGCCCGTTCCCACCCAGCTGGATGTCACCAAGAAGCGGTACAGGGTCAAGCAACTGCCGGGTGGCGGTGAGCCGCTCAATGGCTATGCCACCACGCCCACCGCCCACCAGGCTCCGCCCAACGGTCACCTGGCGAACCAGAAGTTCTTCAGCAACCAGAATCTGCTGGACGTGTCACGGAGCGGACCAGGCAGTGCTCCAGTGGCCGCCGCCTCCACCAAAGAGCTGCTCTTCGTGTGCACACCCCAGCGGGCGCCCAGGAGCGATGGACACAGTGAAGCCCTGCTCCTGGCCAGAAAGCGGAACGAGATCCGCAAGAAGTTGGCCACCCGCCTGCAGCAGGCAAGATCCAGCGGCTCGCAGGCGGGTGAGGCCAGGGGATCGGCAACGGGAGCAGAGTCCCTGAAGTGCACCTCCTACTCGGAGCCCAGTTTGGTGGCAGCCTCGGAGGGCGGTGGAGTGGGAGGATCGGGCGGAGGAGCAGCTGCCCCCCAGCAGCAGCGACGCCATAGGCACCGCAAGCGCAGGGATCGCAATCGGGTGCAGAGATTCGGCTACGAGATTCACAACGTGGACGAGTTCCTCTCCCGCTGCTCGCTCGCCGCTCCGGGCAACATACCCGTGGTCCTGGCCACGGCTAGTACCCTCTACCAAACGCGACCTGGTGGCTACCAGCTGGAGATTCCCCTGCCCCTGGGCATGGTGGTGAATGCGGTGTTCAAGAACCAGAACTGGCTGTATGTGCAAACTCCCCATGCGGAGGAGGGATATGTGGGCTATGCCTGCTGTCTGCCCCTGGGGATTCTGCCCCAGCAGGCGAGGGCCGGGTCCAGGAACACCCCCTGCTGGGAGACCAATGCGGACGTGTTCCCTCGTCCCTGCGGCAACATGACGGACTCGGAGAAGGAGATCCGGCTGCGGGGTGGCACCCGTTCCGATGGCGCCCGCACTCCACGCAGCTCAAAGGCTACTGAAGATGTCCTCAAGATCAGCACCACCACCATCAACAATAACAACAACCACAGCAACAACAATAACCAAACGCAAGGCGGGAGCACAGCCAGCTCCTTGTACGGGGAACAGCAGGTGGACAAGCTGTATCTGAGGGCTGCATCCAAGCCGCGTCTGGTGGAGAAGGCCTACGCCCAGCTGCGTTCCACCCGCCAGGTGGCCCCATCCGGTTCCGCTTCGGCCAAGAGCGGCGCCTCCCAGGACGAGTATGTGACGCTGCAGCAGAAGGCCAACAAGAAGCAGCCGAGTGGTGCGCAGACCCATCTCCACCAATCCCAGCCAGCGGCGAGGCGGCTCTCCAATGTGTCCTACATCACCAACGGCCAGAATGGCCAGCATCTGCATCCAAAGCTGGTACCACTGCCACCCTACGAACACAAGCCGGCCAAGAGCCAGGCGGAGGCGGAAGCCACCTTGAAGGCGCTCCGCCGCCAGCAGGAGGTGGGCCAGCGGCAAACTCTAGTCGCCATCAACACGGACTACATCACGGAGAGCATCGCGGTGCACAAGGGCGAGATTGTGACGCTGTGCGAGTGCCGCGAATCCAAGGACCAGCGCCAGTGGTTCTACGTTCGGACGCGGGACGGACGAGAGGGCTTCATTCCGGCCGAGGTGGCCGGCCATGGCTACCTGTAGACCTCCACCGCCTGAAGATGGGTCGCTTTGGGTCTTTGAAAGGATTTTAGAAGCAATTAGTAATCTATGGACATTGCTAGGTGGCTTTTTTGAACGTTTCCTCATATCACCTTAGTTGTAAAATCTTAATTTTTACGATTTATAGTCATATGTATATGTTTCAAACTATTGTGGGTATAACAATGGTTAAAGGCCATTGCCGATATCATAACGAAATCATGAAAAAGCTAAATTTATCTAAGGGATTAAAAAGATAGCAACCCATAGTATTAAATTGTTAAATTGAGGTAAACTCCGCCTTTACGATTCTTTATCCCAAAACGACCCATCCAACCCCCCAGCCCACCCCAAAATCAAGTCAAGCTCTACATTTAACTCAATTAGAAGTATACCCATGTTAATCACTTATAGGCCTGACATTTCATTCGCGATCCTTGGTACGCTTCTAGTTGTAAACTCGTATTGGTGTCTGTAATTAAATACTTGTATCTGTGTATGTGTGTGCGTGTGGATCCTTGAAAGGATCTTGTATTTATCTAGCCTAGCATTACGAGTAGTCTATGTAATAGAAAACTTGCTTAACGAAAATCAAAGAGGAAAGCGCAGACGGAAACTATTTATAAAATTACTGTACTTGATGCTTCTACTAAATAATATTAACAGATATTTAAATAAATATATAAAAGTCAAGTATGATTTTTTTTACTTTTGAGCAAATGGTTGGGATTAGAAAGTTAATGGTTTTAAAATATTTTTAATTAGTTTTTATTATCCGCGTTTTTAAAAGATCGAATATGTGTATATGAACAATAACATACAATTTTATCAGGATTTATCTTATGTTATACGTGTATTGACACAATTGTAATATTCCAATATTTGAGCTACTTGTGAATATTTTATCTATATCAGAAATCGCAATCAGATTTTTATACAATTTTGGCCAAAATTTTACTTATTACAGCATTTAAATTTGTTAACAATAACTTTTACGAATATTTCGTGGTATTCAAAATAGTTTATCAATGAGGATCTCTTTTAATGTATTGTTTATGCACTCTACAAATAAATGGCTTATTAAAAATATAAATACCATATGCTTATTCTATTGATATCAATCTGTATATGCATGGGTTCGATTTAAAATTATTGCAACCTTCGATCCAGAGGAGTTTCTTTTAGAGGCACTCCGCACTCGATTTAAAATTATTGCAACCTTCGATCCAGACGAGTTTCTCTCAGAGACACTCCACAATTTTAACAGGAAGAGGTGTTTCTAGGTACTAAATTTAATATGAGTTCACTTAGGGTGTAAGTCGCTTTGATGATCGATCAAATGAGCATATCGTTAGTACAATTTAGAGCGAATGAAGTAGACATTTACAAAAGTTGGGACCGTTGCTGGGTTGTAAAGGGCCCCTAAAGAATAATTTACAATTGACTGGCCAGCCGTGCCTAAATTGAGCAAAATACAAAATTACAAATCGAATGCAAGACAAATGCTACACAGAATTACATAAACTCACGTACACAACTAAAATTCTATTAATTAAATTAAACTAAGGTTTGTATATAGACACTTTAAAATATCTTGTTGACGACTTAAAATCTAACCAGCGGGTAAAGTTGACTGACTACTTGCGAAATTCCGGACTGGAGCTGGGCGACGCCGTCGACACATTGTCGAGGTTGGTGTTCGTATTGTCGAAGCTCTCGTGCTGCGGCTCCGGCTCCGTGGGTGGCAACGGTTTGTCCAGCAACACGGTCATGTTCTTCACGTTGCTGGGCTTCTCCTCATCCTGGTTTATGTTAAGCATGGCGTCATTCATGCGGTGGTAGTGCGGCTTCTGCGAGGTGCTAGGACGCGAGTAGTCCAGGTGATCATATTCATCTAGGGTATAAAATAACCGAATTACATAATTGGTACTTTAGAGGAGCACTATAAACACTGGACATGAGTGAAAACTAACAGAGCACTACAAAGAATGGGTTTTTAACACTTGCTTACCCTCGGGAAATAAAATCTTGCTATAAATTTTCACTGATTTATGCCAAAATGTGTGCGCAAATGTGGAGTACATAGTTAGTTGCGAAATTACTAAGCATGATTATTATAAAGTCTAAGCACATACCCGGATCCTTGTAGCCCTCCTTGTGCTTAATCTCATCGTACACATGCTCTTCCTTGAGGGATTCATTATAAACAATCGGGTTGGTCAGGTCCGCATTCAAGTTCTTTGTTAGCAGGTCATGGTTGTAGTTGACTGAATAGCTGCCTACTGGAAATACAAAATCATTATTAAACACTGACCATTAAGGTCAAATTGTAAATGTCTTACCCCTTCCACTGGCATTGGAATCATCGCCGCCATATTCCGTGCTCATCGAGCTGCTCTGGTCAAAGTTGTTCATCTTGGGGCGCATATTGTTAGGCAAAAGGCGCGTATCCGCTTGCATGCCGTACACGGGATTGTCAAAGTTGTGGTTACTGGGCGGCCAGCCAGTGGTGTTCGTGTCATGTGTGTAGTGCACATGAGCAATTTCCGTTTTCAGGTTGGACACACGTCGGCGATAGTAGAAGAATACGGCAAAGATGATGAACGCGAACAGGGTCATCAGGACCAAAGTCAATGCAACACTCGCTCGGCTCGCTGCAGGTGAAAAGGTTTCCTTAATGAGTAATGTTATTGAGTCGAGCTATATTAACTTACAATCTTCATTCTGGTCTGCAACTCGTTGGGAGGCGATCAGCTCGTCGCAGTTAGTGCCCATGTAGCCACTCCTGCACACGCAACCATGAGCCGCATGGCACTGGAAGTTGGCCGAGGGACAGGCGCAAGCATTCATGCAGTGCTCGCCGTAAAATCCCTCCGGACAGATCTCGTCGCAACGTGGGCCCGTCCAGCCCGTCTCGCAGATGCACATGCCGTCGTTCTTGCGACACACCTTGTGGTGCAGACAGCGGCATCGTTGGGCGCATCCTTGGCCATAAGTGTCCGTGGGACAGGACTCGTGGCAGTTGGCGCCAGTCCATCCGGGAAGGCACTGGCACTGACCGCTCACGTGGTTGCACTCTCCGCCATGCTCGCAGTTGCATGTGAGCTTGCAGCCGGGTCCGTAAAGTCCTGCCGGGCACGGATGCTCGCAGGTTAGTCCAAGGTAACCAGTGCGGCAGAGGATCTCGCCCGTTATGTGGTCGCAGCTCTTATTTCCTGTAAAATGGGGAAATGTTAGAGATTACTTGGCTACACATTCTTTATTGAGCCCAATCCAAAATCCAAATGGAATCTTACCATGCAAGATCTCCGGGCAGCGCTCCTTGCATTCCATTCCATAGAAACCAGGTGGACAGGGCTCGGCGCAGTCGGCTCCCGTCCAGCCGGACGAGCAGATGCAGTTACCGGAATCGGGGTCGCAGGACGAGTTGTTCAGGCATCTGCAAACTTTATCACAATTTTCACCATAGTAACCGCTCCGACAGTTGGTCTCGCAATGAACGCCTTGGGTTGTTTGTTCGATGGGCATCAGACATGGACAACAAAAACCAGAAACACACAGGTGCAAAACCAGAAAAGCGAATTAAATTAAAGAAATGAAACGTAGGCATGCAAAATAGATGCAATTGAAATGAAAATAATGAGATGAGTGCGGAGCATTAATGGTTTGAGTTGGTATTGAAAATTGGTTAGAGGTAAAAATCCCGCAGGAGATATAACCTAATCAGAGAGCCCATCTCACACTATTCCTTAAAAGATTTTTTGTTTACAATTTAGGAAAATAGTTAAATTTAATTTTCAATAATCTATAAATCTGATTTCTACTCTCTTTTTTTTTGAGATCGTTTAAAGGATTCTTTTTTTGCTGGATTGTATTATATTATTGCTACAAATAAGATATTAAAAAGACTAGCAAATCATGCAGGCATACAAACTGAATAAAATGGTAACAAAAATCTTAAAAAATAAAAGATTCCTAAGATTTCCAAAACATACACATTTTAAATTTTAAGTGGAGCATGTTGATCTATTATCTTGCTTATAATCTCAATGACCTATCATCTTGCTAATTATCTGAATGATTTATGATCTGCGTGAGGCGAATTTAATGAGAGGTATATAGAAATCCCAGTAGTACCTCCCCAGTCCTGTTTGCATACGCAACGTCCGTTGGTCGAGTCGCAGGCCAGGCTGTTGTTGAAGTCGCATTGGCACTTTTGGGCGCACTCGTGTCCGAATTTTCCCGGTTCGCACTTCCGATCGCAGCGCTCGCCGGTCCAGCCAGCGGCACAGGTGCAGCTTCCGTTCTGCGGATTGCAGGCGGCATTATTCTGGCAATCGCACTGCTTGGCGCAGTCCAGGCCATAGTGTTTGAGGTCGCACGGACGGTCGCACTTTAAGTTCTTCCAGCCGGGCGTGCACACGCACTCACCCGACTCCGGCATGCACCTGGCTCCATTCTCGCAGTTGCAGCGCAGAGCGCAATCCTGGCCAAAGGTGCCCGGCGCACAGCCTTCCTCGCACGTGGCTCCCTTCCAGCCGGGCGCGCACAGACAGGTTCCATTGATCGGCGAGCACTTGGCTCCATTCTTGCAATTGCAGGTCTGCTCGCAGTTTACACCGTAGCGAAGGAAGGTACAGGGTCTGGTGCACTGGGCACTGCTCCATCCAATGCTGCACTGGCACTTGCCCGTCTCCGGGTGACACAGATCCGTGTGCTCCATGTCGCACTCGCAGGTGCGGTTGCAGTCCAGACCGTACTTGTCCGCCTCGCAAATCCTCTCCTCGCACTTGGCTCCTCTCCAGCCCGGGTTACAGGTGCAGGTTCCGTTGGCCCGATCGCAGGTGGCATCGTTCTCGCAGTCGCAGGTCATGCTGCAATTCAGTCCGTACGTGTTCAGCGGGCACTCGTCGAAGCAACGTTCTCCCAGATATCCGGGTGGACACTCGCACTTTCCGGTGATGTGGTGGCAGGGTGCTCCTTTGTAGCAGGCGCACGTCTCCAGGCATCCCGCTCCGTAGCTGCCCACCGGACACTTGTTGGCACACACGCTGCCCGTCCAGCCGGGATTGCACATGCAGGCCCCGCTCTCCGGCTGGCACTTTCCGTCGTTCTGGCACGGACAATCCTGCTGGCACTGGGCGCCATGTTTGCCATCCGGACAGCGCATGTCGCATCTAGTTGGAGCGGAGGATTAGTAGGGTTTTTGGGGTGACATATCGGAGAGCTCAAGGAAAGCAGCAAAATCAATCGTAGGATGCAGTAATTTAGTATAAAAAACCTTAATTAACTTGCTTGATTCAATGCAATCTGCGTTTAATTTTGCCGTGATCCTGTGCCATTCGATGATGTCACCGAAAGACACTCCTCTCATTCCGTCCACTTACAGAGGACCCGTGAAACCAGGTGCACACTGGCATTCGCCGGACACGTGGTGGCACTTGCCCCCATTCTCGCAGCGGCACTTCTCCGAACAATTGGCCCCGAAGAAGCCCTCCGGACAGATTTCAGCGCAACGAGCTCCGGCAAAGCCCTTGGCGCACTCACAGTCGCCGGAGAAAGGCTCGCAGACCGCGTTGTTCAGGCAGTCGCACTGCATCGAGCAGTTCCGGCCGTACCAGCCCGGCGGGCAATCTACCGAAGAGTGACACAAACTTGGTTAGCAGCGGTTACGGTTCACGGTTACGGGTTTGACAATTAGTTGCTGCTTTCTTGCTGTTTTGCCGAGCTGCTTATAAGCCACGGCAATCCCAGGAGTCGGACGTAGTTCCGCTCCCGGATCTTGCCGCTTTGGTGAGGGGAATTAGTGGCCGTAAGCCTGCTTGCACCTGAATAATTGAGCTGGAGTGGACTGCGTGGTTGTGTGAGAGAGTGGGGTGTAGTGTAGTGAGTGGGAGGGCGGGTTAGATTTCGGGTCAATATGGCAACTTAAAAGGGTAAACCAACTCAAGCTACAAAGCAACATTAAGGAAGAAGACAAAGTACAACTACGGAAAAACTACGTGCAGATCTTCGGTAGTCCGAAGTAACAATGCCCTTGCATTGGCAATTTTTAGGCTCTTTCTTAAAATACTAACAAAAAAAAAAACTACCTTATTGTATTAACTAGAATCAAAGATTTTTCATTTCTAGCTTATTTTCATTTTATCTACAGTTTTTACATGATTTCAAGACATAGTTTTCTGACAGCAGTTGTATTAGTTAGATATAGTTATAGTAACTTAAGATTTTGATAAACTAATAATGTCCACGTGTGGGTTATATAAGCGAGTTCCTTTGTTTTACGAGGTAGGAGTGCCTGTTTGCCGGTCCCGGCTGATACACGTGCTCCCGGAACTCTTCCAGGTCGAAGTTGTTGGGTTCGTATCTAAATGGCTCCTTGTTTGGTACCGACGCTGAACTCGATTTATGATCAAGCTCTCCGAGTGAAGCTGTGTCCCTAGTCACCCTTTTAGTGGTGGTTCCGAACACATGCCACATGTCGTAGTCAGATTCCTCCGCCACCACCGACTGATGCATCATGCTATGGACACTCGGCGTCGGGGGTGGATAGTGCTGGAAGCATTCATCCCTTTTCGCCATGTCCTCCTCGATCTTCTGCACCATCGGATGCTTCAGCGTCTTGGCAAACTCCACCACATCTGCTGTAGTAGGAAAGCGATCCGTATCCGAGATATAGCTGTTTTCGTTCATGAAAATGTTCCGCCTGACTACCAGGTCTGCATCCAACTCCTCGTCCTCGTCCAAGTCACAGTCGCGGCAGTCAAAGTGGGTGATCTTCATGTTACCGCTTAGCGCGCATATCAGATTAATGCCCATCTTGGAGCCCACTGGAATGGTCGCCATTTTCAGACGGCGCAGCGGATCGTGGTGGCGCAGCAGATCGCCAATCTCGTCCACAACTATCCTAGGATTTGCCTCGATCCCGGAGACATTCAGCTCCTCAACGTGCTCGGTGCCCTTGATGCGGTTGCACAGTATGGTCAGCGCATTGCCGCTCATCTTGTTGTGGGCCAATCCCAGATACTCCAGCCTCTTAAGGCTCGGTCGCTGCAGTGCCTCCCCAATGGCCGCCATGGCCCGCACGTCCAGACGATTGTACTCGAGCTCGAGGGTCTTGAGCATGGACGGCCGATCCAGTAGCATTCCCAACTCAGGGCCACAGTCGCCGGTGATCTGGTCGTAGCCAAAGTCCACCACCTCCAGCAAGGGCAGTACATGCAACGCCCGGCACAACGGATACAGCTTGAAGCTATTCAGCCGGCTATTGCGCAGCCGGAAAATCTGCAGCTGCTGCAGGGCCACCAAGCCCCGGGAAAGGCGAACCATGTCCTTGACCGAGAAGAGCACGTGCCGCTTGTGGTACTCACGGCCCAACGCCGGACCCAGGAATTCCAGGTTCAGCGAGACTAGGTTGACAAAGTGGCGCACAAAAGATAGATCAATGTGCCAACAATCATCCTCCGGATATTTCTGTTGCTGCAACTGCTTCAGATACTTCAGCTTGTTGCGCTTGTCCATCACCTTGTCCTCGTGATCATCCGGTTCCGGCTCAACTCGGATGTCGAACGCGCCTTCGATGCGCTGCTTCCGCTTTCTTTTCCGACGCGGCTCTGGATCTTTGGGCCTCTGCTTCTCGAACCGACGAAGCTTGCGCTGCTCGTGCTCCGCTTGCTTGGTGGCCTTCAGATCCCGCAGCCGCTGGCGGGCGGCGTTTCGATCCTGCCGTCGTTTTCGCCGCTCGTTGCCGGAGGAGTCTTCGTCGTCAGAGATCTCGACATTCCATTTTGTGGAAAATCCAATTACTCTTTTCTTTGAAGAGTGAGATGTCTCGGTTCCGCCCTCGTCCTCCTCCTCCTCCCCCTCCTCCTCACCATCGTCCGGGGTCATGGGCTCATCGCTGGAGATTTCCATGCCTCCAGACTCTTCAGAGGAGATATCCGGCTCCGTGTCGTCGTCGTCGTCGTTTCCCTTTCGCCGGAAGGCAAACTCTGTCAACGACTGCAGGTGCCGAATGTCCATTGAGCGCACTTGATCTTGAATCAACTCGGCCAGCTCGGTCATCTCCTGCTCTGGCCAGAGGGCGGCCGGACAGGCTTCCACCAGCTCCACGTATTTGAGGCTCAGTCCCTTCCTGCGCCATTCATATTCGTGCAATTTCTTCAGCGAGAGGCAAGTGTCCGAACTCTTCGCCAAAACTACGCGCTTCCAGTAGCTCTCATCCTCCACGTAGTAGCACTCGCGCAGAGGCAGATTCACGTCGAGCGAGTCGTAGTGGATGCGCATCTTGAGCGGATCCTCGCGCACGGCAGCAACGGCCATGTGGGTGCCCCCACTCCTAGCCAACTCCCGGACGCACAGTTCCGCCAAAGTGGGCAGGTGAGAGGGGTTATTTAACACCTCTGCGAAGGTATCCCGATTATGCTCGGAAAGTATTGTCCGATTAACGTGTAGAGGAGGATTGTAAAGTTCGTACACGGCCAGCATTGCAGGGTCATTCGGAACGCTCAAGCTGTTGGTGTTTGGCCGGGGCAGGTAATCAATGTCCTCCTCGTCCATATTGTGTTCCCAGCTGTATCTTGTAGTGTAATGCCCTTTTTCTTTATTTTTCTTTTTTTTTTTTTGGTTTTTGTTTGAAGAGTTTTTGTTTCACTTTTAATGTGTTGTCATATTGTATTAATTATATGTAAATATTTGACATCTGATTATTTTGTACCTTGTTTGCATTTATAAATTCCTCATTGTATTTTAAACTCTTGCTGGAAAAATACTCTAATACTAAAAACATTTAAGGAATTTTAAATAATGTCGGATAAGCTTGTCCTTTGTATTATTATTACTAATTATTGATAAGCTAAATGAGTCAGCTTTCTTTCAAATTGTACTACTTTTTATATTTATGTACATTTAGAATAATTTGTAGTAAATAATTGTATTTGCATTGCAAGGGCATTTAGATTGACATTTATAAGCTTTATTGGTGATTGACCAAACACTTATCAACGGTTCGCGGCTCATCACAGGCAGTTCGAGCACAGGCAGTACTTTTTTCAGTACTTTTAGAAACTTAAATTTTAAAAATCCCGAACTGGAGGACGAGCCGCACCCCTGAAACACCCAAGGCGGTTCATTGTAAAGATATCGACACAAACAAACAGCATTTAGGCACAAAGAAAGAATAGATTAAGGGCTCAACGAACTTATATCACAGGCGGGTCCTCCGTAACCATGGTCGCACTTGCACTTCTCCGGGGAGATGCATCTTCCATGCTGGCAGGGTTCTGAGCAATGTGGCACACACTCTCCGGCGCTGGCTATATAGCCATCTGAAAGGTGTAAAAACGGATTAGATACCTGAAGACGGTTTTAAATACTGATCAGCCCAGCTTACCACAACAATCCCTTACAATCCGATTCTTCATAATAATCTGGGTCTTGTTAACCACTTTGTGTTTAATACGATAGGTGGAGCACCGGGGCGGGATGCTCATGCACCAGGTGGAACCGCGGTCCTGGAAAGATGCCAATTCTGTGTAGACAACTTCCACGGGATATCTAAAAGTAAGGGGTTACTCATTTAACTTGATACCTTTACAGGAAGTTCAAAGATATGCCTACGTTTCTCTTTTTTTACAGATATTGGGTCCATCCAGATCTTTAAGATCCGCCTGAGAATAAGCCAGCTGGGCCAGGCAGGCGATAAGGATCAGCCTCAACATGATGGCAGTGTTTTCCAGGTCCTGGAGTGGTTTTCTCTTATCTGATGTAGCTGCACTGGGGCATCACATTGAACTGACAATCACTGGTAGTTTTCAGTAAGGGATGACTCAAGCTGCGATTAATCCAGAGCTGTAGGAACAAAGGGAGAATGAACTACATTAGTCAGGCTTGCTCATGGTATCAGTTTTTTTAAATAAACAACTTATTACTAGTTGCAGAAAAGTACTTAATATAAAATAGAATACACCATAGTTGGGATTTATAAACCAAATCCAAGTAAGGTCTGAGTCCATGACTTTAAAGTCGTCAGATCCTGAACAAGTTAGCCCAGTCTGATCGTAGATAATTTCCAACACAGCCAGAAATTGAAGGCTGCTCAATAAGCAACTGGGAAAAGATCTCAGAAAACTAAATCATTCCAATCCCCCAGAGCGAAGCAGGAGAAGATGCACAAGCAACGTTTGCCCTTCAACGCCGGCCCGGGAGGATTTGGAGCCAGTGCCTTCAACTTCAATGCTCCGCAGTTCGGCGATGGCGGTGGATTTGGACCCGGCCCCGTTCCCGAGGGCCTCAACGGGATGCCATTCCTGGGTAAGGTGCCCACCAAGCCGCTGATGCGCTCTGTCAGCCGGCAGCGTTCGCTGGTCGAAGGAGCTGGTCTGGATTCCCTGCCGCCACCATCGCCGCTTCCCTCAATGGCCGAGCGCATCCTGAGCGGCGGTTTGGGTCGTGGCCAGCGTTTGGGCGTACCGCCCATCTCCAACTTCTATGCACCCTTCGAGGGCGACCATTCGATGTCCATGCTGGAGGACACCACTATGCCGGACTTCCTGAATCAGACTCCAGGTCAGGAGGAGTTGCCTCCACGTCCAGCCGGAGTTTCGGCCATTAAAGACACCGACTCGGAGAGTGACCTTTGCAGTCAGTTGAAGGGCGCGGTCTTGGCGGAATCCCGCTTTCGACGTGCCTACGGCTGCCTGATGGACACTCTGCCGGAGCAGCGGCGACGACGGTTGGAGGAAACGCTCCAGCGCTGCGGACAGACCGCTATTGCCAAGCACTTGCTGGTGCTGCTCCAGCTGCTGACCCTGGTAGTGGGTGTAGGTTTCCGCCAGGTCAAGCGTGTCGGCTGGTTCTGCGGCGGCGTTCGCTTCCGGGTGAGCCGGGCCCAATTCCAACTGCGCATCGCTCTGCGCCAGATGCTGTGGCGCCTGGCCAATGCCAAGGCCAATGACACCTTGCTATTCCTCATCGTGGTGCTGGTAACACCCTGGCTATTCCTTTTCAGCCTGGTGGGCTTTGCCCTATCATTCGTCTTCTCCATGAGAACGGGCATGGCGGAGGGCGTACGTCAGCTGCGCCGACGTCTATTTTAGGACAGCAGTCAGTGGAACAATCAAGGAGGTGGCCTAGCAGCAACACCCCAAGGAGCCACCTTCTCCATCTGACACAAACTTTACATAAGGACACTAGAGCAGCGCATTCCACAAAAATATACAAAACAAACTGCAAGAAACCACCTGAACATCAACTATATTTTGTGTTGCAGCAACAAAATAGAGCACAAAAAATGTACAAGTGTTTTTTTTAACTCTTACAAAAGCGAAATGGGATATCAGAACACAAAACTTTTTTTAAAAACTTAGTAAACCTAAATGTAAAGTACTTGAATTGAAATGCAATCAAATAGATTTTTCGTTTATATTGTAAAACCGCAGATGAATAAAATTTTCTGTATAATATTATTGCATACTTCGATTTCGTTAAATTCTTTAATTTGTTTTCAATAACAAAGGGGTGCTAAAAATCATTTATGTGTGAACTGATCAATAATCCGCCAATATATTTATTTGTTTACGATTTATTTCGCTTGCTGACCACTTGCTCGTTTCTCATCAATCCCATTTTTTATGTGTATTATTTTTGCAATTTATTTTGAATGATAAATATGGATACAAAACCAACAAAACAAAACGAATACATTTCCGCTGCTCATGGGGCAGCACAGCAGATTGTGGGCCTTTGTTGGTCATGCTCGTTGTAATTTCACTTTCAATTGCATCCCGCCAGCGAAGAGCCCATTTTCACAGCACCATGGTACTTCATGATTCACTGACTACTGATTGCCACATCTAATTCCCACAACATATTAAAAAAGCGTTCAGTGACTTTTTAGAGTTCTCTCAAGGGAACATCATCCTCCTGTTTCGATTCAGTGTCCCAGAGGAGCTGCATGGGTGTTTTCTCAGATTTCATTTCAATAGATATTGAGAACTTGAAATTAATTATGTCAAGTCTACGTGTGAACTGGGCCAAGTATTGTCCGATCATGGTTTACAATTACGAATGACCCATCAAAAATGGATTGCATAAATGTGTATCGGTATCAGTAAAATTACCCAGCCCAAACCATTTACAATTGATACCATAACCGTTTTTCAGGAAATTAAGATACTCTTCCAATACCAAACATTAGGTGCACAAAAGAGAGATGTTTCTTTCAACAGTCAGTCATTACGAACTGACATGATGCATGGCCCAGCAATGTTTGTTCAGTTGGAAAATACCTACAATTAGAGCAGGGATTGTCGTGATCCACAACCTCTATTTGTGCGGGAAATATAATTGCTGGTTACTTTTTTATCCAGCGTGAAATCTAATTCACTTAATAGCATGGCGACATGTGCTCCTAACTCTTCATTTCTCCAATTTGAATTCAGAACAGAAATGGTCATTGTCAAGGTTGCTATTAGCCAGAAATAGCGTGATGAGCTATAGAAAAGTAATAAAATGGCGCCACAAGAGAAAAGACTTGGGGAAAACGTAGAATTTTTAATCCACTCGGTAAAGTAGAAGTAGCTTGTCTAGCTTTTTTAAATCGTAAATAATTTACCCATTGAGAAAAACAAATTTGTTTTAATACTTCTCCGAAAATATTTTTATATTCAAAAATGACAGATAATACACAGATAGATTTATGTATTATTTAACTGATAATAGCTAGGGTTTTCATATCTCTTAAAAAAAATACACTGAGAGAATATAAACAAGGCAGTGATAACAACCGGCGGCCCCTCGACTCTGCTCAAAAGATTACAAAAGATAACGCTGGGCGATAAGAATAACCGAGACCATTCCGCACCTCTAACCCATCAGGGAATCGGTTTACTGATACTACGTACGTTTGTAGGTGACTAATTCGGTCTCCCTTTATATAAACAAATCTACGGAACGGAAGATGCGTAATCCGGTCACGGACATAAACTAATAGAATTATACCAATTCATCCTGTAAATAAATGAAATCTACAATGGGTGGCAAAAATGTGCGAACTAAACTAACAAATTTCAATTGCAACGTTTGTTTAAATTCTCTATTCTCAACAAAAAAATGGAATTAGTTCAGTAATCACAATCTGTTTAGATATTATCTTGTCTTTATGATTCCTGGTGATCAAAACAGATTGTGTTATCTGACAAAATTATCTTTTTTGAATATATATATATATATATCCTCAAAAGAAAAACTCTGCTTACTTAAAATTGAAAATTTGAACTTTTGACCCAAAAAAAGTAGTTGGATAATATATAATACAACCCATCAGCATTAATTTTAATTTGGCCACTTAAGGAGCAAATAAACTTTTATTTTGCTTCCGCATAAATCATATTAAAATGCGAAAAGCACTCTTATTATGTGAATTTCTACGAGAAAACGAGTTTACATTTGCAATTTACTTATTTGTTTACATTGCTGATTGCTGTTTTAATGAGCTAAATGAAAATGTCGTGGATGAGTCACTTTAAGTAAAACATTGCTAGACTATAGTCTATAAACTATGTGAATCGGTTAATTGTATAATAAACGAGTGTGTGAGATTTTTTCAATGGAAAACGTGTCCGGCACAGTCTATTTTATCGAGTATCGAACCCATTCACCATTCATAGATTCCGCATGAACAGCATCTGGTTTGGCTGAGTCACTTTGATTTCATTCACAAAATGTTTGTATAAACTTTTCTTTCGGGTCAGAACGGTGGGTCAATCTACCTCTGAAACCGAGGAGTTGTAGTTCCACCCTTTCCCAACAGATTGGTAATTGTGGCACTCCTTATGTTTGCTTGCACTTCTCTTATCTCTTAACAACGTTACACAAACATAAAAACCCCAAATGAGAGAAACCAATTGCAATTCTTAATCAGACATTAAGAGCCATACAAATATAGTTGGAAGCATAAATTGTTAGCACCTGTATTAGAAACTTGGCAAATAAGTTGAAATCCATTTCCGCTGCCCGTCTGTCTACGTGTCTTGTGCCTTTTAAGTGTTCGAAATGTATAGGTACTTATATATGACTAATCCCATGAAGACCAAGCAAGAAAATTACTTGAGTTTTGATGAAGGAAAATTAAGAAAATTACATTCAAGTGGATCGTGCAAACGTAGAGCTGTGGAATACATTTTTAGATTGAAGAAAAAGCTTTGTTGGACAGAATTCAAAGAGAATCATCTTTTTTTTAAAGATATTTTTGAAGATGAGAAGATAACAATTTGATTTCTATTTTAATAATGGGATGAACAGCTAGTAATTTAAAAAACAGAAGCAAAGTCTATTTTTATTGCAAATCAGGATTAATACAATTTTTTTTATATATTTAAAGTACATTATAAAAACGTCTGGATCTGGCGTATACGAGATATGCGAGATATATCCACTTCCCTCAATGGGATCTCTATACTGCGCACTTGATTAATACTAAACAAACAAAGATTGTTGGCTCCCGCTCTATATAATCAGAATTATTATATATGAGAGAGGCCTTCATTTGAGCTTTACTTTGGATAGTGGAATCAAAGTCGAATAAACCAAAACATCTCCAATAACCGCAACGCAAATTGTTCACATCCATTTGGGAATTTAACGCCTTGCAGGGCTGATAAAACACATTTGAAATAAACAATTGAAAAAACAATAAACATTTTGAATGGCAAGAAATTCAATAAATATGAAAACCAAATGTTCTGACTCTATAATTGATGACTAATCATAATTGATGAAATATGGTTCCGTTGCTTAGAGTCCCAAAATTCTCAAAGAGGTATTTTGACATAGACTTTAACTTAGGTTCAATGTGATGTTCAGTGATCAGGTTAATGGAAACTTTAAGCGTACCCAAATTTAAGAATTATTAAAAGTTATTATACTAGGGTGACAGTATAACTTCCACTTTAAAAAAAAAATAAGTGGACAAACGTGAACATATGACAAATTTGTAAGTATGTATAAGTAAAAATATTCGTAGCCACGTCAGCCACAGTGACAGTAATTTTAGCTGCTTAGACGTTTTCGTATTCATTTCACAGGTGAGTCCACATTTATCACCTTTATTTTACTTGCCCAATTAGCAGGAGAAGCTCCGATTTCTAACCCGAATTCGGAAAATGCTAGAAGCTACTAATAGAAATTCAGAGAACCCAGTTGTATTTCAACTGGAAATAAAGAGAACATTTGTTTATTTTTATAGAGGAATCGCACCCACACCTTGCAATGCAGACATACAACCAAGAATTTTGCATAATCATCGCAACTGAAACTACAATTGCAACAATACGGAGAAAGCAAAACAATGTTGGATAATGCAACGCCAAAGAAAATTAAAAAAAAAGTAGAGGGGCAGCAGAACACTGTTGTAATCATGATAGCACTGACGACAGACAACGAAAAAACTGTCTGTTGGGTTTTTAGGACCAGAAATCACACAAAGGCTTTATCCTATGTTTTCCGCCAGCCACTCCCTCGCACTCCACTATCAATAAAGCTGAGTAATTATGGCGACAACAAAGTCAGGCTCTATCAAGGAATCTGAACAGACTTTTACACATGTAGATACATATGTATATCCAAAACAGGGTGAGGAGCGCACCTCTTAGTGCTGTTTTAGCATTTCATTTTGCAATAGCTCGTGGAGAAATTGTTTGCGGTGCATTGCACTTTCAAGCTCAAGTCCTAAACAGGCGTCATCGTTCATCAAATCACGTATGATAATAATGATCAAGTTCCATTGCCAATGTCGGAATAATAAAGCTGGAAATCGCTTGGGTAAGTAAGATATGTGGACAATAAAAACATTTTATAGGGATTACATTTTTCAATGATTTGGTTCATTAATTAGAATACTTAATATTGTATGTGTAGGTAATACAAATATTACAAAATCTTAAGATTTCTAAAGTTATTAAACAAAAAAAACATGTATAGGGCTAATACAATTGAAGACCTTTAAATATGAGGATGTTGAAGGGGATTAGGAGCATATGTTGCAAACTAGCAACCAGGTAGTTTTAATGGGAATCCCCAGTTTTTATTATGAAAGAAATTGGACAAAAGGCAAGGACTGATACGACAATCGCGCGTCGTAAACAAATTTCCAAACGACATACGCCTATGCTTAAGCATTATATTGTACACAGTACAGAAAAATAATGACGCTTTAAGGATTCCGTCATATATTACACATACATTTGTTGGAATGTTGTGATATTTGGGTAAATCATGATAAAAATCTCAGCATGTTCCCCAGGGTCTTCAAGATTGGCAAAGCGGCACAGATAATTAAAATAATAATAATTGATTAATATAGGGGAACCTCCGTAAATCGAAAAACTTATAGATTTGAAAGAGTATCGTACAACTTTTTATTTAGATACAGTCGATATTTAAAGCATATTTAGGATTGGGAAGTTCTTTTTGTAGGTGTAGTACTGTATCTCGTTCTGGATATCATCAGCGAACAGCTGCAGCAGTGTGCGTTAGTTAGTTTATTTCGGTGTGTGTGTGTATGCTGGCTTTGTTTTCATTTGATCTGCCTACGTTGTTGTTGCTACCCTGACAGCTGGAGCTTCCGCAGCATTCTGGAAATTGGAAGACCGATGATGCGGGTTGGAGGGGGGTGGAGGATTGCGATGAAAGAGAATTTCGTCAATTTACTGCGATTGCTCTTCATGACAGATATAAAGATACGAGGAAGACGACTGCGCGAAATCAAAAGCCAAAGAAAGGCCATAAAATTGTGCGAAAGAGAAACCAGAACAGGTTTAACTGTTCTTGGTGTGCGCGGAATAAAAGCGCTAATTGACACGCACACAAATGCAAGAGAGCCATAAACAAACAGTGGGAGAGGGAGAAAGAGGCCGAATGAAAAAAGAGGAGACTAAGCGAACTGGAACTTTCGTAATTCCAGGGCAAATGACACTTTTAACACAATACTTATTTTTAACCAAAATCGAAGACAAAAGTATCTTAAAATCGCCACGATTTGTGTTAAAACTCACCTTTATAAACCTTGAAAAACAGGTTGTGTTTCCACTCAAAACAAACGTCGAAGAATGCACTCAAAAATCACACCGCATTCCACTCGCTTTCCACGTTTACGAAATCGGAAAATTCGTGCCCATATATTTTGGACCTCTAAGACTTTATGAGGCGATTTGTATTTTTAAATGTTTACAACATCGTGCATATACACCTATAGATAAATCAGCGCATTGTTTGGCTTTCTCAACATTCACAGAAACTCGTTTTCGTTTCGCGACTCTCTTTATTTTGGCACACTATTCACAGTGAAGCTTATTAAGCAATTTATGTGTAACCCCATGAAATAAAAACAATTATTTTTCATGCGACCAACCCGACAGCAATGAAAACAACAAAGACGACGCAACAACGCAATTCTTTAACCCGCAATGAAATGCACTCCAATTATTTTTAAAGCTTGTTTCGTTTTTGCAAGCACCGCCAATTCTTTTTACTTTATTTTCGAACGCACACAACCGAACGCCTCGCAGGGAGTTAATTTAATTTATTTAAAGTTGAGCGAAACGAAGGCGCTCCAACCGTTTCTCGTTCGATAGTGCTGGATTATTATTTTGTTATTGCTTCAGGTTGAGATACATCGATGCCAACATCAATCTAATCGATGTCTTCAAAATATCGATGATATCGATGTTTAGCGGGAACAATCGATAATTTTTTATACAATTTTTTTATATTTTACGTATAAGTTATGTTAGTTTTTAATATAATTATAAATAAATAAGAATAGTGGAAGAAATGAATATACAATTATTATTATACACAACAAAATATAAAAATAGTCAATATATCATATGGATCGTTTTAATTTTTTTCATTAAATCTAGGGCCTATTTTTAAATAACTAAATGTATATGTTTATATTTTTTAATTATATTACTGATAGCTAACTTAATTTTTATTACTTAAATGTATTCGTTAAAATTGTATACAAATATGTTTTGACCCCAAAATATTTTAACATGGCCTATAATTGATCCTTAGAGAAAATACAATTATTCTCCCATGTGGAATTTAGTTCCGTCCCATGAGGAGATTAATTGAGATCCATCTGAAATGCGGCTTTGATTATAGCACAGTAAAATTGATTGGTGATCTTCCGAAATATAAAAAGTATAAAAAAATGTATTAAGTATTAAGGAAATTTTAAAAAATTCAAATATTGTTTATTGTATACTTATACTTACATCTTACTTAAACAGTGTTGCCGTTTAGTCTTTTTCAGGCTAAACCTAGCATTGAACATGGAAAAACTTATTAAAATTCTAAATAGTCTAAAGATATAAATGCCAAAAAAATATGTATGTCCTTTAGTTTAGTTCTCAGATCGAACAATAAGTTCGCCAGCTGAGAAATCAGTTAAAAATAAAAAAACCGTTACTTCTCAAGTACCTGCCGGTGTGCAAAGAAATACAATTTATATTTAAAAGTTGTTAATTTTAAGCAGTAATGCCATGCAATTTTACGTTTATTTTCGTCGATCTGATACGCCAGTTGTTTAACTCTTATTTTACGTTACATTTTTCGTCGATCTGATATGTTTTTTTATAGCTGACGAATGGATGTTGTTGATCTGAGTGCTGGGCTTTTACAGAGAAACGAAAAAGTTCAAGAAATGAATTAGGTCGTAACATACATAAAATAAGTTGTAGTGGCTTATTTAATTTGTTTTTGATTAAAGTGTTCATCATTTTGTAATTATGACATATAAAAACATATTGTTTTTGTATGTCTTATTTATTTAATATTTTTAGCTTTTTTATCCAGAATCTAGCTTATGCGGCATCACTGCTCTGTAAGAACAGAGGTGGAACAAAAATGAGTGATGTAATAAATTCGATGACGCCGTATTCTATAGAGCTGCAAAAATATCGATTTACATCAATAAAATCAAAAATCTATTCTTTTTTAAGTGTGCCAACAAAAATCAAACTAAAAACGCGATGTATGCGTCGCCGCTTGGTTTTAAAATCAATCAACAAAATTAAGCTATAAATAAATATTTAATGAGCTATTGAGTGTACCATTTCAAAATATTAATAATCATAAACCATTATAGTAAAAACAAAATAATTTACTTTCTATTATTAAAATTCAACCGAATTTACAAAGTAACGGTCTTTTTTAAATCTGAGCCATTGCCTAATGTTTATGTGGTTGCCTTTATTCATATGCTTCAATAAATTCAAATAATCTAACTGGCCATACATTCTTAAAATAGTTGATATTTTTATTTCCGAAAATCATTAACTGCATATCACTAGAGATCGGTTATTTTACAAAAACTTATTTTAAATGGGATTGTAGTACTCCCACTCTAGCTTTCTTCTGTGTGAGATGATCCTCGGTTTTTTCAGATCTCCACTGTCATGGACACAATCAAACTGTGGCACAGGGGGCAGGTGCGATGCCTTGAGATCTCCGTGGGGGCAGCACAGTGGTGGCAGGTGGTGCATATCCATATGTTGTTGGTGGGCTGGGTGATGGGTTTCCCGGATGAAATGCAGGCCGGGAAACGGGCATTGCACTCTGGGCAAGAGGGTGAGCTAAAACAAATAGGTACTAAATTAGTAAAAAGGGGCTTAGCAGATCCAGATGCCCAACGCACCTGTCTGGGACTGGTACTCCGCAGGAATAGCAATCCACCCTCTCGCCAGCGGCATCCTCCGGATCGTACTTGGCGAAGATCCCTGCGGCCAGTTCCTCATACTTCTGCAGAGTAACCTCCGGCAGGTGACCCAGTTGCTCAAGCTTCATAAAGGCCTTGGAGCAGGTGCCGAAAGCCCGATCCGCACAGCTGGCCAGGGCCAACAAGGAGTAGATGTGCTCCGGAGGCAGTACATCCTCGTAGTCCCGCAGCCTAGTCGCTGTGATCACTGCACTGTGGATGATCCCGAAGCGCAGTTGCCTTTGAGCGAGGAGCATAAAGTGGTAGGCCTCGGAGCAGTGCCATAGTCTTTCAATGGCCGCCGCATCCTCCAGGGCAATGGAATCCAGCAGCGTGTTCCTACCGCTGGCGTAGTCGATCTCTGGAGTGGCCACCGCCTTGAGGTGCTCCTCTGCCAGCAGAGCAGCCAGAACATATAGTTTCTTGATCCTCAGCAGGGGAGCCCGCTTCTCCTGCTCCCGTTCCGCCATTTGGGAGAGCAGACGAGCTGCATCCAGGTGGCGCCCGGCATTGCGCTGCATCTCGATGGCCTCCTTGAGGCGTCCCTCTTGGAGCAACTGGGCCGCATGCTTGGCAATCAGGGCTTGCACCTGGGGCAGCTGGAACCGCTGGGCCAGTTCCACGGCCTCGCCCCACTGCCGGAGATTCACGCACGTGGCGACGGCGGCCTTCTGGTCACCGAAACGGAGGTGAGCCTGCACCGCCTCGGAACACATGCCCACGGAGGCCAGCATCTCGGCCAGCTTCGGCAGCAGGGGACTCTTCTCCGGCAGCCGGTCCACGCACTTCTCCAAGTCGTCAAACTGCTCCAGGTGGTAGAGTGCCTCCATGTAGCCCTCCAGGAAGTGGGACTTCTCGTAATACTCCCTGGCACTCTCCCACGAGCGGAGATTGGCGAAGTGGTGGCCAATCTCACGCCAGGCAATCTCCATCTGCTGGTCGGACACCCCGGATCCACCCATCCTGTACAGCTGCACCACGCGGAACCAGTCGCAGAGGGTCATTCGCAGCTCTATGGCCAGATCCCGACGATCTGCGTCCAGGTAGAGCTTCTCCGCCTCCTCGAACTCCCCGTAGAAGGCCGAGATCTCCGCCCGTTGCAGCTCGTTGGAGTGGATGGTGCGCAGTCTCTTGACCAGTTTAATGCCCGGATAATGGGCACACCGCACAAAGGCGTTCTCCGCCGTCTCCAGTTCCAGTTTCTTCAGGGCAGACTCGGCCAACAATCGCCAGAGCCTCGGATGCGGATTGTCCTCGATGAACTGCTTGGCATCCTCCAAACCCACATGCTCCAGGAGGTCGTCGGTGTCGCGGAGAGACTTCACTCGCAACTGAATAAGATGCGACGAGTTCTGCAGCTCACCCACGCTGATGATGTCGTCCAGCAGGACACTGGTGATCTCCAGGTCCTCGAAGGTGCAGATGTAGCCGGAGCAGGAGACGGGCTCCTCGGGATCGTTGCCTCGGAAGATGTACATGCGCGTCTTCTCCATCAGGGCCAGGAGCAGCGGGTTGTCCTTGGCCCAACTCACCGCCCACACGTCCTTGCGCTCCACCCGACTGAAGTTCAGTTGGGTCTCCCGGTTGTCGTCCAGATCGAGCAGGGTCATCACGCCCATGTGGTCGATGATGGCGGCACGACTATATAAATTATATGGATTAACAGGTTTATATAGAAATACATTATCAACTCACGTGGAATTGCAATTGATGGCCATCTTGTAGACCTTGGAGTTCATCAGGTGGCGGTTCCTCAGCGCCACATTGGCTATGCTGTACTCGTTGATGGCTCCCGATTCCCTGGCCACCAGGAGCAACTTCTCGGAGAGCGCCAGCGCAGAGATGGGATCACTGATTCCCCGCTGCGTGGAGTGACCATCGCTACTGCTCAACATCAGATCCTTGGCCATTTCCACTCCAGTGGGAGTGTCGTCTATGTGGAATCGCTTCTCTTTGCGCGCCTTCACATTGTGCAACGTGGAGGCACTCTGGAAAGGAAAGAAAGTTCATTGAACTGGGAGTGGGTTATGAACTCAAGGAACCCACCTTGGGTGTGTGGTAGTGCCAAATGAGGATCTCCTCCTGGGAAGCTATGGCCACATAGCTCGAGTTGATGCCCACAAAACAGGGTCTGATATCAGTGTACTTGGCTAAAACGGAAGATTAAGGATGGATTAATTTTATTATATATACGATACCTAGTAGTACTCACAATCCACAGTAGTTCCAATGGAGTTGCACAGCAGTAACTGATAAACTCTATCATCCGCCGGATTGCTTCGATTCTCCAAAGTGCTCAGGGCAATCTCCTTGATGTTGCTACTAACACACTCCACTCCCAGGACGCAGTGTTCGCTACTGGAGGCCAGGCACAGAGTGGGCTCCACCTCCTTGAGGAAACTCTGATTCGACACGGTGTTCCAGAAGGTAATCACATTCATGGGCGAGTCCCTGGAGGCACTGCCTCCACTATTTAGGAAGACCACGGTCTTCTCGAAATAACACCAAATGTAATCAGGTCGGATGTTGGCGAAGTAGATGAACGAGTCCACGGCCATGGCTATGCGCAGTGACTTTCCCTCCCAACTGAGTGAGGTTATGTCGGTTCCGGGGACCTTCAAAGTGCGGAAGATCCTGCCCAGCGGTGAGTAGAAGCACACCTGGTTGGAGTCCCTTTGCGAGGGAGGTGTCACCGTGTCCAGGGCGGTTCCGCAGATGGCCAGCACTGTGCCATCGTGGTTCCACTTGGCGTCCACATTGCGCATCCCAGTGTCGAAGATTGTGGGGGCTGCAAAAGCAATAGGTCACATCAAAGTACATGGCATCTAAGAATATCCCACCATCATCATTTTCATTCCTCATAATCTGCACCCGTCCAATCTCATAACAAATGGCCAAAACGGGTCGCTTGCGACTCTGGGGAACTCTTCCACTGAACCAGCAGATGCTGGCTATGCGATGACCCCTGGAGGAGGATCCACCACTTATGCTCACACACTGGATGTGCAGCTTCATCTGGATTATAAAAACCAATATAGGTATGTGGAACAAGAAAGGATCAACACCTCTTCACTCACAGCAAAGTTGCCTTGGTTATCGTACAGATGGCATTCCCCATTGGCCAGAGCAAACAGGATGAGCCTGTTGTCCGGACTCCACTGCACCCCGGTGAGATGGGTTCCCTTGAGCTCCTTGCCAAATATGCGATTGCCATCCACAGAACCCACTATAATCGCTCCGTCCTCGTAAACAATACAGATCCGTGAGCCATCCGAGGTCCAACTCATGCTGGCCACCGTGGACTTCTTCCTGTCGTTGGTCATCTCCTCATACCAGGATCCCTTGTACAGCATCCACACCATGATCACCCCGTCCGTGTCCGAGGAGGTCAGCTTCTGCTGGGCATCGTTCCAGGTCACCACCCTCACCGACTCCTTGTGGCCATCGAGGGTCTGGTTCATGGACAGATTGGAGACGGCGGCCAGGCCACCTTTACTCTGGCCATTGCCTGCAGCTGGAAATATTGTTTAAATCAAGAATTAGTTGTATCAAATTTGTTTACCAGACTTCTTTCTGTCAGCTAGTAATAACGTTTTAAATTCTATTTTAATGAAATAAAATATTTGTAAACCAATTAGATCATAAGACTATATCCCTTTGTAATTTTATTAGGAAGTGATTTGTTACCCTAGGTTCTACCTCTTAGTCATAGTATGTACCTTCTTTGAACCTAGTTAATCTCTATTAATGATCGTTTGCACTTACCCTGATCCAATTTAAGGACTTTGAGCAATCCATCCGTTCCGGCCACTGCAATGTAGCCCTCCTCTTTGTTCCAAGCAATGCAGTTGAGCTTGACATTATTGGGTATGGCTATCTGCGGTGGTATAACTTTATAAATATAGTTTAATGTATTTAAAAGACAATGCCTACCTTTTTGCTCAAATAAACAAACATAGTTATAGTTGCAGTTGCACTGGGGTTTTCTTTAAAATATTTTTCTGCATTTGCTGTGGCAACAAAACTAAATAGTTTCCATGGTGACTCCTTTTTCAGTTTGATTGGGTTTGTATTATGGCCACGCACTGCTCAGCTGGCCAAAAACCCAAGCCTGTTTGTGGCCATAAAGTGGTTTAATTGGTTTTGGTGGTAAATATTAGAGAAGTACCTGTTGCAACCTGTTGCTATCGAAGCACCTACCTGTTATCGACGGCGGGTAATTTAAAGTTGATGTTTTAAGCCTATAATAATAATAAAACTTAAACAAAAGCCGATATCGGCAGACTATATCATATGCCATAGGAATAATCGGAACTACAGTCTTAATTTTTAAGTTAGGAACAGAATAGGTAAATAGTCGTATTTCAACATACATAAAATAGTTTATTTTATAAAAATCCTTTTCTTTATGAAAAATCCTTTTCAATTAAAGGAACCTGAAGATATTTGTCAATTTAAAAACGAAATCACAGAATTCTCAATCATTCATCTGCTTTAATGTATTGGAAAGTGATAATTAAATAAGTAGAGTATAATACAATTTTATACATAGGAGCTGGTGAAATAATAAAAATTAACAGCAAGGAAATGTAAGCTTTGGCAAAGTTAGCTTTCTTATTTTGGGTTTGTTTATGTTCAACGTAAATAATTTATAAAGGCCTTAAACTACTTTTTTTCATATTATCATAGTAAATTCATAAAGGCAATGCCCGAGAATTTAATGCCCTATAAATTTAAGATTGTAATTAAAGTCAATTGTTCACTGATATGAAGGGTTTAATCAGAAAGTAGTACAATTGTCCGATACGACGGCTAATCGATTAAAGAAATGTCATGCTTATCAGACAAATAAGATAGATTAAAATCGTAAAGATGATAAAGCATGGACAATTATAATTCTCTTTGGTACAATGGTATAAATATTATAACTAGTATAACTAAGTTAAATTCAATGAAATCACAGAGCACAAGAAGTGTATATTAAGCTATTCTAATGCCTCTTTTCAGCAATTCGTGGGCCATTTTGGTGGCTATGAACATGTAGACCAGTAGGATGAGCACCGATTCAAAACTGGAGCGATCTTCTGGCTTTAGGAAAATGTTTACCCCACCAGTTAATACATTGGCCACCAGGAAGAAGGTCAACCCATTTTGGTTCAAGGCCTGATTTATGGTAAATGGAACAATGGACCTTTCTCTTCCCTTGACAGCAGTATTTTCTGTGAGTAAACCCATTTCCTGCTCCTCCAAATGGTTCGTTTCCCAGGGCATCACACTGTTGAGCACAAAGTCAATGGCTCCAAAGCTGGCCCACAAAGTGGTGCTACCAATGGCCAGCACCCAAATGACATAACCAAAATTGCAGGTCACTCGGGAGATCCCAATTGCGTAGGCACTCATGACGAACAAGCTCCACAGGATTAGCACCACGTAGAGTAGTCGCCGCAGCTTCCTGACCAATTCGGAGTAGCTCAGCAGACTGGTGGCCACCATCCAGCGATTCACATATATGGACAGCAGGTACAATGCCACGAATCCTGGCAAGGAGACGAGACCCTCGCGATTCGCATTGAATAAGTTGGTCCGTTCCACATCCTCATCCATCACATAGTCGGAGATGCCCAGGCCACTCAATCCAAACTGGTGGATGATCAAAAGACCTGGAGGAGTATAAGGTGGGTTAAGAACTCCATTGGACTTTGATGATAATATTAATTACCGAATCCCATGGGCAGCAGGTGAACATCCTTTCCAGCCAGCATGCTGACCAGAGCTCCTAGGAACTTGGTTAATCCCAGGATGAAGAACGCATTCAAGTGCTCTCCATATTCGTGGGCATCCTGGCCATAGCTCAGCATCAAAATGGCCACGGTGCGGGCCAATCCCAAGAGGATGAGCGGCAGGGCGGAGTAGAGCACACTGCGGCGGAGATGGGACAAGTGCCGCGTCCTCTTGGACACCATGGCCATGGTGAACACAAACAGTCCGATGCCGGTGTCCATCAGCTTGGCCCCAAACTGCCGGCTTTTGCGGTAGGGTCTGTAGAAACTGCCGAAATCGATGGCCAGAATGCAGATGGCGGTGATCAGGTGGGTCAGAGCTCGTAGAACGGAGAAGGCCATGGGTCGACTGCCACCCAGATCAAACTGGCTGCGAGTGCGAGCCCGTTCCAGAGCCTTGCTCCAACGCAGGAACCACAAGGTCGCCACGAACATCAGCAATCCTATGTGGTAGCTATAATCCACAGCCACTGTGACGAGCAAAATGCAGGGCAGGATGACCAGGACGAACTCCACCGCAAAGCAGAGATTGGGGGAGCCATGGAGACGCCACTTGTGGGTCACCACTCGGGCCAGCAGGATGCACCAAAAGGTGGACAGGATCAGCAGCAGAGACTCCCAACTCTGGACCAGAGCTTGACTCCATGCCCAGTCGAAGTCCAGTCCTCCTCCTCCTCCGACCAATCCAAGGCGCTCCTCGAGGCTTTGGTTGACCGGAATCAGATCGGGAATCCGGTCTGCTGTCGCCCAACTGCCCATTTCGACTGGACTCCCAAATGGGCTGATAAAAGCAGCTCTTAATCTGCCTGCTGATAGTCGCCACTTATCGGAAACCGAGAGATAGGCGTAGTCAAAGCCGTTCGTTTCCAAGGCTCAATAGAAAACACAAAATCGAATTACAAAAATGCGTTAAACTTCAAACATAGGAATGTCGCTGATATCAGCTGAAGTATGATTCAGGGCATTAAATTTCGAATTGAAGGGGTAGTCAATCCTAAAACATTTTGACAACTTTGAGCCCCTCAAGATCTAGGACAACCAATTTTGGACAACATTTCCATCACCTTGGCTTGGTTTTTCTCTGTGCACTCACGCACCATTACTATCTATGCTCTGTTTACTTAATTTAACACATTTCACACCTCGTGGTAATTAGCTACTGATAAATCCAAAGCAAACTTTGGTTTCACCGACGTTAAGGAAGGGACCCAATAAATGAGCGTGACGAATGCCGGCAAAGTACGATTGCGACTGAATTTTGTTTTTGAAAAATAGCTTCACATTTAAAAAGTTTGTTCCTGATAAAAATGTATAGGATTTTATCAAAAAAAAGTCATCATCACGGAATGGACTCCAAGAAATGTGCGTGAGGAATGCCGGCAAAGTGCGATTGAGACTAAAAGTTGTTTTTTGTGAAAAATAGCTTAACAGTTTCATAATTTTGTGATAAGAATGTATAGAATTTTATAAAAAACAAGAAAGGAAAGCTAACTTCGGGCGGAGCCGAAGTTGATATACCCTGGCAGAATATTCTGTAAATTATATTGGTTGGCCAAAAATAAAACCAATAAAAACTCCCAACTTCCTAACTTTAAGAACACCAAAGTTATGGCCTTTCCGATCGTTCAGTTATATGGCAGCTATATGATATAGTCGCCCGATCCGGCTCGTTCCGACTTATATACTAACTGCAATACAAAGACAATTTTTTTGAAAGTTTCAAGCAGATAGCTTTAAAACTGAGGGACTAGTTTGCGTAGAAACGGATGGACGGAGGGACAGACGGACATGGCTAGATCGACTCTCCTGGTGATGCTGATCAAGAATATATATACCTTATAGGGTCGGAAATGTCTCCTTCACTGCGTTGCAAACTTTTGACTGAAATTATAATACCCTCTGCAAGGGTATAAAAAGTCGTCATCAAAACTACATTTTGGGAAAAGGCCAAGCACGAAGACTCAAGGCAGTCAAATTTGAGATAAGCACAGTCAATTTTTGATATAAACTTCTTATTTCAAAAAGTTTTGGGTCTTAAGAAAAAATGTTTCTTGATTTAGAAAAAAAATTGTTTTTAAATGAAATTTTGTTTAAAAAGGATATACATTCATAAAACATATAAGATAACATAATCATTAATATTTAAATTTGAATTCCGCGCTCTTTTGTTAATCGATTGAACATATTCGATAGCTCACAGTCGACTGCAACTAATTTCCACACATCTGGCAACGCATAGCAGCGGTATTTTTTAGCGCTTTTCTTGACTCGAAAAAAGAGGCTCGTCTTCGGTTGCAAAGTGATAATATCGCAAAAATAGGCCATAAAATGTGGTTTATTATGCAAATAAAGTGTGCTCACATGCTGACGGCTATCTAGTTGTATCATTCGTAACCAGTTCAACTTTAAAATCAGTGAGGGTAGTGCAAATGTGTGTGAGTTTAGCGTTCTGCCGGCACTCACGTGTTTTTTTTAATTTTTTTGTGTGCATTAACTACTCAATAAGAAGCTAATTAAAGATTATCAAATGTGTTAATTACCAGACTAGCTAACTTGTCAATTAGAGCCTACATTTAGTGGGTATGATTGGTTAATGGTGGCTTGCGTACATACATGCGTACATATGTATTACGTAGCATTGTTGTGCTTTTGCACATTGTGACGTCATGCGGCGTTTGACCAATCGGAATGCAGCTCTCAAGGGGCTTGTCGACGTCTAGTCGGAAAATTGATTTCAGTTCTGCTCGTGCCGAAAAACCACGTGAGTGTGCTTCCTTTCCACCCACTACCACGCCCCCTTCGCTAGCTATACAATTTGATAAATAAACTCATTTAAACGCGAACGTTTGACGCAATGAGATCGAAATACGGAAGCAGAAATTGCACTTTATTTTGTAAACATTGAAACGGGCTATTGCAATTTACGTAACTAATTGCCAGCATGTGTGCTAAAGAAAATTATAAATATCAACACATCACAGCTAAATAATAGGTGTGTCTGGGTATAAATAAGTGCACCGAAAAATAATATAACGTTGGCCTACTTTATACAAACACAAATTTTTAAGATTCATTCCTGAAATTAGTCTGTCAGAATATACAAATTAAATACTGTTAATGCTATACCAAGTACAGTATGTCCTCGAGAGAATAAACAAAATGATCAATGGAGTAATTCCGTTTACAATTATAAATTCACAAAAAGTAAACACAAATATCATATCTTAATACTATTTAAATTGTATTAGTTACTGTTTAAATTGATTCAGTGAGCTTGCACTGTATTCTCTATCAACAAGCGTGATGTGTGCATATTATTATAGATGCAACTAGGTGATTAGAACACGCCTGGCGCCTGACAAACTGGCTAATCGAGAAACCTTTGACCTGTCGTGATGAAGTATTTCATTGCATGTGCAATAAGCTCCACCTTCCCCCTTTTGCATATAACGATCAGATTATCAATAACACACCCAACAATAAAATGCAATCATTACAAAAACAAGCCTTATCAGCACGCAAGAAATATTTCAGCAATCGCTTTAAGTGAGAAATTTGGTCATACGATATGATATGGAGGCGATAAGTCTAAATATAGTCCACAGGTCGTATGCGTAATTTAATATATGCATGTAGTGGCAAAAGTTAAGTGAACCTTTGTACCCCTGATGTAATCATTTATTGCACTACCTGCAATCGAATTACATACATTTTCGAAAAAGAACAAAGCATAAAGAAAGAGAACTGCAAATGACGAAATCACACTCTCCATTTATTCACTTTAAGTGTAATTCCAATATTGTGACTGAAATTACAGGGCAATAATAATACGATATTTTATGATGACTTAAATGGGTTCTACGATCGTATATGTGTAAACAAAATTTGCCCATTAAGGAAATACAAATTCATTATCATGGTCGAGTCGATTTGGTAATACCCTACGAATTTGAAGACTGATTTGTTTCAATATAAGATTATAGAAATATTGTATAGAACTGATTTTAAGGGAAACTTCGCCAAAGTATAATTATTCTATTAACAAACAAAGTTTCTTTTTAGTTTATTAAAAATTATTCTATAAAGAATTATGTGTCTTAAGTTTTATGATCGAACTGTATTTCTTAACAGTCATTCGATTTTCGATGAGTGATTTTTCGTATAATCAAAAAAAACTGTTTTTCACATATACCCAAACTCAACCATTAATTCACTACTTAAGGCCATAAAGTCGGTCCAAATTGCTTTCGTTTGTGGGCCAACACACATAGCACATATAAGCATATATTTTCACACTGACATTTGGCTTTAATGAAGTCGCTTGAGTTGCTCAAAATGTTTTCATTATCTTCGTATCGTCTGTGCCTCTAGATCGTTGTTTATATAACAAACACACTCCCCCTTTTCGCTTAATGGATGCAAATATTAAAATCATTTGCATTTTGCTTTATTTCTTTTTCTTGGCCTGCTCTTGAAGATGTCACACATATAACGTATGTTTTATTTGTTTGCCCCCCAATGGAATATTTTTAATATTTGTTGTATCTTTAAATAGCCGGGCGTATAAGTATGAACTGAATGGACGCCCACACGTGAGATTGCGTATACGGATTGTCTTTGAAAAGCTGAAGAATTTATGTGTGGGATAAGTTCAGTGGATGAATTTCCGCTCTTGAAATTAGACATTATTACGTGTACATAATTGTAGGAAAATGGGGAATAATGCTCACGTTTGCATGCAAATTGCAAACTATAAAAATTCTTGAACAATCCCTAATTGCATTGCTAATACCGTTAACCCACCATGGAAACTCCAGTTTTTTACAGTGGTTTGCGAGTTTATTCCGATTGATCATTACCTTTTCACATGTTTGTACTAAGAGGTTCTATTCACCTTTTACGATTATTGTAGCATTATCATTTTCGAAATTACCTCAGATTGGAACCAGACAAATTTGTAATTTTCCACTGATGATAGGGCGAATTTAAGTGAGGCATTTTCGTGTTCTCTAAATTTTTAAAACATTTAGCGCTATTTTGAGATTTTAATGCTAGAGCTCTTTTATGGCTTTTATTTCATGATTTATTTGACATTTTGGGACTGACAAAGGGAAAAAAGTAATTAGCAAAAGTTAAAGTGCTTAACTAAAATGAGTTGAATTAATAAAATTGGAATTCTTGAAAAGAACTTAAATAAAATTATCTAAAAGATATATAGTTTTAGTTTTGAACTAAAAGGAATAGAAAAATGTATTTACAATTGTTATTAAAACTTATGATATTATTTATTTAAGACTTGATAGCCCCATACAATACAATTGACCCACTGTATTGGGTTATATCCGTCTGGGGCGAATGCAAATGCGTGTTTTTAAATGCCAAGGCTGCCGGCGTCAGCCAACAACCAGTTGGCAGTTTATTGCACCGAAGAGGGTCTGGGGCAGTGCCACCCCAAACACCACCGCCCACTCAACTCCCCACCCAACCCACTCGACCCCCTAATCCACCCGCCGACCCAGACATCGGCACCCTTCGCCGGCTTGTCTTATCAGCTGCTATTGTTGCTACTGCCGGTTTTATTTGGTCTGGTCGATGGGTAGTCAGTCGGTAGTGAATTCGTAGTCGCCGATTTGCCTAGTCCGAGTACCCACATCTACACATCCAATAAATGGTCGAACTGAAAGCTCTTTTCATGTATGAGTATTTTTACGGCCCTGTCGCGCCTTCGAATCGTTTGATTTTCAACTTTCAGATACATTTTGGCGCTCGTCGCGGTCGGTTGTGTTTTTATTCGTAGCGCTGTGTCCCTCTCTTTCGATCGACTCCCCTCTCTTTCACTTTAAACTTTCATCCGGCGTTCTCTCTTACATTTCAAAATATTTTAACAAGTGTTATCAGCAGCCTTTAACAACAATTGAATATCAAAAGTGAGAAAATTACTATACAATTTCAAAAAGCTCATAGCATATCATCAATCGCAATTATCGAAGATTGTTACTTGTAATCGCAGTTATCGTAGGTTATTTCTTGTAAACCCGCATATCGTAAATTAACCCTTGTAATTGGAGATATCGTAAATTATTCCTTTTAATTCCTTGATAACTTTTGCGTTTTTATTAGTGTTCCCTGCAAGTGGGTAGGCAAATATTGGACGATCAGCCCACAAAAAAAGTGCTTTCAATATCTAATCTAGAATTTCTGGTAACATAACAGTTTATGGGTCGTGTATCGATGGTTGCTTATCAGAAAACAGTGCTTAACGAAAGTACACAGCCATAAAGCAAACCCACAATAAGCTATGAAGCCTGCCGACTTTGAAACTATATTAAACTAATACCAGATGGATCCGGAAAGTGGGGAAACTGTGGAAAGTTTTCGAATGTAAATCTCAGTCAGCTTACCGGTGAAATAAAAAGAACATAAACAAATCACTCAGTGCACTCAATCAAAAGGGCCTTATCTCTATCCCGAACAATCACTTGACCTTGGTGCAGGGACCGGGATGACGACAGTTTGTTATAATTTATGTATTCGAATTTCTGGGCTCCATTCAGAGGGGCGGAGCACCGAATCCGAGCGATAAGTTGTTGGTGTCAACAAGTGTTTCGCTGTGAGAGTGGGAAGAGGGCTCGACCATTAGATTCGGAATGGGAATCAAGCCCCCAACAAGCCAAGCGGGTACAAAGTCAAACAATGCCGAAACAAGTGTTTGAGTACCATGTACTGTATGTGTAAATGTACACAAGTCCATTTCAGATCATATCGCTCAACAGGTCCACAATGTCCCCATAGAAGTGTGAATGGCAAATATAAAACTCGTGTGTTGGAAATACTCGAGGGAGTGGCTAAATGGCAGATTTGAAGCGATGGTTGTTTTTCACAGCCTTTCAACTTTATCTTAGATTGTTATCGGCAAATGATTTTATGGTTACTGTATTTGAAATACACGTTGGACCTCCAACGGAAGTACCTTGAATATTGCGTTCGATTATATTATCGCATTTTGCGTTTGTTTATTAGATACTTAAGTTTAATTTTATAATAATAAATAATGACAAGGAGTTTTTTTACAAAAAGTAAGAGAAAAGGAGTAGTAAAAGGGAATAGCTCTCGGTCTTATTCAATTAGTTAATGACAATTGTATATTATATTATATTATATTATATTATATTATATACGTTATCAATTAAGTTCATTTAAGTTCAACCCACCTTAAAAAACAATTCGTATTTGGTAAAGCACTTTTTAGCCAAGCTTAATAACTTATATACGGAATGTATATACATTTTATTTATATAAATTAATTCCTGAATATTCCGGCAATTCTTTATCAAGCATTTATTTTAGAAGTAACATATTTAATGCAATTAAATATCAAAATCCATTTTAAGTAGTATCTATAACACATAATTATGCAATAGTTTGCCAAAAGTGACTGGCTTATCTAACCTTTCTTCTAATCTTGCAGGCAGCATGACCGAGGGCAAGAACTTACCCCACTCGAGTGCGGATGTGCCGTTCCGCAGCAAGGAGCAGCGCAAGCAGTCGCTGATCCAGCACACCGGCTTGGTCGGAGTCATCGACGAGGGCACCAAGACCATCGGCTTCTCGATCTACACAACGCCGGACTTCAGGGAGATTGCCGCGCACCGGGTGGAGCTGAGTGTGATTACGCCCCAGGATGGCTGGTACGAGCAGGATCCGCTGGAGATGATGGCCTCGATCAACAAGTGCGCCGAGGAGGCCATCAAGCAGCTACCCGATGAGGGCTTCTCCGCCAGCGACATCGCCACCATTGGCATCACCAACCAGCGTGAGACGACGATCGTCTGGGATGCGGTCACCGGCAAGCCCCTGTACAATGCGCTCCTGTGGAAGGACATCCGCACCAGCACCACAGTGGAGCAGATCGTGGCCAAGGTGCAGGATCCGAACCACTTTCGCAGTACCACAGGATTGCCCATCTCCACGTACTTCTCGGCCCTGAAGATCCGCTGGCTGAGGGACAATGTGCCCGAAGTGCGGCAGGCCATTCGGGAGAGTCGATGCAAGGCGGGCACAGTCGACAGCTGGATCGTCTGGAATTTGACAAATGGTAAGTAACTTTATTGGATATAGGGTTAACATTACCTAATCTGTATTATTCGTTTCCTCCCCAGGCGCGCTTCACATCACGGACGTAACGAACGCCTCCCGCACTCTGCTCATGAATCTGGAAACCCAAAACTGGGACCCGGTGCTGTTAAAGACGTTCGGCATCAAGGAGAGTATGCTGCCCACCATCCACAGCTGTTCGGAGATCTTTGGCAAGGTCACCTCAGAGCGGAGTCCACTGCGTGGAATGACCCTAAGTGGTATCATGGGCAACCAGCAGGCCTCGTTACTTGGCCAGATGTGCGTGAAGCCAGGTCAGACTAAGAACACATACCGCTCCGGCTGTTTCCTGCTGTGCAATACGGGCGATAAGCCTGTCTTCTCGCGACACGGACTGTTGACCACTGTGGCCTACAAGCTGGGTCCTCAGGCCCCGACGATATACGCCATCGAGGGAGCAGTTTCGGTCGCCGGACATGCGCTTTCCTGGCTCCAGACCAAGATGCGCATTCTTCCGGACTCCAGGGATGCGGAGAAGTATGCAGAGATGGTGCCCACGTCGGGGGATGTGTACTTCGTTCCCGCCTTCACAGGATTATACGCTCCTTATTGGCGGCAAAATGCCCGAGGCATCATTATTGGGCTAACGCAATTCACCCGGAAGAATCACATAGTGAGGGCTGCCTTGGAGAGCATCTGCTTTCAGACCAGGGATATCCTGGAGTGCATGCATCAGGAGTGCGGCTACGAGATCAACAAACTCCATGCCGACGGCAAGCTGACCACGAACAATCTGCTGATGCAGCTCCAGGCGGACACCATTGGCCTGCCCGTCTTCCGATCTCAGCTGATGGATTCCACGGCATTCGGCGCTGCTATGTGTGCCGCCCAGGCGGAGGGGGTGAATCTCTGCCAGTTCGATCCCGAGAAGCGTTACTACGAGAACGTGCACTACGACACCTTCCTGGCCACCACCACAGATGTGGAGCGCAAGGAGCGCTACGGCAAGTGGAAGCGGGCGGTGGAGCGCAGCTTGGGGTGGGTCATTAAGCAGAAGAAGACGCGAGAACACACGGAGGAGAACTACCGCATGTTGTCCTCGTTGCCGGCGAGCATCTTTCTCATCAGCAGCTTTGCCATGCTGGTGCACTCCCTCGCCGCAAGTGGCCACTAAGGATGACTCCCTACCAGAAGGTTTGCTGCCTGACATTCGGATCGATTCTTGGTTGTGATAGTAGTTATTTTTCCGGATTTCGTTTTGAAACTTACACACTGTACATAGTCCTTAAAGGACAATGGGTGGTTGAACGTGCTTTAAACCCTGTAAATAGTTGATTACGAAGGGCTGGCCAAGCTCCGACCTATTTTAAGTATCTTGACTATCCTATTGTGTTTTCGTTGTATATTCTTTACTTCTTAGCCGTAGTTCCATTGACGATGGCAATACGCACGGCCATATCAGCGGAATTGTATATAGCCAAAGTGCAAACGACATTTCTAATTTAAGTAGGTTCCGTACTCGTATGTGTATGTTTTTGTAGTGATTACGCCCCTTAAACAATAAACAGAAATAAAACGACAACTTTGCGTCTTATTGCGAATTACCAGGAATTTCAGTGCAATATTTGCTCGATCGCTGATTAAGCCCCCCAAACGTTGATGCGATAATGAGAAGTCGGGGTGGGCAAAAGTCGAAGATGGGTTGCTCTAGGAAATATTTGAGTATAAAACATTATATCTTCTTTGGAATTGCGTAGAGCTTACAGATTTTTGGTAACTGTTATACGTTGCATCTTTGTAATAAAGATAAAGTGATGTAATCTTATAGTCATATTTAAGTTAGGCTTAGATTTCCGCAATAGCTATCAGGGTATAAAAACCATAGGCGCTTGAACCCCTATCTAGAGTGTTCCTATGTGAAATCTCACTCAACGTGGGGTAAGTTCTTATATCTGGTGCGTTATCAGGCAGCGGAAATGTCTGGTATCAGTAAAATATGACTGAAGTAATCGATTGATTAATAGCTGGTGGGTGTGTGCTTTGTTTTTGGAGGGGTGGTATTTAAACGTTTTTAAATCTTTAAGGTGTGTCACGGGTAAGGTGTGGAGATATCAAATTACTTATATAGATGAGACCACCACGGACTAATTAAGTCGTATTTTAGTGCTAATTGTGAAATTTAAACTTTCATTCACGTTTCTAAAGAATCTTCTAGATTATGTCCAATAAAAAAGTCATTAAAAGAATTTAATGATTTAATTTTTCAGATAAATACAAATAAAAATAAAAGATTGTTAAACGACTTTCAGTTTTAAGTCGTAAAGATATGAGCTCATAAAAATTTATAAATTCATCAAAGCTGTAAATGACGACGGGGTCACCAATTACCATATATTATTTTTTTGGTTTATATATGTGGAGACCAAAGTGTTATCAATTGAATGTAGGAATATCTGTAGTGGACACCTACTGTGCGGCACCATTTTAAAGAATGAACTCAGGGAAACTCATAAAAGGGGTAAAAGCAATAAACCTGAGAATGGAAACCTAGACAAGCCACAAGCCAAGCTAAGTTAGCTAGTACCCACTGTACGTCTTTCAGCTGGGGTCTCATTTAAATTGGATCTACCGATTACCCCAGCACACTCACTCTTGCAAATGGGTTCTCACACAGATTCTGGCGTGCAGGTTGCGAGCAACAACAACAAGTGGCTGTTATTACTGGTGGTGTTTTCGGTTTTATTATTATCCAGGTAGTCGCGCAGCAGGCAAAAGGTAAGGTAACGAAAACAAATGCTCACCTTTGGCAACAACAAAGAAATTGATTTTCCCTGTTCGTCTTTAAAGATTTTTCTGAATCAGTGCAGCAAAAGCAACAACTAGAACCGGAATCCGTTTGAAGTTGTAGCGCGCGCAACACACACGGATACTCACAGGTATAAATCCCGGAGTGGAGTTGGAGTTGGCTCGAGTGGGTGTCAGTTGCAAGTTGCCTCGAACTCCTACACTTCAAGAAAACAGGGCTTTAAATTATAATTACATTTCGATTTGAAAGGAAACATATTTAACTATAAGACTTAAGGTTAATTTTAAATTTGCAAGCTAACTAAGTATGGGTTTATTTTTTCGCAATACATAAGCAAAAGATTGATTTTAACAATTTAATAACTTTTAAATGAGTTTTGATTATATATTATTTATATTTAATTTTTCTGCTTTCAGTTAGATGATTTTCAAAACATTACGAGAGTTCGAAACATGGTAGTTTAGTCTATCTGCAATATATATATTTTTTGGACGGGATTATTTGAAATTTACTGATCTTATAAGCAATAAAATCGTATAAGCAATAATTTATTTAAGATTAACGTGGTATTCCAATCCGTTTGGCTAACAATTTTTGCCCAGTGTAAGTTCGATCTCAAAAGTTCGAGAGGATCCGAGTGCGATCGAAGACCAGAACTATCTCTCAGTTGCGTTTGAGTTGCGAGCACGGTTTGTCGCTGTATCTCCACTCTCTGCGAATCTTCGAATCCGCGGCGGCGTCTTATGGGTTTCTGTGTGTGGTGCCTTGTTTATGTTAATCCGATATTTATATATATACAGGCGAAATATTGCAAAATTAGCAATAAATTCGGCCAATTTATCGGAGTTCGGTTTTAGAAGCGTGAGACCCGCGAGTTGAAGGCATTCGAAAAATGAGTGTGCAGCAAAAGTGATCGCTGGAAGTGGATGAAGTTAAAGGGTCAAACCGGTTTTCGGACAACAGCCATGGAGTTGCCACCAGCAGCAGCAACAACAAATGCGTCGGCATCCTTGCAACGTGTCGCCTCGGAATCCGGTCTTGGTCGGGAACGGGAACGGGAGCAGGAACAGGCAGCAGCTGCTCCGCCTGGCCAAATGATGGGCCACCACTATCATTACATCCAATATCCGGCGCATTTCCAGCCGCAGCAACTGCAGGAGCAGCAGCCGCAGCCACAACAGCTGCCAACTTGCCAATGTCCCTGCTCCTGCGGTCGAGCTCCTCCTCCTCCGCTGCAGCACAGTAATCCCAGCCAGAATGCTTCAATGGCCGTGGCTGTGCTGGTCCACCAACAAACCCCCAGTCAACAGGACCCAGCGAGGAGTTCGCCCATCAAAACCCAGTCGGCCCAGTCCCTGCTCAACCACTCCTACCAGGCTCTCCACGAGGAGCAGCAGCATCAGGAGCAGCTCCAACTGGACTCCTCCGCCGGAGCCGGGAGCTGTGATTGTGATCTGGAGTGCACTTGCCCAGCCACCGGAGGCAACTCCTCCTTGGCCCAGCACAAGAGGAGTCTGCTAGCGGATGCCATGCTGGGAGCCGACGAGATCACGGTTAGTGAGTCCGACAACAACAGCACCATGATCAAGAAAAAGAAGCCGCGATCTGGCGGAGGAGCGGGTCAGCTTCCGCCGAAGACACAGCCCACGGGTGATAGTTGCAACGATATATACCACGACACTGAGCTGGACGGAGGAGGAGCAGTGACAGCGTCTCCTGGCTCGGGAATCAAGTCCCAGATCTTGGATGATAATCGCCCACCTCTGCCGCCACGCCCACCGCCCAGACCCAGGAGCAATGCAAATGGTTCCATAGGTGAGTGATCTCTCCACGGTTTCATTTGGAAACTCGTTTTGTAATCCATGTATTACTTAAAGATAAATCCTCATTCAATTGAAATCTCTTACAGTCGATTAGCTTGTAATGTAAAAGAGATTACAAATACAGGTCTTCTTAATTCGTTAATAACTATTTTGTATAGACGTTGAATTTAAAACAAATGGAAAGCTTGTAGTCTGTTGCTTGAAAATTGGAGAATGTCTGTTCACGTATGTTATTTATTAGTTAGCAACAGACTTTTGACTTAGTAGAAAGAACAAAACCAAAGAGGGACTTAAAGTTTTTTTTTGCTGAATCTTTTACACATCTGACCCAGTCTTAAAAGTCTTTGAAAGTAAATGTATGTAAATATCTTCCACTGAAGTCTTGGCTAATATCAACGATATGTACGAACATCATTTCCGAAGAATTCTTTGTGCTAATTTCATGGGAATATATCAACACTATGTTTATTAGTAGTAATTAAATACGATTAAAGGCCATTAAAGAGCGATTAGTTGGATTTCAAATATTTATAACATCTTTGTTTAAGGGTATTGCAACATTCGCTGTTGATTTTCGCACTGATTTTCCATCAGTGCTGTCGGTGAAGCTCACTCCCACTCCCACCCGATGAATCACCCCACTCGCCTGGTCACAGATTTCGTGTCACTGATTTGCCGCCCGTTGCGAACGCAGCTTCCGCTTGGTGCCGTGCTTCCTCATCCGCATTTCCTGCGCCTGCGCCGGAGGAGGCTGCTCTCGCTCTCTCCGGGAAGCTCTCTATTTCTCCTGGAGCTGGTGCAAAATATTTGCTCGGGGGGTTGGCGCTGTGCGAATGTCAGTCAGGATTTCAGTTGACACCGTTCCTGTAATTGCAGCGCACACTCTGGCGTCGCGACGCCTCCCAGCTTCTTTTGCTCTATCTCCAGCATCCAGCATCCGCCACCCGGAGACCCCCACTCCAGTCGCCTTGGTCCGCGCAGCTGCCAGCGGAGGCACCTCATCCCATCTCCAGCCTTCTCCGCATCTCAGCCAGCTCCCACGGCTGTGTAGATATTTTTCTGTTTCGCTGCGGTGGAAAAAAAAAGAAGAAAGAGTGCGAAAACGGGGAAAACGTGTTCCGGAATTTCCAGCGATTCACCAGCTCCTCGCCAGGATGTGTTCTTAGGCGATAGATCTCAGCCTATTGTTGGCCACATTTAAGTGCCCTAGAGAGTCCGTGTAACCAAGCAGTCACCATGCACGGCTATCCGGTGATGCAGTTCGTGCAGTACAGCATGCCCCCGCCCTGCTCCTGGGTGCCAGCTCCTCCGCCCTCCTCGGGCAATGTGGATGGCCATCATCGCGGCTCTGGTTGGGATTGGATGTTCCACCCTCTCGCCGCATCTCCAACTAAATGGAATTTTCACTTTCTACTTGCAGTCCATCGCCATGGAGCTGGGATCAAGAAGTACGTGGTCTGGTGTCTCATCTGCGGCGGCTTCAGTTGCCTGCTGGGCGTGCTCTTCCTGGGCGTCTACTTCCTGCTCCATTCCTACACCATTACGGTGGGTAACTTCGAGACGGTGCCCACCTTTGTGCCCGCCACCCTGCTCATCCTCACGGGCGTCTGCATCATGAGCCTGGCCAGGCGTCGGAATCGCTATAGTTATCTGGTATGGATACACTTCGAATTCCCCTACAAGCCTTTATTAATCAATTGCCAATCCCCTCCAGATTAAGCTATCTGGAGCCTGTGGCCTGGTCTCCGCCTTAACCTGCGCCCTGGTCACCGTGACCACCACTGTGCTCCACATGAGTCGTCTGCAGGCGTTGAGGGAATGCGAGTATGCCCAGAAGACGAGGACTTGCACCTGCTACTCGGACCTCATCGAATCCCAGGTGGATCGCGTGGATAAGGGTGAGTTGTCACTGTGATGAGCTAGACTTCTTGGCTAATCCCTTACCTCCATTCCTTTCTAGAAGGAGTGCGCCTGGTGTTCGACTCCCTCTCGGATTGCGGGGTCGTTCATGGCTCCCTGTACTCCTGCCTGAGGGCCATCTTTGGCCTGTCCGTGGCCGGAGTCCTCATTGCCGTCTTCAGCTGCATGTTGGTGTACCAGCTGCTGAGTCACGAACGGAAGAAGATGTACTGGGAGCAGCTGGAGCTGCGCTGCAGATCCTTGTACGCCAGTCAGGCACCTCCTCCTGCCTTGGGTCCTGGCAGGATGTTGAACTGCAGGTGCTGCGAGCAGTGCCACGCCCACCGCCAGTTGACTCTGCCGCTGCAGGCCACCGCCTATCCGTGGGATGAGGCCACAGTGGCCGCCGCCGCAGCAGCCGCCGGAGGAGGAGGTGGGGAGCAGCGTTTCTGGACCGCCCAACCGCCGGGTAACTTCTACTCCCCGAATCCCGGAGGCGAGGATGCGGTGGGAGCCTGCCGGAGTGGAGAGCGGGCAGTGGGAGCGGGTCGCAGCAGCAGCGGATGGAGCTGGCCACGAATGCCCTGGCAACGGACCACTCCTGACACGGGAAGACGCTTCCGACAGGCGGCCGCCAGTCCGGACTCGCAGTACGGCTTCAGTTCGTCCACGGCCGTGCAGGGCGATGGCAACCAGATGCTGATCGAGGAGCCCGTGGTGGCCGCCGCCTACAGCGGAATGCCGCCGCCCAATGCCCTGCCCTACGGAGTCTGGGGTCCTCCGCCGCCGTACAGCGATCCCAATAGTCCGGCCAGGCGGGGCTACTACCAGTACCTGCAGCCCACGGCCTGCCTGGTGGGCAATCCGGGGACTGTCGCCGTCACCCTGACCCAGGAACAGATGCATCCGACCATGCAACACCAGCATTCGCATCCCCAGCAACAGCAACAGTTGCAACAGATGCAACTGCAACGCCTGCAGGTGCAATCGGCCACCTTGGAACGGATGGATGGCCTCAGCAGTGCTGGCAATGTCAGCACCCTGGTGGCGGCCACACGCTCCTCCGCCTACAAGTCCAAGGCGGAGTATGAGAACACGCCATCGGACAGCGATGGGGGAAATCCCCGGGAATCCAGAGAGCGCTGTTCCAACACCCTGCCCACGAGGAAACTTAAGAAGCGTCTGGAGGCGGGCACTGGAGCCAAGAGCATCGGACCGCAGAGCAATCCCGGCCAGCAACGACCCAATGTCCAGCAGCTGTTCGCCAAGCAGGAGCAGCAGCAGCAGCAGCAGCAGGCGGTCCAGGCCAATCCGCAGCAGGCGCAACCGCAGACGGCGGGCGTGGAGAACAGTGGCTACCAGGACTCGAACGGAGCCATTGCCAAGGATCAGGCGGTGGGAACGGATCCCGCCGAGTCGGAGGTGTACTTCGCCGACGTGAGCAGCTGCTGCAACATGTCCGTGAAGAACGACAGCTACTACGACAATGCCCAGCGCCACCAGGGACACCATCATCATCACCAGCACAGCAATTGCAGCCACAGCAGCGGGCAGAGCAACGCCAACGAGGATTACCTGGCCCAGCGTTTCGGTCGGGGAAGGGAGCACTCCGTGCGGAGTCGACTGCCCATTCCGCAGACGAGGCGGGAGGATGACTACGAGAGCTCCAACCTGAACATGCCCACGCTGAAGGAGCAGCAGCAGCAGGCGCAGCAGCTGCAGAAGGAGATCTCGCGCCAGAGCATGTGCTCCGTGGAGTCGGAGGCCAAGACGGAGTTCACCGACCTCTCGCCATCCACGCCCTGCGGCGGTAATCTTCCCCTGCCGCCGCCGGCGAACTTTGCCAGTGATCCGCCGACGACGGGTCAGCAGTCGCCCAGCTTCGTGGCCTCGTTCCCCTACTCCTCGGAGTCGCAGTGCCTGGAGGCGCATCGCCGCTCCACGAAGAACATCCACGAGCTGCTGATCGCCGGCGTGGGCGGCGGAGCCTCCTCGGCGGGCGGCGACTCGCACTACGAGGTGATCAACGACCGGGGCAACCAACCCAATCCCTACCAGCTGCAGCGATCGCAGCAGGCCAAGCACAAGGCGAAGTCCAAGACGCGATCGCGGGAGCAGCTGGACATCTATGGCAGCGGAGCCGAGCGGTCCGACTGGTCCTCGGATGGGGGACGCTTGTGAGATCCCGATGACCAGGAGGTGTTTGTCTAGCAGCGGTTTCACCTTCATTATATTCTCTAGGGATCAGTGATGGGAACTGGGTGGTTTATGTATGACCAAGTACCAAATTTAACACCTATTCCTCAGTCTCTTGTCTATCATATGGTATAAGTATCATTCGTTTATTTGGTTATATGACCTGGATACCCCCCATCACTGCCCGTAGAGCCACCTTTCATTTAGAATCGTCGCATTTGTAATGTTTGCCATCCAAAAGGGAACTCTATTCTATTTAAAATATCCTCTCTCTCTCCCAAAATTATTATCGAAGGTCCTCGGGGCCCCAAAAACCTTGCTTTAACTATTTTACGCGATATCCTTTGCATAGTTTACATAGAACACATATATATAACTTAACACATATGGTAGCATTGAATTGAATGTTGACAACTTGTAGCAATGATAATCTATGGATATTATATACAAATTATGTTATATTTACCTGCGTATTTACATAGTTGCGTATACAGTATACACACAACCATATACACATACAAATATATGACTAGTTAGTTAAATGTTAGAGCGCCAGTTAAATTTATTAAAGAAATACACCAAGTATAACCAAAACATTTTAACAAAAGCGCATTGGATTTTTAATGGGATGCTAAGTTGAAGGGAAATCAACTACAGAAAAATAAATATTTAAAATTATGATGGATGAAATTAAATATCACCCTCTTTTTAAATGTTGCACTAAAAAAGTTTATTTTCCATGACTTATTAACCCCTTATAGATTGCCTATAATTTACGATGAAAAGAAAAAAACGAATTTGTATCTTAAAAATTTAAATTTGGACTTTAATGACTACGTGAACAAGGCGATGTGTTTCTTAGACTATGGCCACCGGTGGACCCAATCCCAATTCCAATATCTTACTGGGTCATCCGGTGCAGCAGCGTGAAGACAGCGGTGGAAACCAGACCCAAACTGAGCACAGTAGCGCCCGCGTTCTTTCGATCCGCAATGCTGCCGTGTGGGATCTCGTTCTCGGAGTCATCCGGCGGCAGTTCCGGAACAGTCAGCTCATCCACGGCAAGAACGGTGGCCTCATTGATAGTCCGCAGCAGGGGATAGTTCTGGCTCAATCTCCGCGGTGCTGCAGTCACTTTCTGGAAGTCCTCGTAGGTGTCCTCGTCCAATAGGCAGTTGCCCAGGAAATCATCCGTGTCCACGGACCACACCATTACCCCAGCCAGTCGTCTGGACATGGCGAACAGCACCTTGTTCGCAATGGAACGCGAGCTGTCGTAGGTCACCACGTGGACCTCCTGGGTGAAGATGTTCCGCTCCGACTTGGCCAGCACCTGGCTTGTTTGTGGATCCCACTGGCGTGTCCATCCGGAGGTTTGGTTGCTCAGCGTCTTACAGATCTCGTTGTAGCCCAGGAATCCGTCCTCCCGCGTGTAAGGACCCTGGAATCCAACTCCATCGCTGTTGTCGTTCAGGTTGCCCGCGGCCACCGTCTTGAAGGTGCGTCCATAGAAGGGCAGACCCATCACCAGTTTCTCGCGCGGTGCTCCCAACTTCAGCAAATAGTCAATGGAGAATTTCTGTAAGACAAAGAGTTTTAAGGATCGACTTTCAAAGGGTTTATAATGTATCATGTAATGTATGGATTTTCAAAAATTTCTGTGCCAGATTTTATTTTAAGCAAGCTTTTGAAGACTATGTCTTAATAAACTATATTACTTCAAGAGTGGTTCAGTAATCCTAATACTTCTGGCTTTACTTAAGTATAATATTAATTTTTCAAACATCTAATAAAGCTGTTCGTTTTAAAAAAATATCTAAATCTGTAACTATATTTGCATATATTGAAGGCATTTCTAGAAAAGAGAATTTTTAATGTAAGAGGTTTTTAAGGACACATTATTTATTTATAAATAATTAAATAGAGTTCTTGAATAGCATTCTTTAATTATATATGAATAAATATTCTTTCCTGAATCGTTGCTATATAGCTTTGGTTCCGGGTCATATTTGGCTATTTGAAGGAATTCAACTGAAGGTGCACTCACCACACTGAGCGGATCATCCGCGGGTGCCGAGAGCGGGGCGTTGTAGCCCACCTTCTGGTCCCAGCTGCCGTGGTAGTCGTAGCACATGATGTGCAGGTAGTCCAGGTAGCGGGAGATCTGCCGCACGTCGTAGGCCTCGTCAATGACCTTCTTGGACGCCCCGATGGCGGAGGTCAGCAGCAGGCCATGCTCGTCGAACTCCTCGCGCAACTCCTTGGTCAGGAGGACGAAGTTCTCGCGATCGGCAGGCTTTCCCTTCCGCTGCGTGGGATACTCCCAGTCCAGATCCAGGCCATCAAAGCCGTACTTCCTGATAAAGGTGGACACCTGCTTGACGAACCGCCCGCGCAGCAGATCGTTGGCCACCAGAATGGAGTAGTTGGCCGAGCCCTCGTTCCAGCCCCCGATGGCCAGGCTGACCTTCAGATGCGGATGGCTGCGCTTCAGGCCGGTCAGCTTCTCGTAGCCACCCTTGCCGTACTCTTCCTTGAGGTCCTGCCAGGGATCTACACGGGAAAAAACCATTGTTGTACTTGATGGAAATAATATACCATATATATAGAACTAATTTGTATCCGTGTAACCGAAAAGGGAAGCCTTTCAATTTGCATACGGCCATAAATCGAGCCCGGAAACTCACCCAACGACTTGATGGCTGCCTGGGTGATGTCCAGTCCCGCGAAAGCGTAAACCACATGGGTGCACAGACTGGGATCGAAGTTGTCGATGGCATAGGCACCCTGCTCCGGCCGGTAAACCGCCCAGGTGGAAATGTAGCAAACCACCACCTTATCGTGCGAAGGTCCTGCGAATACAAAGTAAGGGACAAACAGTTAGCAACCCCTTTGCGGTTGACCTTCGGTGCAAGACTCACCTGTCCTAGCGGCCACTGAAGCCCATAAGCTGCTTGAAATGGAGGCCAAGAGGAGGAGCAGCCACAGCTGCGGTGCTTCCCCCCGCACTGCGCTCTTCAGCGTCATCTGCGGCTTGGTTTTCCTGTGGAAAGATGAACAGACGACGGAATTGATGTAAATGCTTTGCGTGGTTGGCCAGCAACTATGTTGTGACAACTTATAATTCCAATTCAACTCAATTGGCGCCTTAATTAAACGGAAAAAGTGAAAGGCACAAGAATCGACTGATGTAGTTAGAAAAACATTTAAGCTCATATATGAAGGGTGTATAGTATATTCTCATCTGTTTATTCTGCGTTTTGGTTTGCGTATTTGATTTAAATTCAATGGTTGATTGCTCATATCGCTTAAGTTTGGAACTGTTTAATCGAAAAGTCAGGGAGCAAAGGTGATTGCTTTTTAACGGAAATAGTCCAAAGACATTTTTGAAAAATTAAAGCACATTAAGCTAAGCAGTTTCAAAAAGTCTATCCCTCGAATCGCTTTTTAACATGTCTTTTAAATATCATTTAAACAAATATTTACACCTTTTTATGATCAACAAACAACAAACTTTGTACTGCTTAGGTTTTAATGGCATTAAGTCGGACCTAATTTATCTAAGAGCTCAAGTCATTATTTGGAGTGTATTGAAGTATCTCTAAGAAATACACCCCAAACCATGAGTCACGGCAAATGGATATGAAAATCTAAATCAGTAGGAATGTAATGAAAGACTTCGCTTTGTTCTTTCCAGTCCGTATCATTCCGCAGTTGTGGAAGTGGAATCTCATTGGCAATTCGAGTGGGTTGTCGAACCTGATTCTCAACTTTCGCCGGTTCGCCCTTAAATAGCTGGACAGCAAATCTTTGGTGCATCGAGCAGAACCGTGAATCATGCAATCCACTGCGTGTTTTCACAGCTCCAGACTGCTTTTATCTACCGAGAGCAAAACAAGTTAGCCTTGATATCTGTAAATTCTGATAACGAACGGCATGAATAGGCACTTAAAACATGGTAATATTTTAAGAGCTGGAAAATAGGAAGTGCGCACCGAGAAATGGGTGGAAAACAAAGCACAAAGCGGTTTCACTTTCCGGCTTTTTTTCCACCAAATCTCTTGCATATTAATTTGTTTCTTTTTTTATAAGTTTTTGTTGCTCAGGCCCCAGCGAAACCGGAATCTGGCGTTCATCACGAGTTTAAGACCCGACTTGAAAAAAAAAAACAAAGAAGTCGCGAAACATGTGAAGATAGAATACGTACGAGTACGAAATCAAAATCGAGATTGAGGGAAAAAAACCAGGCCATAAAGCCGAGAACAAACATCAAATGGGGTGGGACATGAACTACCAGAGGGATTCGGTGGCTATATTCGTTATTTGTAGGCTGCGCATGCGCAGCAGAGGAAGTGGAGGGCCAATTAAGAGACACACACATGAGTAGAAAGAAGCGAGGAGAAACCCTCCTCAGGCGACATCAAAACAAGTACATTCACAACTACAGCACAGAGGGAATATATGTAACTCCGTCAACGTGCCCAGCGTATCGAATTTGTACGGCTTTGGTATTCTGTACGAAATGCACTATGTTTTATTACCGAACCTGTCTGGTTATTCCGCTTTATCAACGGCAGAAAACTTCGCACCGCCTTCGACGAAAGGTCGCTTATAACTGAATGCGCCTCTTTCGCTTTGCTCGTGGCCACAGCGAAAATTGATACACATTTGTGGCTCCGGCTCTACAGAGCCACTCAAGCCGAACCCGCCCGATCCACCAGCCACATGGCACTCTCCCCCAGTCGTCCCAGAGCCAAGACCCCAAGACGTCGGGGAAACAGAAGTAGCGCTCAGCATAAAAGCAAAGAGCACTTACTTCCCGAAGAGAAAACTTTAAAAGAGTGAACAGCAATATGTACAAGACACCTTCCATGTTCAGTCTAAACTCGTCCCATAGTATAAAAGCTCTTATACGTTTTTATTATCTCGAAAAGTTAAATTAAAAGTTTCGGTTTCTTTGGAAATAATAGTCCAACATTGGAACGAAAGATCGACCCAAAATTAGAAGCCAAGATCTAAACATCGATTTTTAGAAAAGTAATCACGATCATTTAGAAGTATGCCACTTTGAAATCGGATGTCTGTAAGAAAAGTTATGGGCTTAGAAGTGCAGGTTTTGGGTGACTTTTCGGCAAAGCCATTTTTCGGAAATTTGGAAAGTCATTAAGATGACGGAAAATCGACCCCAAAATACAAAACAAACTGAAAACACAGATTTTTAGAAAATTAAACCACAATCATTTAGAAGTATGCCATTTGTAAATCGGATGTCTGTAAGAAAAGTTATGGGCTTAGAAGTGCAGGTTTTAGGTGACTTTTCAGCAAAGTCATTTGTCGGAAATTTGAAAAGGGGTAACATCATTAAAATGACGGAAAATCGACCCCAAAATACAAAACAAACTGAAAACACAGTTTTTTAGAGAGTTAAACCACAATCATTTATAAGTATGCCACTTCGAAATCGGATGTCTGTAAGAAAAGTTATGGGCTTAGAAGTGCAGGTTTTAGGTGACTTTTCAGCAAAGCCATTTTTCGGAAATTTGGAAAGTCATTAAGATGACGGAAAATCGACCCCAAAATACTAAACAAACTGAAAACACAGACTTGTAGAGAATTTAACCACAATCATTAAGAAGTATGCCACTTTGAAATCGGATGTCTGTAAGAAAAGTTATGGGCTTAGAAGTGCAGGTTTTGGGTGACTTTTCAGCAAAGCCATATTTCCGAAATTTGGAAAGGGGTAACATCATTAAAATGACGGAAAATCGACCCCAAAATACAAAACAAACTGAAAACACAGTTTTTTAGAGAGTTAAACCACAATCATTAAGAAGTATGCCACTTTGAAATCGGATGTCTGTAAGAAAAGTTATGGGCTTAGAAGTGCAGGTTTTAGGTGACTTTTCAGCAAAGCCATTTTTCGGAAATTTGAAAAGGGGTAACATCATTAAAATGACGGAAAATCGACCCCAAAATACAAAACAAACTGAAAACACAGACTTTTAGAGAATTTAACCACAATCATTTAGAAGTATGCCATTTGTAAATCGGATGTCTGTAATAAAAGTTATGGTGACGAACACTTTTAATTTTTTTTACTTTTAAAAAATTAGAATGCGGTTAAAGTATAATATTTCCACATATATTTTTAGGTTTTTATTATGGCAGCAACCTGATGATTGGAGTACATGTGTTAAATATTTAAATTATTTCACGCTCACTAAGTATTTGAGAGATCTAGTGAGCTATGAGTATAATTTCCAGATTCCGGAACATGGATTTTAAGAACTCAATTATTTTTGTAGCACTTTGTCGGTAGTCCAATAAACTGACTCCTAGAAATCCAACGTGTTTTGTACGCTTTTATCAGACTTTCAACCGGCCCGACGAAAGTGCGCCAAATTATCGGTCTATCGGTTATTGCTGCATCGAGCAGGTGCCATCGCTGAGCTTTGGACGTAAACAACACAACTGCGTTACACGGAAAGTCAGAGAAAAGTAGTCCAGGAGCGGCACAGAACGTAGCCAGAATAACAAAGATTTGAGCGCGTGCTCCAACAGAAATGGACGTGGAGGAGGATTGCATGGCCAGCGGGACGGCATCCGCCTGCAAACGACTGAGGAGGAACACGGATTCCCGGGAAGACGGCCAACTGGGAGACACAGCGCAGGTTGGGTAAGTGTGGTGTCGTTGGTTAAGTAAGCTCTGCGGCTTGGATAACCGATTGATTTTTTCCGGGTGGGTGAATGCAGCGAGGAGAAAACTGTCACCACAAACCAGTCCGTAATTAACAGCACCACAATCACAACCAACAACAATAACGAAGAGGGCGACATGCTGGGCAAAGAACATTCGGTGAAGGTGGAGAAGGAGGAGCCGGAAAAGACACAACCGAAAGAGGAGCAACCAGAGGAAGAGCAGACTGTCAAAGAACAGCCAGCGAAGGATCAGCCGGATGAGGAGCAGGCGGGCCCCTCCTATCTGGAGTGTCAATTATCACCGCACGCCGCCAGTGCCGTGCTGGCTTCCAATAAGCCAAAGCCCGAGAGTAGCACTTTAACCATCGACAGCGATGATGAGCCATCTACGCCGCGGCCTGGTGACGCTTCCCCAGCAGTCACCTCTCCCAGGTTCAACCCGCGCAACATCCCGGCCACACGCTCCTATCGCCGCATCAACATAGAGCTGGTGGGCACGGTGACTGACTCAGATACCACTGACTCCGACATACACGACTTGCAGGAGGAGGAGGCGGAGGAGTGGGAAACTGAGAACACGAACTCGGATGTGGATACCGATGGGCAGGTGGCCGCAGCGGAGGTAGATCAGCTTGTAGTCGAGTCCGCTGATGAAGAAAGTTCTTCGCACGACGGCTGGGTACACCGCTTTGACCTTTCTAGTGAAAATGACCTAACAACAGAGGTAAAAAAGCGTTTGTAAGAGGCCAAATCCTTTCTAACCGCTTTAAAACTTTTAGGATGAGGTGGAATTAAACGAACCAGAAGCCAATGCCGCTGACCGTGAAAAAGTCGACAGCGCCGTGGACGGGGAGATGTGCAAGTGCAAGCCTGCGTATGCCTGGAACTGCGCTCAGGAGGTGATGAACCGGGAGCATAACATTATAAACCGGATTGGATGGCGTGGCGGCCACACTTCGGTCCAGAGCTTTGGCCAAGGATATTACGGCTCTCGACAGGTAGTGGAGCAGATGACGCTGCTTAGTTCGCTGAACGGTCACGATGGTTGCGTCAACTGCCTGAACTTTAACCGGGCCGGTGATTTGGTTTGCTCCGGCTCCGATGATTTAAACATCGTCGTCTGGGACTGGGCGAACGAAAAACCGCGTCACACTTTTCGCTCCGGCCACAATATGAACATTTTCCAGACCAAGTTCATCGACAGCGCCGGCTGCCTGGACATCGTGTCCGCCAGCCGGGATGGGCAGGTCCGTCGTGCTGTCATCCCGCCCTCCGGAGGTGCGACCAAACCGATGCGCCTTTATACACACAGCGACTCGGTGCACAAGATTGTGCTGGTGCCGCACAGCCGTCACGAGGTGATGAGCGCCGGCGAGGATGGGGCTGTCAAGCACTTTGATCTGCGCACCAGCAATGCGGCCACCACAATGCTGCGCTGTGTTTACCACGACGCAAACGAGAGTGGCAGGGTGCGCCTGTTCAGCATCGCCCATCATCCGTTTGCGCCGGAGTTTTGCGTTAGCGGATCCGACGACAAGCTGCGGGTCTATGACAAGCGCAAGCTGACAAAGCCCACCTTCGAGATGACCCCCGCTATTTGTGCCCAGGACAAGATCACGCAAATTACCTGTGCCGTCTACAACCACAGTGGAAGCGAGATCCTGGCCTCGTACAGCGATGCGGGGGTTTATCTATTCGACAGTCGCAACTACAAGGACGGCGAGTATTTGCACTGCTATGAAGGTCACATGTAAGTTTTTATGCGCCTACTAGTGTCCTGCCACTAACATGTCTGTCTGCCACAGCAATACCCGCACCATTAAGGGAGTGAACTTCTTCGGCCCAAGATCCGAATACATCGTCAGCGGTAGCGACTGCGGCAATATATTTTTCTGGGACAAAAACACGGAGGCAATCATCAACTTCATGAAGGGCGACCACGCTGGAGTGGTCAACTGCCTGGAGCCGCACCCTTGGATGCCTGTGCTGGCCACCTCTGGCCTGGAGCACGACGTTAAGATCTGGACGCCAAATGGCCCGGATAGGGTAGGTTTCAATAAACTACAAATAAATTTTAATACAATTTATCAAGGATTTGTAGAGATCACGATTATGCTCACCGATATTTTCTTTCCGTAGAACGGCCCCAACCCCGACTCTTTGAAACAGACGCTGCAGCGCAATTTCAGGCGCAACATTGTGGATAGAGGGGACTTCGACATTAACCAATTCCAGTACTTTATCCGAGGGTTTCTAGAAGGTTCGGGTACCCGTTCGCGTCGTTCTGCCAATCCCAACCGAACCCCTTTTTTTCAACGCCAGGGGCGGCCGCGTCCGGACAACAATTCCAGCACAAGCAGCAGCAACAGCTCCGATGACACCAATGGCGAGGGAGCCGCGGCCGCCGCTGCGCTGGACTCGCTGCACTGCCGCACGCAGTGAGGATGCAACAGGCCCGCATCCAAAATCACAGGCGTGGATGAGCTTCAAAAGCCGTCCTCAGCCACCGTATAATTTCTGATATAGATATGTTAGAAAGCGTTTCTAAAGCTGTGAATTTGTAACCGTAACACATAAGTGCGCATGTTTTAATTTAAAACAGGGTTTAATAAATGCTCATTGAAAAGGATTTAATTTCTTTACTATTTTGATACCTTTTAGAAAGGAATGTTATGCTATGATATATAAGTAGGTATATGCATTTATTATGAATAACACTAAATGAGTGATCACCTTAATATAAAATGTCTTTAAATGTAATAAGCTGTAATAATCTAGAAGCTTTCTGATTTCATGTCAAATCTTAGTTCACATTTATAATTTGTAAGTCCATAGTCAATTACCTGGACATTAAATAACACAACTTTGCATGTTTAAAATATATTATTATTAGTTATAAATATACAAGGTTGTGTTCCTTAATCTCCAGGGAATTATTATGAACAGTCTTTCAAGATGGTAGTATACATATGTTTTTAACATAATTCTTAAAATGTGTTTTGAAAAGTTAACAGAAAATTGTGCATAATGTAGGAATAGTTTAAACACAAACAATGCAGTGGTGGCTCCCGTAGGAGCTCAGTCGCTGGTCTGGCAGATGAGGGCCACGCTCCGTTTGACCCAGTGCGAAGCCTTGACATGTGTGTTTAGCAGCAGCGGCACCACGTAGTTCGTGGAGTGACCCGTCGTGGACAACGTGCCCTTGCGCTCGCCAGTCTTGTAGAGCGGACAGCGGTAGCGCGAGCCCTCGACCACTTCGGCGAGTCCCACTGGCCGGAAGAAGATCACGGGCATGGCATAGATGAGGATTTTGGGGAACTGCTCCACCAGCGTGTTCTCCCGCCACTCCCAGCGTGCTCCCTCCAGGAACAGCCCATTGCAGTACACCCCATCATCTGGCGGCGTCGCTTTCGTCTCCACCTTGAGCACGTCGTAATCAAAGGTCAGCGTGTCGATGGGGATCTTGTACTTCCGCGCGAAGTTCTGCATGGCGCCGGTGAGGAAGGCCTGCGTGAAGAAGAACCCGGAAAGCCAGAAGGTGGGCGGCTTGCCGTGGTGGTGCCAGTCGTGAAGCCAGTTGAGCCGCTTGTACAGATCCTGGACATAGGAACCGAGTGGCTTCAGGCACGGGTACGACTTGGACATCCACTTGGTTGGAATGCGGTTGAACTTCATCGCTGTCATCACGTTCTCCAGATCAGGCGTCATTACGATTATACCCTTGATGCCCATGGCCAGATCTCGGCAGCTGCCGCGGATCTCCTTCTGGAGCTTAAGAAAGCGCTCCATCTCCTGCACCACGACCGTGTTCATGGACTCGTTGTAGTCCACTGGGTACTTCTCTGCCGCCGCCTCGATGTCCATGTCCGGCGGCATCTCGCTCTCGATCTGCTTGATCGTGTTAAGGATGATCTGTTCCACACTTACTCCTGCCCCGGCGGATCCCGCCGCCTCACTGCCCAGCAATAGAATCATCGAGTCGAGCAGCGTCTTGGTCGTCTGCAGATCCCGCGTTATGCCGGAGTTGGCATGCAGACCATAGACCTCGGGCGGAGCCAGCGAGGGGAGGTTCTCGTCCAGATACCGCAGGATCTCGCGGTGCTCCGTCTTTCGCGGCAGGATGTAGCGGTCGTCGCTGGCAAACCTATAGCGGTTGTCCGACACCGCCTGGGCGTTGCAGAAGTCCGCCAGGATCGTCACAATCAATCGGCGATCCCAGTTATCCGTGACCCTTCCGCCGTAGTTGCACTCGCTGGTCAGATACGAGATGGCGTCGTAGGGCACATGGTCATACTGGTTCAGCAGCATCTAAAGGGACCAGCGTTACATAAATAAATATTTATTAATCATAATCATAATCCACACTTACGCTCAGCTGCAGCACAGAGATCTGCAGATCAGACTCGTTGAATCCGTAGGCAATGTTCCAGCCCAATGGACCGTACTTCCGGCGCTCCTGGACAACGGCGTGGAAGAAGCAAATCCCGTAGAGCAGCCGGGTAAAGGCGCGATCCTGCTTGGCACAGCCCGTGTAGAACTCGTAGTCGTTAATGGGCTCCGAGTTATACGAACGCATCAGGTTCTCCTTGAGTCCGGTCGGCGGTTCATTAGTCATCTTCACGCCGTTCTGTAGGATGGTGACCGGGAATTGGGGCGTTGGATAAGCGGTCAGCCAGATTCGGAAGTTGGCTACGGAAGAGAATCAGGGAATTTAATCATTAATTATAATACTCCCAATATTTCCATTAAAAAATAATAATAAGTTAGAATATAATTGCAAATCAAGCAAAAAAAAAAAAAAAAAAAAAATTTTAATAAACTTAATTTTTAAATTCAAAATTCTTTATTTTCGTATTTTTTAAATGAGCCATAAGTAACATAAAACGTTACGTTCTTCTTTTAAGATAAGGCTATTTTAAACAAATTTTAAACTTGGAAAATGGGTACTTATGATAGTGCATTATTACCAAGTAGTCCAATACTTTCGGTGCCTGATTTGAATCATAGAAGAAGGTACTTACGCGTGGTGTTGAAGGTGTCCATATTCTCCCAGAGGTACTCCAAATAGGGCATCCATGAAGCGGCCAGATGACAGTTCTGCAGGCACACCCAGTAGCCCATCTCCTGGGCGTTCTTGATCAGCGCCGTGGCAATCGGACCTTGTCCCTGGCCCAGCGAGATGCTCTGGAAGGTCTCCTCCTGGCCCATCTTCTCGGCGAAGGCCAGCAGAGAGCCCAGTGGGTCTGCTCCGGGCGAGAGAATGAACACCAGCGGGGTGAGCGCCGTGGAGTCAGCATACGACTTGGAAATGTCGAACTCCGGCGGAGTGACATACTGATCCCCGATGCACTCGGCGATGAAGATGCGCACCGCCAGGAAAACGGAGTCGGGCCGCAGGGCCTTTAAGACAATGATCTTTTCGAAGGCGGTCGTCTTATCCTGCCATGGAGGCGGAAGCGGTTGCTTCTCCGGCGAAAAGTGGTCGTAAATCGCCTGCCAGGCGGCCAGGTGACTCTTGAAGTGTTCCACGATGCCGCGCAGCTCCTTGAGCTCCTCCAAGCGGAGCACATTGAGCCACACAGTCTCTGTTATCCAGCTGGGATCCGGATTGGGGGGTATGTTCGTGGACTCCTTGGCGTTGGTGACCAGGTGGGCAAAGTGCCGCATCTCCACCTGACCCGTGCCCAGCAGTATGCGGGCGGTGAGGATGAAGGAGTAGAGCAGCTTGTCCTTCTCGAAGATGGAGCGGCACACGTTGTTGTACAGATTGCGAGTAAAGCCATCCACCAGGAACTTAATGCGCCGCGGCAGGTCCTTGGACTTGTTGGCCGTTTCTATGGAATACATGTACAGGTTGATGTACCAATTGAGGGAGAACTGGTACATGGGATCGATGTTGGGCAGATCCGTAATCGAGTAGTACAATATGGAAGAATGCACTGCCACGGGCTTGTAGTTCAGCCGAAAGGCCTCGATCTTGGCCACCGTCTCCTTGGCCGCCTCCTGTTTCTCTACAATATCCTTGGACAGTCCTTTGGAATCCGCCAGGATCTGAATCGCCGCCTCGTTCTCCAGGATGTCGCCACCGGCGCTAAGCGTCTTCAGAATCATATTCTCCGCATCCCGGAGAGCTCCCTTATTGGCCGCCGCCTCCGTGGTGAGCGTGATCCGAAGCTCCTGCAAATCGGGACGCTCCTTGGCCACCACAATGCTGAGAAGCTGATCCATCAGAGCGTTCTGGGTGAGAGCAAAGTTTATCACTGTCACCTTGTTAAAGGTCTCCGGCAGAAAGTGCGGATTGCGGAGGTTGCAGGTCATGTACAGCCGGAAGTTCGGATTGACCGGCACAACTGTCTCGCCCAAGCTGATGTGCTTGACACCGCCCTGCATGAAGGTCTGTCGCATCAGAATGGGATCGAGCGGCACCTCCAGCTCCTCCTGAACATTTTCGATTATCACCGGTGTTCCGTACTCGAGTGCCTCGGCAATCACCCTCATGTAATTGCTCTGGTTGAACTTGACGCAGTTCAGCCGGTTCTTGCGCTCCATATTCTTCAGCCAGTTGTTGGCCTGAGCCTGGGGATCGATGAACAAGCTGTACCGGCTGGAATTGGCCGAGATAATGGCGTTCTCGCTGGAAAACTCGTCGTTGGGCAGTCCGTCCAGCTGCCAGTTCTGAATGGTGACCTCCAGGCCAAGTACTTCTGAAATAGAATAGTGGTCGGAGCAGGGAATCTTCAGGTCCTTAACCTTTTTGAACCAGTCCTTGACGCAATCCGAGCGGTACTGCAGATTCACGGCCGACAGGTAGGCGATGATCCCACACGAGATGAGCACATCACCGGGGAGGTGGTCGTACAGTTCCTGCAGATCCTCCGCCGCCTTGTTCCAGCGCGATTTCTCACCTCCCAGTCCGCCAATGAGGGCCTCCGCCCGGAGCAGCTTGTTGCGACAGCTCTCGGCGTGATCCTCTGTCTTTTGCATCTCCGCGTTGGCCTTGTCCAACTCGATGTTCAGCTGGGCCACCTTCTCCTCCAAGGCGAGGGCCAGGGCCCTCTTCGCGGCCAGGAACTCCATCGTGTCGGCGTACTCCTTCTCCGCCCCAGCCAGCTTGGCCTTCTTGGGCGCCACCACCTTGGCCACCTCGTCGTACATGTCCATGGCGATGATCCACTGGCACAGACCCTTGGCCGCACTCGAGGCCTTGGCCACCACCTTGGGGTCGAAGTCCTTGTTGGGGATGAACTCCTTGCGGATCCGCTTCATGATCTCCGCAGGAATATTGTCCTTGTCGAACTCCTTGAGAGCCGGCAGGAAGTTCATCTCGCCCAGGAGCCGCTTGCTCGGTCCCCAGTAGTCTTGGACCATTTTCCCAGAGGCTGGATCCGGAACGCGGTCTGACGGAATACCCTTGATCACACAGACGGCGGCCATCACCAGCTTTATCACTGGCGGCGGATTCTTCATCGACTTGACCAGCGTTATGTCCGCCGGTTTCAAAGTGTTCAGGGCAGCCAGGGCATCCTCCAGAACGGGAATGGCCTTGGCAAGATCTCGTTCGCAATCCTGCTTCAGCACTTGGGCTGCCTCGGCCTGCACGGAGGCCACCTCCTCGTCCCGTTTCACCTGCTCGGCGGCGGCACTGGCGGCCAGCGTTTCCTTGTTGATCTCCAGCATCATCTTGCGCGATGCCTCCGCCAAGGCCACCAACTTGGGCTGCAGGGCATTCAGATCCCGCTGCATAATCGAAATGGCTGCTGCTGCCTGGGCCAGCGTATCCAGGCCACCAATGTAACGCATCTTGGCCAGCATCGTTTCGCTCTGCTTCCGGTAAATGAGCGTTTGGAAGGAGCGGATCAGTTCGATGAAGGAGGCGTTCGTCTGGTAGATGTGACGCCCGGTCATCTGGCAAAAGGCGCGCGTCGCTCGCGCCGCCGTCATGTGGAAGTACTGGCAGGTGTCCATGATGGCCAGTTTGATGTCCTCGCTTGGCACATTGACATCCACCAGCGACATCTTGGCTATCATCGACAGGGCCTCCTCCGGCCAGCTGTCGTACCAATCGATGGTGCAGCAGTTTACCAGCGAGGGATACAAACGGACTCGAGTCCTGAGGGCATCCCCAATGGGTGAAAAGCTGAGGATCATGTGCAGCTTCTGCTTGCAGCGGTCCACAAAGAAGGAGAAGACCTGCAGCGCCGAGACATCGATGTTGCGATTGCCTCCCTGTGCCGCCAGTCGCACCAACTCCAGCACCTCCTGCTTCTCGTCGATCGGGAATATGTTGGGTACCTCGCCCTGGTTCAGCAGGCAGTCTATGTCCTGCAGAAAGAGCTCCATTTTGATCTGGTTTTCGGTTATCAGGAATGTTGTGTGCTTGTTCATTCCACCCGCCTCCTTCAGGATCGCCTTGATGTCGTCGTGCCAATCGTTGGCCCCATAATTCTTGGTTATCTCCGGCTGGAAGAACGATGTCTGCACCATGTTGGTGGCCAACTTGGTCAGCGACTGGCGTCCAGATCCACCCAGCCCAATGATCAGGGCACTAGCTCCCTGAATCGAAATGATGCGGCAAATGCGGTTCAGATGCTGCAGCGCAAAGGTGAACAGCGTGATGTCCATTTTGTTGCGGCGAGTCGAATTGTAGTCATCTAGGCTGGCCAGCGCCAGGTTTAGGAAGACCTCCATGCTGGGCACTTCCTCGTAGCGCCGCTCATCCGGCGTGCTGTCCTCGTCGAAATAAACGCCAAACATGACGCTACTGGCTGCCTCCATGGTGAACACCTGCTCGTCTTGTCCCTAGAAAGCAATAGTTGTGGTTAGATATGAATGCTTGAAGGTCTATATCAAGACCTGATCTAATCTCACTCACCGGGACGCAATATCGATCGAAGATGGTCTCCACCTTGTCCTTGAAATTCGCCTTCAGGCACTCGTTTAGCTTCTCAAACATCCATTTGCGATCCACATCGTCCACCAGGCGATCGTAAAAAACTCGCATGGCCTCGTGGTACCAGACCCGCACGAACATTTTTTTGTCCGAGACCGACTCCTTCCGCACCAGAGTGCATCCAGTAATCACGCGGGACATGTCCCTTAGGTTGAATATGTAGTGGGACTTGGACGGAGTAGCCCGTATCTCCGACTGCACGCTCTTGTAGATGCTCTGCGTGGCACTCACTATCTGATTGGTCACGACGAACACATCCTGTCCGTGCCCACAACGCCGGAAGCCATTCAACGCCACATTCAGGAATATGCGGAACATACTATCGTCACTGAACGTGTTGATGGAATAAACGTTGAAGTGGTTCAGGAAGCGGGCATAGACATCCTGTCGACTGCCGCCGGGCAGGCCACATGCGGCCATGATCAGTACGTTGTGGATATAGACCTTTGAGCTATCCTTCAGGTCATACACATGGCCATAGTCGAAGAACTGGCGCAGCAGCTCCAGGGGAGGCTGTGCACCGTAAACCTCCTTCACCGGCATGTTCATGTCGTCCACGAAGAGCACACTTTGCATTCCCTTCGGCGGGCCGTAGATGCCTCGCTTCCACTTCTGCAGTTTAGATATGAGCAGCTCCTGGCACTGGTTGGCTGAGATCATTACAGTGAAGGTGATGAATCCCGTCTCGAACACCTCCTTATCCAGCTTGTTCATCAGGTAGTTCTGTATGTAGACCGTCTTTCCGGTACCCGTCGGTCCAACCAGCAGCATTCGCTTCTTGTGCTCCACGTGCATCTTCAGCAGGTGAATATAACGAGCCGTATCCACGGTGGGCACTATTACCCCTGTCTTGGTCTCCTCCACGTCCATGCGCTTGGCAAGATCCGGCCAGTAGCGCCAGGCTCCTCGCTGTTTGTACAGAAAGACGTAGTCCACCAGCAGGCCCTCCGTGGGCGGAGTTATCTCCATCTTGCCCAGCGGTTCCGGCGGCGGAGGATCGCTGTCCCAAAGCTGCAGTAATATATTTATATACTCAGCTGTTAAAGAAAACTTGTAATTTCCCTTACTTTCTTTACGAACACATCGAACTTCTCTCGGGAAGCAGTGTCCAGTACTCCGCCAACTCCCCAAATCAGAGCGAACAGAATGGCGGCCTGGAAGTAGCTCTGGATGTACTTCTGGTAGTCCTCCGGATTCTCTTCAATCGCCTCCGCGATCTGCATGTCGAACAGGTCGAAGAGGGTTAGCATGCAGTTGAACTCCCCGGGCTTAATGAACTGACTGCAATATCGCCTAACAAACGTTTGGCACTGAAATTCATAAACATTAGAAGGTAATTGGACTATGGGAAAGCTACTCACGGGCGGCAGAAGCCACTGCAGCAGGGCCATCACATAAGGCACCCCCTCCTCATCCGCCCAGCGAGGATCGGCCTTCTTCAGCCAGCTCTTGGCGAAGGAGCGCCATCCCAGCGTCGAGGGCTCCATGTAGATCATCCCGCATCGGGACACGGTGGCCGGCGAGGCCTGGGCCAGATCCATTACCTCGAACACCATCGACATCTCGTTGCTCATGGTGATCACCTCGCCGCTGGTCAGGCACAGCTTCTTGTTGTCGTCCAGCACCGTGTTCATGTTCTCAATCCAAACGGCATCCACGGGTCCATCAAAAATGACCTAGGAAAACATTAACACTGTGTTACAAAACCTGACCTTTATTTATTATTATATTGTATTTTTTTATACTTTAATGAAAATAAGTTTTTGCAATAGAGCCACAGCAATATTCCTGTTGAAAATGTACTTTAAATCTGGAATATTACGATTATTATCACTTCTTCATTAACAATATGCATCTCTTTGGCTTTTGAAAATTACTTTCCAAAGAATTTTAAACATTTTTTAAAGGAGTTAGCAATAGCGATACGAATAAAATAAAAAAATAAGAATGGGAAATAAAAATTGATCCTGATTCTCTACATTATATACATATTTGGAAGCCCTGTAAAAGACTCACCCATTTTCTATCCGGCGTGGGCGTCATGGCAAAGTCACGGAAGATCTTGGCAACCAGGCCGTCCGTCCACTCATACGAAATGGGATCGAAAGAGCCGTACAGCTGGTTCATGGTAATGGACTTAGGGTTCATGATGCCCATTTGAACGTGTTGAAAGTATATACTTTTCTGCGGTGCCTTAATCTTCAGAGCGGACATGACCTTGGCCAGGACCTGAAGCGTTTTGGACTTTCCCGCCAGCGGTTCCCCCACCAGCATAAATCCGTGCCTGACGATAATCATTTCATACGTCTGAATGACCTTGAGTAGAAAACTGGGAGCAGGCTCCAAAACCTCCTCCAAACAGACGCGCTTGAACTCCGTTTCCACCAGGGAGTAGTCGATGTGGGGCAACTTGATGCCCGGGAAGATGTCCGAGATGATGCCCTCGAACAGGGGAACATCGAACGAGAGGAACTTTGGAAGATTCACGTCGATCAGACTGCGCAACAGCAGAATGTCCTCCACCTCGTCCGGATACTGCTTTTTGATGTTACCGCAGGCGGAGAGCACCGTCTTGACGGCTCGCATGCCGTAATCATAGTGATTCTGGCTGGACAACTGCTCCGAACAAAGTCTGTAGGTTGTCACAATCTTTACGGCCAGCTTTCGGGCATCCACGAATCCATAGGAGTACAGTGAGATCTCCCCGATCATGGCATAATCCGGCACCATCATGGCCACAGACCGGAAGAGCACTTTCAAATTATCCGGCAGTTCGGATCGGCCGGCATAGCCGGGATTCATGGTGATGCAAACGTAGCAGGCGGGATTCAGCGTCAACTCTGTGCCCTCGAACATGAACTTGGTGGCATTGGCGCGCACCGCTTGAATAATAAGCAGGATTTGTTGTGCCACCACGGAGAGTACTTCCAGCTCGATTCGATTGAACTCATCGAAGCACGCCCAGGCACCGCACGAGGCCAATCCCTTGAAGAACTTGCCCATGGCCTTGTAGTCCAGGCCGTCGGAGCAATTGAACACCTTGCACTGCACGGCCAGAGCCTTGGCCAGATCCTTGGTGGTCTCCGTCTTTCCCGTTCCAGCAGGTCCCTCCGGAGCTCCGTTTAGATGCAGCTGATAGGCTCCCACCAGGGTGCGATAGCAACGATCCGTCAGAGGGGTGATCACCAGGCGATCCGAGTTGCCGAGATACTCGTTGGCAAAGGGCACAGTGGCGTTGATTATTCGCACCCAGGTCTTTTCGTCCTCCCAGTAGTAACGCATCTGGGCCAGCCACTGGAAGTCGAACTCACTGCTGACCTTATTCTTGATGAGGTCCTCGGAGACGTCCTTGGCATGCACATCGATCACAATCAATGACTTAATGGTGATCCGATTGAGGTTGCTGATCTTTGGCGAGCGAACCAGCGTCACAATATCGTTTAGCTCCTTGGACAGCTCCTGGAAGAAGTTCATCATGATGGTCATATTGCCGCCGAAGGTGCGACGCAGGCATCCGTGGACGCGGGATGCCCAATACACCTGCGAGATGGCCAGCACCGTCATCTGGGGCCACTCCAGCACCCACTCGTGCCGCTTGACCTTCGGGTAGTGGGCGAAGGAGAGCTCGTTCTGGTAGCGCACCGCCTTTAGCATCTCGTCCTCCACTCCAATCAGCCACTTCTCCACACTTCCTCCGGCCGCCGCTGTGGAGACCTGCTCCATGAACTCGATCGATTCCTTGTCGCTGCTAATCATGGCCAGCACATTCTTGGCCGCATCGAACTCCAGGCTATTTATGCCCTCGAAGCACTTGCTCAGATGTGGTAGCACGCGCAGCGGATCCTTCGTCTCGGAGAGAATCTCAAGCATCTCGTCGTTGGCCAGGAAAAAGAAGCGCGGGAAGTATAGACGCTTTTTCTCCAGGTAATTGCTCACGCCGGTGGCTACATCCTCCAGCAGTTCGTTGGCCTTCTGCAAGGACTCAAGCAAACCCGAAACGGGCGCAGTTTCCATCACCAGTGGTTGCCGCAGGACCAAGCCCATGTTCCTAGTGTAGGTCTGCTCCACGATGACGAAGAGGCGACCCTCTTCGGGCATCTGGGCCACTATGTCCTTCGATGAGAAGATGGGCAGCAGGTACAGGTAGTTGGCCTGCACCTTGCCCCACTGATCTAGTGTTTCATTAACCCGCATGATCTTCTCGTACCAGGCCCGCACTTCCTCCTCGCAGGGCTTCATGAACGCCGAGCCTCGCATGACCAACGTCTTGAGGATGTGGTCGTCGAGCAGGGCCTGGATGTCATCCAGACTGCTGAGGATCATTACGCCCGTCTCCTTGTATGGACCGTAGGGAAAGACCCTGCTCTCCCACTCCTTGATCATGGCCTGCAGGGCATTCCACAGCTGCAGCTCCTTATTGGCCCCGATACTGATGATCTCAAATTGATCGAGGATCGGATCCAGACCGGAGTTGAGGATCTTGCGCAGAGTAGTTCCCGCATCGGGTGTGACATCCCAGCCCGCTATCTCGGACATCTCCTTCCAGTGGCGCTTGCGCAGAGCCGGATTGCACATAGTATTCACTATAAACACGCCGGTGGTGAAGTCTTTGATGGACTGGATCATCGAAGTGCACAGTCGCAGGGGAACTGGGTGCTTGGCCGGATCTGGGTCTTCGGTTTGACCCTGCAGGGACAGAAATTTTGTATAAAAGAATTTTTTAACCTTGTAAACCCACCTTGAATTTGCACACAGGATTATCAATTAGATCTTGTTTTATTTTGACTCTGTAGTACTTTTGATTTTTCTGGAACTCCTTAAGGTAATCGTCCGTAGTTCTCTCCACAAACTGGGGTTCCAGATACTCGAAGGGTCCATCGTTCCACACGCTCAAGTATCGCTGCCACTCAATACAGCATCTAAAGATAGTTTTAAAGTTAATTATAATATTCTTTATGGCCATAATAACAAACTTTATTAAATAATTTATTTTAATATTTCAAATAAAATATTATATATTGGTAGTTAAGATTAAGAACAAAAAGTACATTTTAATATCTATATCTTTTTGATGGGCATAACTAATTACAAGTCTATCGAAACAACAAATATGTATTTTGATTTTTATAGCAACAAAAAAGAATTTTGACTTAAAAAAAATTAAAAATAATAAATAAATATTTTGCAAGTGCTAAACCCAGACCCCCTTTAATATATGGTACTTACTTCATAAGCTCGGCAAATGGGTAGACGAACGTCTTGATGATCTCCAATTTGGGATATTCAGTTATGGCGATCTTAAAGAGCTTCTCCTCCTTGTTGATCCAAGCCACGTAGTCGTCGAAGGTCTTTAGCTGGTCTATAAAATTCTGCAGTATAATGTAGCTGTCTCGGAACTTTTCCGGTCGACTCATGTCATCGATGACGGCCAACTTGGGCAGTAGGTCGTCTATGTCCGTGTTCAGCTTCCGGATGACCTCCTGCAGATGCTCCTCGAAGGTGAACTTGAACTGCTCCTGCTGCGAGGCATTGTAGTCGCAGATGTCGTTGATGTCCTTGATCCAGTTAATAGTCTTGATGGTCAGGTCAAAGTGGTATTTGGACATCTCGGTCAGCTCGACGATGTTGGTGCCCACTTGCAGGCAGTACTGGATGCGGTCGGTCAACTCGGCGATCTTCTCCTTTTTCACGAGAATCATGTATTCCGCGCTCTCCAACAGCTCCTCCGTGGACTTCGGGATCTCCAGCGCCCGGTACTTGATCTTCTCGAACTCGTCACAAATCTCCACCTCTGCCTTGATGTGCTCCCGAATGATGATTGTGGTTATCTCATGGATCAGGTTCTCGGCCAGGGTACGAAGACCGATTACTGCCGGCTCGTTGTGGATTACTGCCATCACAAAGTATTCGGTTCCGGGTTCGCTTCGCAGCATTTGAATGAATCCGTAGTACATGTCGATCCGGGCAAAATACTCCTCGAACTCATGCGGTTCGGACAAAAACTGATTCAGCGCATCTCGTTCCTGCCAGGAGTACAGTGCATAATACTTGTCCCGAAAGCCGTCGATGTACTGGATCACCTCCTGATACGTCCGCATGATTATGTTTTGAACCTGTGGGAATTATTTTATGTAGCGTGTTTTAAATGTTAAAATAACTTTGCATTTATAAAATAAATGAAACGATATATATTTTTAATTATAAAATAAATAAAAAGATATATATTTTGACGATTAATGAGGTAGACGAACAAACTATTTGTTTCTTTTGAATAAAATTATAATAATGGCTAAATTAATAAAATTCTTAAGTACTTTCAAAAAAGCATTTCCTAATTTACTTGCTTTATATAAATCTGTTGGGCATTGGTTCTATATGGGTTCTATATTAACCAAGTTTCCCTAATTTTATACCCACCTTATCGATCACGTCCTTTAGGTAGTTCTCATTCATCTCAATCTTTAGGTAATCGTTTACCTTCGCGTACATGGCCATCGAGGTGAGCGTCTGCACCTGGGGCTGCAGTGGCTCCATGCGGTACCCCACCATCGAGATCTCGGTGGCGATCTCGGCGAAAGTGCGCAGGATGGCCCAGACATTGGGCCGCGTGTCCAGATCGCTGGAAAACTCAGCCCATTCTAGTGACATGCGCAGCATGGGCATCGTGCGTGGATGGCTGCACATCCTGTACATCTCCTCGAAGGTTCGGATCTTCATGTTAGTCATCTCGCGGTTCATCAGGCCCTCCAGAGCGTTCCAGGCCCGCTTCCATGTGCTCATCGGCATCACGCGCTTGCGCATTAGCTTGCGCAGCACCAGAACCACTTTGGGGTACCAGGTCCACCTAAGAAAGGTGTTTACCTTGTCCAGCTGATTCTGGATATACTTGCGGTAGAACTTGTAAGACAGCGCCTCCCGTCCTCCCAATCCCAGCTGCTGCTGCATGGCGCCGGTGGCCAGCACATAGTGGAAGACGCAGGCCAGGTTCGGCAATTCTCCGACGGATATATTGAGGATGGCCCTTAGCGGCTGCTGAAGGATCAGAAGCCTCTGGGCAATGCGTCGCCGGTTCTCCAGGAAGTTGCTGTAGTTCTGAGTGCGACCCGGCCGTCGGAAGCCAATGTCGGGGTGGGGCAGCTCAAATTGTGACGGATCCTCGTCGGAGAATTCCGGATGCCGCAGGATGTTCTTCATACTGTAGACCTTCATCAAACGGTTGAACTCCTGGTGCACGTCCTGCATGTAGGCCTTCACCAGCTCCGGGTACTTGTTCTTCAACCGCTCCGAGGCGAAACTGAGGATCTTAGCCTCCGTGCGGCGCAGCATCGGCGGCACCACAATCTTTCTCACCTCGCGTCGCAGGTTATCCTCGTAGTGAGACTGGGGCAGCGGACGGATGTCTGGCTCCGGCTGCCACTGCTGGCGGGCCACCCGTACCTTGACATCCGCCGCCTTTTGCTTGAGGAACTCGTAGTGCCGGCGTTCGTGCACCTCGCTGATCCGGAACTTGAGCAATGGGTTCTTCATGTACGGCTCATTGTCGTACTTCGTGATGTCCGACGCCGGGCGGTGCATCCGTTCCAGCTTCTTGCTGTACATGATGGAGCCTTCTTTGGTCACGAATTTAGTGCAGGGTTTTCTTTTTTTAGTTGTCCGATTGTTATTGTTACTAAGGCGACTTGTTGTGTTTATTTTGTTTGTTTTTGGGGGGAGGTTTCTAAAATTACCGGTTCGATGACCTTGCAGGATTACGACCTGGTATTAAAGTTCATGTTTATTTATTGATCGATAGCGTTATCAATTCGATTGAAAATGACATTACAGATACAGAGATTAACAACGGTTTAGCAACAATAATAATAGTTACAATAATAATTACATAACGTCTCGCTCCGCCGATTGCGCTTGAATATACAAAATTCTAAAACACCCGAAATGTTCGTCAAAAAACAGCCTTAAGTTTATGTCCTATAACTTATGCAGCATGAGAGGTTTGAAAGGGAGTGAGGGGCGGAGAGTGCGGGGGCGGGTCGTGCTTGTATAGTGTAAAGCGCATTACAGTTCACAAAGTTGTACGTATAGAATTACAAAACATAGATGAGCGTTCCTCCCTCACAATAGTATCAATAGATTCGTATCAAAGAAATTGCACGTGTTTGATTTGACAATTTTTAAATTGGCTTCTTGTGTGTGTTTTCTGTTGTATCTAGGTACGATTAAGCGTTTCCATATCTTTTACGGACCTGTTCCGGTTCAAACATATCTCTATTGACCTAAATCAAGAAAAATACAGCGGTAATAAGATGTTCTAACAAAAACTATACAAATCTCTCCATTTTTGATATCAAATCAAAGTGATAAAGCGATCTAATGAGCTGATCGTTCAGTTATGATAGGCTAACCCAGAACAGGCCTGATAGTTCGTAATTATTGCGTAACTACATACCTACTAGGGTAGGCAAATATGCATATTAAACAGTACATAGTCTAGGGACAACAGTAGTGATTGACTCTAGTTCGCTGCGGTTGGGATTCATTGGTCATTGGTCCGCACCAATCGCTACCTCTCGAACTGCAGCACGTAGTCCTTGAGCGGGCCGGGCAGGTTCAAGCGGTTGATGTTCTGGGCCAGCTTGCGGTTCATCGCCTCGTAGATGGCCCAGCGGGACAGCTGCTTCAGACTGCGCGGCCGGCGATAAAGCGTCGAGATCAGGGCTATTAGCTGCTCTGTCTTTTTGCTTGGCACCTGGGCCACGTAGAAGTTGTGCAGAGACTTGAGGCAATTGAAAAGCGGCTCATGCTGCATGGTCAGGTAGAAGAGGTGAATGACGCGGGTGTACGTCGCGTGCGGATCGTTCAGGATAAACTCCTTCTTGGTGATCAGGATGATATAGTAAAAGAGCAGGTAGCACGAGTTGGTGCGGAACGAGCTGCGGAAGGTGGCAAGCTCGTTGGAGAAGATGGCGGTTCCCGGCGTCGTCTTGCCGCTGAGCACTATATTGGGATCGGCCCCGTACTGGATTAGCGTCAGGGTCAGCTCGTAGACGCACTCCATGTCGTGGCAGGTGCGCACATTATGCACCATGTCCATCACCGCCTGTAGAATGTGCTGATATGTCTTGTTGCAGTCCAGGCCGTGCTGAAGCAGCATCAGAAGGATGTTCTTGATGAAGTCGAAGTTTGTGCGCTTCTGGGCATCACAGTTGAGCGTAAAGTTCTCGCTCACCGTAAAAACGAGCACGTGCAGCGGCTTGAGGTTGGCGCGGTAGGAGCAATTGGGATTGGCTCCGTGCTGCAGCAGCATGCGGATGCAGTTCAGATAGCAGACCTAAAAGAAGGGATTAGCTTGCAAAAAGATTATCTTTACTCTATTAGTCAAACCTTCATGGAGTGCGTGAAATGATGCAGGTGATCCTTATTAATTAATGGCACTAGCAGAACCATAATGGGCACAGACCCATCCCTCCCAACTATGTTGGGATCACCTGAAAGAAAATATTTATTGTAATCAAAACTATTGGTAAACCACTAATTCACACACTTACCATTTTCCTTGATGAGCATGCTGAGCAGCTCGTAGCAGACCTCCCAGTCTCTCAAGTGGCGAAATACACAGGCCATGGCACTGTTACCCGCCTGGTTAATCGACTGCTTAGCCCCGCTCTGCAGCAGGAACCGCACTAGGTGCAGGACGTCCCACTTGCTCCACTTATCGTAACCATAACGCGCCTCCTCTAGGGCATAGCGCACGATCAGGGCGTGCAAGGGTGTGTTCCCCAGCGAGTCGGGGGCGTTGATTAGCTCCTTGCAGCCGCGTTCTAACAGAATGCGGAGGGTAGCAAGCGTGTCGTCTGCCGATTTTCGAGCAGCAAAAATAACTGAAAGGATAAATGTTTGTAAATGGTAATAACTGGCCATGTTTCACTTCAGTATACTGTTGAGCGGCAGTAGAAACTTACCCACATGCAGAAGGGTCATTTGTTGGGTGCATGTGCGCACAGTTGTGATGGCTCCCTGATGGATGAGCAGCTCGAGGAAGCGGCCGTCATGAAGGACGGCGTGGTGAATCGGGTAATACTCGTCCATGATGAGATTGATTTCCTCCGAACGCGTTACAACCAGCTGCTGGACGCAATTCCAGGCACCGCGCTCACAGGCCAAGTGCAGTAGCGGCTTCTTCACCCGAAAAGGTATCCACGGCTCTTCCATCTTTTGGGTGAGCAAGCTAAGCACGTTGTACTGATCCCCGTCGATGGCGTAGTAGAGTGCATTTTGCAGCTTGGTATTCAGCCGCTCGCTGACGTCGTCTACATTGTTGTGCCACTTGCCGCTTTCCTCGCAGTTGCGGGTGTGGGCTCCGGGAAAGCACATCCTTGTGTCCACGTCGATGCGTCCTCCATGTCGCAGGAGCAGCTCTACGCATTCCTCGTAGCCCCGCAGGGTAGCGATGTGCAGGGGCAGGGAGCAGGGCGAGCGGTTCACGTCCGGACGGTGGCGGTGCAGCAGCCACTTGGTGAGATCAATGTGGTTGAGGCCAACGCTGCGCTGCAGGATATTGTAGCCATAGTCGTCGTGCATGGCCAGGATGTTCTCATTTTTGGGTATTTGGATGAGGAGGCTCTCGAGCGTTTGCAAGGACACCTTTGGGTTGGCGCGCAGAATGTCAAACAGCGTCTGGATGGTCTCCTCGGTGGCCTTGGACAGCTTGCCGTCGCGATGCGAGAGGAGCGCAGATCCGGAGCGGAACACTTGGCTCACGGAACCGCCCATTGCTTCTGGCTGCTTTCCTCTCCGCCCGGCTAACACCTCACTGGCATGCTAGTCCCTCTTGCGACGCAGTTTCCGGGTTAGATCAGCAAACAACGAAATGCGTATCAATCCCGAAACCGTAAAAATCAATAAGAGTCCCAAAAACATTCGCACAGATTAGCACTGGACGGCGGCTGGGAGGAGAGAGGTGGCACTGTTGGCGCTTGATGCAGGCTCCCACATCTCCTCGGCGGGCTCACACACAGAATGCATCGCACCCGGACATTCAAATCAAATTATTTTCTAAATCAAAACTACTTTTCGCTCAGATTTCGCAGATTTGCTTCTTCTTCTCTTCGATATGTGTAAAACAGCTGTAGCAGGGTGTGTGGAACTATCGGATATCGATAGGCTGCAACGGCACAGTAAGAACTAGATAGCAGTTATCTATAGCCAATCTTTACCGTACCAAATTGGCGCTCAAAAATAAATAAGCGTCTTGAAAGATTACTGAGTTTTAACGTTAAAATATCTCCGGAAACATGACCAACCGCCATGAGACCAAGTACGAAAACCTAAGCAGCCACTTCCGGCTGAAGGGACACGATTACCAGAAGCAGTTCTGCCACCTTTATGCCCATCGTCTGGCGGAGATGACGCGCCTCCTTACGCCGCTGGCACAGAAGAAGTGGGGCAACAAGGAGTCCATCAAGAAGCTGTGCGAGCTTCGCGGTGAGCAGGACGTCCACTGTATCCTTATTGGCACCATCTACAAGCACCAGGCGCACAAGCCAAGCATCCTGCGGGACATATCCGAGGAGAACCAATTGGCCCCACAGCCGCCTCGACAGAATTATTCCGAGCCGGAGGACAAGATTGTGCTAGAGGATGAGCTGCAGCGGGTGCGTCTGCAGGGCGAGGTGAAGAGGGAGCTCATGGCCACTGGAGTTGTGTGCGCTGCCCTCGGAGGAACCGACAGCGAAGGATTCTTCAACGTGGAGGACATTCTCTTCTACGAGAGTGGACCCCAGAAGCCGCTGGCTACGACTAAAAAGAGCCGCCTGCTGGTGCTCGTCTCGGGATTAGACCAACTGCAGTCACACAACTTTGTGGAGGCCCTGAATCTCTTCCAGTACTGGCTGGCGGGAAGTCTGGGAAATGGCAAGGAAGCTGGCGCCATGGTGCGTCTCATTGTGGCTGGAAACTCGGTGAGAGCTAGTGCCATGGCCCATGTGCCTACTCTTCAGGTGGCCCGCACCCAGGCGAATGCCAACGATACCGTCCAGGCTGTAACCCAATTGGACCAGTGGTTCGCATCGTGGGCTCGCAGTCTGCCCGTGGACATAATGCCGGGAGCCTACGACCCGGCCAACTTTATGCTACCCCAGCAGCCGTTCCACAAGTGCATGTTTCCGCAGGCCGCCCAACTGGCCTCCTTTCAGGCTGTGACCAATCCGTATAATTGTAGGTTGGACGATGCCTTCGTCGTGGGAAGCTCTGGCCAAAATGTCTCTGATTTGCTGCGCAGCACTTCGCTGGACTCCGCCTTGGAGGCTCTTCGTTGCACCCTCACCTGGGGACACATTGCACCCACCGCTCCGGACACACTGGCCTGCTATCCGTACATCGACAGCGATCCCTTCATCCTGCGCGAGTGTCCGCACGTGTACTTTGCCGGTAACTGCGAGTCCTTCGAAACGGCCCTGCACGAGGGATCCCAAGGCAAGCGGACCCGTCTTGTGTGCGTGCCCAAATTCAGCCGGACGCAGAGCGTGGCCGTGGTGGACCTGGACACGTTGGAGTGCCGCCAAGTCAACTTTAGTGCGGATGCCGAATAAAAGATACAATTAGCATTAATAATACACCGTTTTAGTCTTGAGAATCACTGGTTTTATTTGCTATCCTAGTGCACCACTGGTCCCAGCGGTTCGCCCCTGATGTTGGCCAGATCCAGGCGGGAGTCGACGGTCTCGTCTATCAGCCCGATCACGGCGATGTTGTCCCCGCGGATGATGTGCAGACCCAGGACGATCTGCTCGATGCCGGAAGTCGTAGAGAAGACGCGCTCATGGCACTCGTCGATGATGATGTTGATGGTCTGGTCGAATCCTTTCAGTGTCCCGATAAAGTTCCGTCCATCCGCCGTGATGATGGACACTGTGTGGTTGATGTACGACTCCAAACCGGACATTTTGGTCAGTCTTTCCGTATGGTTTCGTCCAGCAGCAACAAATAAATACGAATTGTGAAAACGTTTGCGACGCGCTCTCCGATAACGATAACACATCCGCAGCACAGCTGTTCCGGCTCTAGTGCTCATGTAATCGGTGGCAGATTCTTTTATTTTCCTCAAAAATTCAATAAAATTGTCGAAAATGCTGCGTCGCCTGGTGCAAGTTGGTGTCCGGGAGCTGAGCAGAAGCCAATCCACTGTCGCTTCCCCGGAGAAATGGGACCTGTACGCCGGCGTGCTCGTTGAGCGGCTGCCTGTGGTCTCCAAGTCCCTCAATCCTCTCGAGAAACAGTTTCAGGACATGCTGTGGAGCGTGGAGTATGAGAACAGCTTGAAATCCAACCACGAGCTGAAGCACGAGCGGGAGATTGTCCACGCGGAGCTGATCAAGCAGGGCAAGACGCAGGTGGATATGGAGGACAGTGGCGCCAAGCAGACGGCGCAGGACTTGAAAGATGCCTACATCGAGGAGCTGAAGAAGTTCCAGCTCGGAGAGCGCACCACGACCGATGATAAGGCCAACAAGACAAGCTCCACGGACCGCTGCCTGGAGGACACGCTCTACCTCCTCGTCCAGCAGAAGCTCGGCCAACAGGAGCACCTGATCCTGCCACAGGGGAAGCGGGAGGAGGGTGAATCGATGCGCCAGACCGCGGAAAGGGTGCTCCGCGAGCAGTGCGGCCAGGAGCTGCAGGTGCTCTTCTACGGCAACGCCCCCGTGGGTTTCCACAAGTACAAGTATCCCAGCAACCAACGGACGCAGAGCGTCGGAGCCAAGGTGTTCTTCTATAGGGCATCCCTGCGATCTGGCCAGGTGGCAGAGAAGCTAGCCAAGTTTGAGTGGCTGCCCAAGGAGTCGCTCAATGGCAAGCTGACCAATGCTGCTTATGCGGAAAGTGTTAACAAGTTCTTGTTGTAATCGTAATTGTTAAATCGGTTTTGATATCTAACGAATAAATATAAATACCAGACGTTTACCGGTGTATAGTTTTTCTTAATCAAAGAATGCTAAATATTTAAATTCGTTTTATTACTTTTTACTAACTGCAAATTAAGAAAGGTTATAACACTTTGAGATCTCTTTTCTAGAAAGTCATTTTTGAAAATTTTAAACTTGAAAGGCACAAACAATTAATTCAAAATAATAATATATAAATATCACATACAAATATCCAAAAGTAGATCCAAAATTTTGGGCAAATTAATATAAATAAATTATAACCAGTTATCCCTCCAAATCCCGATAGAACACATTTCACTCTTAACATTTTTAGACATGCAGCAATATATTTATTTTTGCAATTCACGGATTGTAAATATACGTTCAATACAGAGTCAAATATTTATTGTTTTGTTTTTCTTTTTTTGCTTTTGAAAAAGTTTACTACTTTCGTTTCGAATACACGTAGAAACTGGAAAAACACAAAGGCTGGATATTATGTATTTTGGGTAGCAATAGTATCTTAAACTTTTTGATATTTCAATTGTATTTATGCTCGTTACAAGTTACAGACATTCAGTATAGAAAATGTGAGTTGCTTGATTACTGGAAGCTAAGCTTTTTATCTGCTCTTCGGGCGCATGTTTTTCGCGGGCGTTGGCTCAGATTACTTTGATTATATCCTCGATATTTATCTTCTTCGGCGACCTGACGCGTTGCCAATCTTCTAACTGAAACGTCCAAATTTAAGATACTTTTAAAGGGGTGTTGTTAAATAAATGCAAAAACTACAAATGGTTCGTAGACTTGTTGATAAATATGTATTGCAAAGTGCTATTGTTGATTTTAGGTTCATTGTGGCATAGGTTCTTAAATAAGCATTAAACTGTTTGACTTATAGACTAAATTATCGAAAATAATGGTGTAAATATATATTTTTGTTTCCTTTTTTTTGCGTTTTGTTGGTTTTTAGAAATATATTTTAAATTGTAAGACATATGCTCAGGCGCCACTAAACAAGACCAGGCAGGCTCTTTAGTTCTGGAAAAGCGTTCGCGTAAAGTCTATGTAGTCCAGAGCATCCTTGATGGGCTGGCCGGAGCGGGGTTCCGAGAAGGGTTTCATGCGCTGCACACAGTAGTCCGCCATGTCCTTGGTGAGGTTCTGTGGTTGGAAATACAACGTGTTAGCAATGGTTATAGTTATGATATCTATTAATGATAAACTTACGCAGTAGAGCTCCTCTTTGGTGACGTAGGGGCGGTCGGCGGCGGTGATGGCGCGGAAGGCATTCTCGATCTCCTCGTAGGACTGCACATTCTCCGTCTCCTTGGAGATCATGAACGCAATATATTCCTGCAGGGAGACGTAGCCATCGCGGTTGGGATCGACCACATCGAGGATAGCCTCGAACTCCGGGTCGGGCTGTCCCTCCTCCACCATGGGCAGGTCGTAGCCGAGGGCGCGCAGGCAGGACTTGAACTCCTGGTGGTTGAGCTTGCCGCTCTTGTCCTTGTCAAAGTGCTTGAACATCATCGAGAACTCCTTGAGCGAGTCCTCGGAGACGCCCGAGTGGTTGCGTGCCTGGATCTGCTGCTCCAGGTTGTGCTGCATGCGCATGGAAAGCTGGTCGAGCTGATCCCATTGCTGGGCCAGGCCCACCGTCGAGTGCTCCGTGTAGCGGTTGTCCAGGATCAGATGCTCCTCCAGCAGGGCTCCCAGCTCCTCGATCTTCTTGAGGTCAACACGTCGGGCGCGCACCTCAGTGGCCTTGACGCGAAGTGCCTCCAGTTGCTGTTCCAGGGAACCGGAGCCTTCCATCATGGACGTTCTGTGGGATTGCGTGGATTGGCGATGTTGAGAGTTGGCAGATAAATGAGCGTTCGTTAGTAGGGCACAATATCGAGTTAGGTCTCAAACAAATCGGAACGATACAATGATATAATGCATAAGAAAAGCAAATCTTGTTAGAGGTCTGTTACGGGCAGCGAATATTATTTTCTGAATTCGGGCTTGCAACTAGTTTGTCTTCCCATTGTTTTTGGTTTGTACATATTTACAGGTGTCTGTGGGAATTTAGCGGGGCTCAGGTGTATTAATCTGGGTCGGTTTTAGTGTTGAGATTGGTTGTTCTTTGAGTTCAGCAACTAATAAAGACAAAAGTTGTCTAATTGCTAGAAGCGAGTTAAAATAAGAAATAGCGCCAAAGGAACGTTCAAATTGTAATTGTAAAAAGCTACTAGATTTGGTTAACTCTTCGATTAAACAGAAGAAATATGAAAATAATTTAAATTGCTCGATTTCTACTTATTTCTGTATGCTACAACAGTATTTTGCTCTCGATTCGCATGCTAAAGAGTTTAGTTTAGTTTCGTTAATTTTGAAAAGGTTGAGGTGAGACCAAAAGAATAATGGAGAATCGGAACAGAACGTTGACAATATACACTCTAATCGGGTGGGTCGGTGCTCTCGCTAATGCCACTAACTAAAACTAGGCCTTAGTCGTCGTTGTTCGATCTTATCAGTGTGGATATATACGAGTATTTACAAGCGCTTAGCACGAGGCGCTAAAGCCAGAGTTACGGAGAACAAAGTTATTCCCAAGGGTTAGTGGAGGCGCAGCGTGATTGGGAGCTCGGCTCCAACGCGAGTTAAGGAACCAAAAAAGATCACAACAGAAAATAACAGTTCAAACGCAGTATCAAGCCTGCTCGCTTAATTACCCTTGACGGTTATAACCCAGCATATAATATCTAGAAAATAGAATGGATCTTTCAGTTACGTATTTCATGGGGGAAGAGAGTCGAGACCTCAAGACTTGTTTTCGGATTTGTGTGGGTTGGTGGGATGGGTACATGGATTCGATCCAAAAAAACCAACACCCGTCTGGATTGAGTAACCCCCCCTCTGCTGGCGGAATCCCGAGCCCCACTCACCTTGTCTCAGTCAGCCACTGGTGGAAGAGATTAGCGTGCTTGGCGAATTCCTTGCGCAGCTTGTCGTTCTCCTCCTGCCGCTTGGCCTCCTTGGCAAGTTCGCCATCGCGTTCCTCTATGATCTTTTGCAGGTTACGCCAGGTCTCCTCAAGAGCTTCCATGGTGAACCACGTGTAGGGATTGGGTCCAACATTAAAGCTCTTGATCTTCTGGTCGAGTGCTGCCAATGCCTTGAAGTCAGCTTCGGCCGACGACAGAGACGCCTGGAATTGGGCATGGGCGTCGCGCAGGGCGCGGATTTCTTCGATCGAATTGCAGCGAACAGGATCTGTGAGATCCTCCTCGGCATTTTCGAACCAAGAATTGAAGGCCGAAGCTTTCTTGGCAAATGTCAAGTAGAGTTCCTCGATCTGGCGGAACTGCTCCTGCATGGCCAGCAGTCGCTGTTTGCGCGTGTCGGAGGCGTCGCGCAGCTTCTGCCACCTGGCAATTACGTCTCCGTGCCGCTTCAGGATCGCCGGCGACTGGGCGTGACTGGCGTTGATCAGTTGGTCCTTCAGTGCCGTGATGTTGTGAATACCCTCCTGCTCGAAGGCGTTGAGACCTGGAGAAAGGAGACCCAAGTGAATTAATAAAATCCAAATAAAATGTAGGATTAAGTATTTCTTTCTTACCTGCATCGAATGTCTCCTGCTTGGTCAACAGCGTCTGCACGGTGGACAGATCACGTCCGAACTCATCGGAGCGCACATAGTTCTCCTTGTCGTCGATCCAGCTCTCGACCACATCGGCCTTCCACATGAACTGCAGATAGGCCGAGTTGTCCAGCAGGGCTCCCTTGCGGCGGGCGGCCAGGGCGGACAGGTTGTCCAGTTTGTGGCGCAGTTGGGTGCAGCGCTGGGCAATGGACTCACCATGGTGGTTCTTGGCCTCCACCAGCTCGCTACCCTGGTCGCAAATCAAAGAGCAGCGGTCCTTGTGGGCAGTGAAGTCCGTTTCGAAGGCGTCGTGCTTCTTCAACAAACCCTGGACGGCGGCCATTGAGTCGCCGTAGTCCTCGACGGACAGCAGTTGCTGCTTCTCGGTGATCCAGGCCTCCTCCTCCTCCACCTGGGCAAGGAACTGCTGGTACGTCAGCGACTCATCCAGCTTCTGGCCACGAGTGGCGGCCAGGTTCTTAAGCTCGGCCCAGGCCTGGTTGAGGGCCTTCAGGCGCTGCTCGATCTCCGGCACACCGAGATTGGACACGTCCATTAGCTTCTCGCCAGCCTCCTGCACAGCTTGAATGGCCGGCTCGTGGGAGGCCAACTCGGCCTCCAGCCGCTTGTGCTTCTTCTTGAGGTTCTGGACGCCGGTCAGATCGCGACCATAGTCGTCGGAGCCAACCAGCAGCTTCTTCTCCTTGATCCAGCTCTCCTCGTCGGCGATGTCGCGGAAGAACTGGTGCAGGGTCAGGGCCTCGTTAAGACGGGCCTGGCGATGGGCCGCCAGGTTGCAGATGCGCTCGTAGCGCTCATTAATGCTCTGGCGCTTCTCCTGGATGCCGGCAGTGTCGAACTGGCCGCTCTCCACCAAGGAATCGGCCTGGTTGTTCATGTCCTTGATGCGGTCTTCGTGCGCCACGATATCCGCCTCGACCAACTGATGCTTCTTCATGAGGTTTTGGACAGAGGCCAAATCCTTACCAGAATCCTCAGTGGTCAACAGACTCTCGACCTCGCCCAACCAGAAGTCCAAATCCTTGACAGCAGCGATATAGGTGCGCTGCTTGTTCGCCTCCTTCAGCTTAAGCGACTTCTCGGTAGTCTTGTGGGTCAGGTACTCCCACTGATCGGCGATCTGTGTCAGCCGCTTCTGCACCGCGTCCTCCGACCCGCTGCACTGCTTTTTGTCGATCAGGTTGCCGCCCATGGCCAGCACGCTCTGGATGCGGTCAGCGTTGGCCGCCAGCTCCGCCTCGAAGGCCTGGTGCTTCTGGTGCTTCGACTGGATGTTGGCCGGATCCTTGTAGCTCTCTTCGGTGGCCAGCTGCAGCTTCTCGGCGATCCAGTTCTCAATCTCATCGGCATCGCGCGAGAACTGCTGCAACGTCTGCTCGTCTCCCAGCCTGGATCGCTTCTCGATCAGGCCATCCTTGAGGTGACGCCAGCGCTCCAGCACCTGCTTGCGCTTCTCGTCCACCAAATTGGAGGCGTAGTGGTTTTGGGCGATCAACTGATCGGCCACCGTCTGCAGGGCCGCAATCTTCTGCTCGTGCCCGTTGATGGCCTTGTCGAAGTCCTCGTGCTTCTTGATCAGCGCCTCCACATTGCCGCCGGCATTGGCATCATCCTCTGCATTAAGGAAAGCCTCGCGGGCCGACATCCAGGACTCGGCCAACTCACAGTCGCGCATGTACAGCTGCAGATCCAAGTTCTGCTCCAGCTGCAGACGACGCTCGGTCCAGGCCTTCTCCAGATCCTCACGTGCCTTGGCCAGATCCTCGATCTTCTCCTTGATTTCCGGCGAGGCATAGTGGTTGGCCTGCAGCAGCTCGTTTCCGAACTGCTCGAAGGCGCCGAAGGTTCCAGCGCGAGCATCGATCTCCGTGCGGTGTTCCTGTGAAAATTCGTGGAAACATCGGATTAGTTTGGGTCATGGTTCTTGGATTGGAAACGCCGGGTTAGAACAACATTGCAACGCTGGTTGGTTTGCCGCTGAGGATTGATTGCTGCAGCGTCGAATTAGTCAAAAGTAACAAACGAGGAACGAAGTTAAACTGAACAATTCGGTGGATAAACTGGGTGAAATGTGAACGGAGCATGGATGTTCGATGACGATGAAAAGATTGTAGAAAGCACTGTAATTTGATTTATTTATACAAGTGTATAGGGCATAGATGTTGTGGGTATAACAGATTTTAGTGTTGATATAATTCAATAATTTTTTGAAAATCAATCTTAATGAATTACTCAAAAATTGGTTAGGATAACGGATTGTTATTCCGTTTACGTAATATGATAATTTTGTTTGTGACATTATAAAGAAGTCCGAATTTTATATAATTCTTTTAAGAAGGTATGTAATAAAAAGTTTACATTGTAAACCTTATCCAGCCATTGAGAAATCAGAGTCAAGTGTGAAAAATGGTTAATGTTGATGACGGCCCGATATGTGTAAGCAATATTAGATTAGATAACAAGAAACCTGTAGGGTTACTAAAAGAACAATATGTGTGTGTAAGGAGAAGCTAAAGCCGTAGATATGGTGTGATATTTGTACATGAAAGGGTATTCACACTGATCGAAATAAAGATAAACAAGTACCCTCTGATATAATGTTTTGGAATGGATGATACGAGTATGTTCTGATCAAAGGCGAGCACACACATAAACACAACGAAACACGGATCTGGAGTGGTGGTGGTTAGCGAAGGATCTACCTCGTCGCCGGATGGAGATGCGATGCTGATGGTCGAGGCGAAGGCGCCAGGAGCCGAGCTGCTGCCCACTGTGAACTCAATCTCGGCACGGCGTGCCTGTGATTGTTATCGTATTGTTTGATTGATTTTTTTTGGGGATTGGAATGCAGAAACACAACCATGATGGGGATTTGGATGTTGTCATGAACCATGAACCGTTGTAGTTGTCGTTGTCGATTGTTTGTTGTTCGTTTATGACATGACACGAACCAAAGAATAAAAAACAAAACCATAAAGACAATATATAGTCGAGAGGTGTAAAATATGAAGGATAAATCAGTCTGCAGTTTAAAGAATGTTAATGTTTATAGGGAATATAAAAAAATCGTATAACCGAGATGGTTCTCACTTTCTTTTTACGTTTGTCAATGATAATAAAGAATCAATTACGAAAAAATCTTAGATAATTATAAATATTACACTTTTCTTTGTTTTCTTAATTTGTGTTACCAATTCTCAATTTCTAAAAAAATAAACCAGACTGATAAAAAGTTAAGAAAGGTTCAGATTCAAATAAAAAGTAAAAACATTGAAAACTCCAATATTTTTTTCCTTCTAAGGAAACGTTGTCTCTTACAAATTTCTTCAGAAAGTGAACACCAAAACACAAAATTCAAAAAGATCCTAGTTATTTAGATGTATACTAATCGAAATTCTCACCTGATGACGTTCGATCAGAGCCTCGGCTCCGGTGACATCGTTGGCCAGCTCGTCGGAGGTGACCAGGCTCATCATCGAGTTGATCCAGGCCAGCAGATCGCGGTAGTCGCTGAGGAAGCGCTGCAGATCATACGAGTCCAAAAGCTTTTCCTTGCGGGCGGTCGACTTGGTGATGATCTGGTCCCACATCTCGTTAATCTCCTTCTGCTTGGCGTACGTCTGCTCAGCGGTGTCCGGGTGCGACTGCATCAGCCTGTTGGCGGTCTCGTCCAGCTGGCGGATCTTATCCCGCAAGGCAGCCAAATCACGTTCCACACCTTCGTGCTTGCGCTGAAGGGTCTGAACACTGCGCAAGTCCTTGCCCAAATCGTCGTTGTTCAGGGCATTGGCCTTCTCGGTAATCCAATCCTTGGTCTCATCGATGTCACGGTGGAATCGCTGCACCTCGTGGGCGGAACCAAGCTGGCTGGCCTTTTCGGCGGTCAGTGTCTGCAGGTTGTTCCACTTCTCGTTCAGGTCTTGCATCTGGGTCTGGATCTTCAGGGCGGCCTCCGTTTGACCCAGGGAAGTCAGCTGCACGGCAATCTCGTTCATGTTGGCGAGTCGCACCTCGTTGGCCTTCAGGTCATCGTTGAAGTCGTCAAACTTCTTCTGGAGCACCTCCACCTCCTCCAGATCCTCTCCCACAACATCGGCGATCTGGGCGTGGTTCTCCTTGTCCCGGATCCACTGGGCCAAGTCGGCAGCCTCACGCACAAGGACGTAGGCCTTCACGGTCTCATTCAGCTTGTTTTGACGCTCGCGGGCGAGGGCCAACAGGTTGTCGTACTGCGAGTTGATCTGGTTCTGGCGCTTGGCAATCGAATGGTTGTCCACCAGGTTCTGCTGCGAAGCGCTCAATCCGGCCTCGATCTTCTTGATGTAGGCAGCTGGGACGAAGCCCTGGCGATCGTTGACCTCAACCTTCCACCAGTCCTTGTTGTTCGAGTTCAGCAGGGTCAGAACATCGCCCTTCTTCATGGAGACCTCACGAGGGGATTTCTCCGTGTAGTCGTAAAGGGCAACCACGCACTCCTTGCCAGTAATGTCCACAACGGGCGTCTCCTGCTGGCGACAGTTCTTGGCCTGCTCCTGCAACCCCTGGATGGTGTTGCCAAAGGCCTCCAGATCGGAGACCAAAGCCTCGTGCTTCTTGAGGAGAGCCTCCGAAGAATCCTCGTCCTTGCCGTAGTCGCTGCCCGTGGCAATCGGTTCCTTTTCGCGCATCCACGACTCCGCCTCGTTGGCATCGGCAAAGTACTGGTGAGCCTGCAGAGAGTCGTCCAAATCCTGTTTGCGTTGACTGGACTTCTCCTTGAGCGTGTTCCACTGCTCCTGGAGAGCCTCCAAGCGCTGGCGGATATCGTCGCTGGCGAAGGGCTGATCCTTCAGCATGTTCTCGCCCGAGCTGATCACATTCAAAAGCCTGGCCTCATGGTTGTTGATCTCGGCCAGCACGGCCTGGTGCTTCTTGATCAGGTTCTGCACACCAATCAAGTCGCGACCGCGGTTCGTGGATGCGGCAATGGGTTCCTTCTCGCGGATCCAGGCAGCCTCGTCCTCCAAATCGCGGAAGAGCTGTTGCACCTGGAGGGAATCCAGCAGATGCTGCTTCCTTTCGCCCATGGGGGCGGCCAAGGCGGCATAGCGGGCCGAGAGATTGCCCTCCTTGTTGCGGATATTGTCCGCATCAAAGTGGCCTGATTCGATGAACTTGTTAGCCGCCACCTTGATGCTCTCAATGCGATCCTGGTGGGCCATCACATCGGCTTCCAGCAGGGCGTGCTTCTTTTGCAGATTCTGGACGGAGGTCAGGTCCTTGCCGTGATCCTCTGAAAGCAGCTGTCCCTCGATCTCGCTTAACCACAGCTCGATGTCCTCGATGGTGCGGTTGAACTGCTGCTGCTGACAGGCCTCGTTCAGCTTGGTTCCCTTCTTGTCCGAAGCCTGGACCAGGGTCTCCCACAGCACCACGATCTCTTGCATCCGGGTGTTGATCTGATCGGCGGCATAGTGCTGCTTCTCAATCAGTTCGGTGCCCACGTTGGTGATGTCCTCAATGCGCGACTTATTGGCATTCAGCTCGTGCTCGAAGTTCTGGTGCTTTTGCATCTTGCCGTTCAGGTTGGTGGGATCCAGGTAGCTGTCATCAGTAGCGAACTTTAGCTTCTCGCTGATCCAGCCCTTGGTCTCGTCACAATCGCGCTCGAACTGCTGATAGCGGTTTGAGTCTTCCAGCAACTGGCGACGCTTAGACGACTTCTCCTGGAGGGCAGCTCGTCGGGCAAGGAGCATCTGGCGACGCTGGGCCACATCATCGGCGGCATAGTGCTGGCCATCGATAAGTTTGGTGGCAAAGATATCCAGGGCCTTAATCTTCTCCTCCTGGGCGGCCAGACTCTTCTCAAAGTCCTCGTGCTTCTTAATCAGCGCCTCCACCGAGTCAAGGGAATCGCCAAGATCCTCATTGGCCAAAAAGGCTTCCTGCTTGGCCATCCAGGTGTCTGCCTGCTCCGTATCACGGTAGAACAGCTGCAGATCCATGCACTGCTCGTACAGGATGCGACGATCCTCCCACAGCGACAGCAGAGAGCTCTTGTCGTTCTCCAAAGCAGCCAGCTTCTCCTGGATTTCGGCGGCGGCATAGTGTTCACGCTCCAGCAGCTTCTGTCCGGATTCGGTGGTCAGCTTGAAGCTGTCCTCGCGGGCATCAATCTCACCCTTGTGCTCCTGGTGGCGTTCCAAAAGCGCCTCTGCTCCAGCCACATCCTTTGCCAGCTCATCGGCCGAGATAATGGCCTTCATGCCATTGATCCAGGACACCAGGTCCCGGAAGTCGGCGAGGAAACGGTGCAGGTAGTAGGATTCATCCAACTTCTGCTTGCGCTCGCGGGCCTTGGTGGTGAGACTCTGCCAGTAGTTGGCAATCTCGGCCTGCTTGTCGCGGATCTGGTCACTGTGGTCGGCGTGGATGGAACACAGGCGCTGGGCCTCGGCTCCTAGGGTGGAAACCTTATCCTCCAGTGCGGCCAAGTCACGCTCAACACCTTCGTGTTTACGCTGCAGCGCCTGAACACTGGCCAAATCCCGGCCATAGTCATCGGAGGACAGCACCACATCCTTTTCGGCAATCCAGGCGACTGTCTCGTCGGCATCGCGATTGAAACGCTGGATTTCGTGGGCACCAAAGAGCTTCTCCTGGCGCACAATGGCCAACTGCTTCAGTCGCTGCCAAGCCTCGTTTAATTCCTCCTTGCGCTTGGTGATCGTGTCACGCTCTGGATGGCCATCCTGTACCAACTTGTCAGCCAACTGGTTGACCTCGGTGACGCGGTACTCCTGCGAAGCCATGTCCTTCTGGAACTCATCGAATTTGCGCTGCAAAACCTCAACATGCTCCAGATCCTGACCAAACTCGTCGGCGGTGACAAAGGTCTCCTTGTCCTTGATCCAGAACATGACCTCCTCGCACTGACGAAGGAACTGCACCAAAACGAGGGCCTGCTGCAGCTTTAGACCCTTCTCGGCCAGGCGGCTGAGGAGCAGTTCCCACAGCCTGTGCAGTTCGTCGAGGCGAACCTGGATCGCCTCGGAGGCGAAGTGCTGCTGGTTGATCATCTCCTGGCCGGTGTTGTCCAGCGACACGATGGCGTTGCTGTGCGCCGACACCTCTGCCTCGAAGGCCTGGTGCTTCTGGATCTTGGCCTGCAGGTTGGTCGGATCGCGGTAGCTCTCCTCGCTGGCCGCCTGCAGCTTCTCGTGTATCCATGACTCCAGCTCGTCGGCATCGCGCTTGAAGTACTGGAAGCGGCGCGAATCCTCGAGTTTTTCACGCTTCTGACGTGTCTCGATCTTGAAGTCATTGTAGCGGGACAAAACCTGCTCACGTCGCTCTTGGATGTCCTCGACTGTCTCGAGGATCTTCACCTCTTTGGGTGTGAAGTTCTCCATTTCGCTGTTTCGTTTACTTGTCTAATTTCTTGAGTAATTCGTTCGTTTTGATATTGCAAAGCTAAAAGATTTTACGTAATTAGTATTAATTAAATTTTAAATTAATTTTCAGACATTACCTTAAGCTGCTCTAGGCGCTGCGTAGGTTTAATTTAATACTGCTGCTGGTGCTTCCTCTTCATCAAAAGTCTGACCGTGCACAACTGTAAAGGAAATGGTGGGGGAAATAATTAGTTTAATTCGGTTTAATCAGCACAAACACAACCACAGGCAGCCAATTACTTAATCGTTGGGTCATTCATAAGATTGAAAACAACATACATTCATGGAACTTAATAAAATTCAGTAGTGGTTGCAAAATTAAAATCATTAAAGTATTTTTGATATCTCTGAACTTTTTTTGAGAACAGCATTCTTATTTCATATTTTTTTTGCCATGACTTGCTTTATTTATTTATTTTTGTTTTTCGTATTATCACAATGTTTCGGAAATATAAGTTTTGAAATTTTTTTGTATAAACTTTTAGTTTAGCATAGCCAAACTATGTAAGCGATTTTATAGATTTAAAATCCTAGTGTGAAAACCATCCACAATACCCAATTTATAACACGGGCGTGTTTAGTAATGTTCGAAGAATTTTCAAAAATATTTCCTCTTCGTTGCCGACTTCCCACATCGATGATCACATCGGTTGACAACCTCGTTCCCTTTAAGTGGCCTCAACGTTTGCACAGCATAACGAAACTAAAACTGCGAAAGTGACACATTCTCTCGCTGATTAGATTCCAACAGCTATCGCTATCTTATCGGCCACATACTCTGCCCCTCATTTCCGAGTTATTTTCAGCAGACAAATACAAAAAGGAACGATTTATTCGAAACAAACGCTAAGTGACATAACCAACATTCTTAACTTAAAAACTATCCAGATCCCGCGATAAATCGGCTAGCATCTCCATAAAGAGTTGCGACTTGGCCTCGTCTTCGTGGCTTTCGCCGGAGGTGTCGTGTCCTCCAATGTCTTTCCCGGAAAGAGAGAGTTGCTGCAGTAAGTTGGAAAGGGTGCTCCACACGTTTGGCGGCCAGTTCTCGGCGAAGAGCGGCATAAAAAGTTCGTTGAGCTGATCAGCCCGCACTGCTCCCGTCTCCAACATGGATCTTAGGAGCTTCTCCAGCAACCGAAAGCTATCCGGATTGTTGCCCATCTCCTCTACAAAAGTAATGCTGAGCAGGCCCTCAAAGATTCCGGGCGAAGCCTCACTGGCCATAAATTGCGGCGACCGCCACACCAAACAGCTGGCTGAGATTACATCCTCGTCAAAAAAATTCGGTTTTCTGTTAATGAGCAACTGAAGCAGGTGTACCAATCCAGATCCAATTAGGTGATAGAAAACAGTGGGCATCTGTGGAAATAGAACCGCCTGTTGGGATTGTCGCAGCAGCGCGGTCAGATCTTCTCTGCTGCCAACATTTTCCGGCCGCAAGCTGAGGCAGTGCATCCACTGCTGCAGCTGAAAGAGTAACTCCGACAGGCTAAAGCCCACATCCGGGCTGAGTTGGAGCTCGCTGGAACCGCCACCGGCAGCTGCTGCATCCGCCTTGTTTCTATTGGAGTGACACACCTTAGTGGCTAGCTCCCGGAGGTCACCATGGTAGAAGGTGGAGTGTAGTACACTGGATTGAAGCCACTGTTGCAGCTGGGACTGAGCTTGGACGCGGATTAATTGAGCATATGTAGATCGCAGCACTGCATTGGTGCTGGCGGGCAAAAGGGCCTCCAGGGATTGACCTATGCGCCTATCTAGCATAAGCGGCACCTGGATCTTCCAGCGCTGGCAAGCATTTTCCCTGGCCTCTTGAAAGATCTGCTGCAGCATCTCATACACTTCATCTTGCTTTATAGAGCTGATCTCGTTAACCTTGGCATCCGCCGACGCCTTTGAAGGGAGCAGAATCTCCTGCTGGGCATCCTTGACCACACACTTGAAGCTGCGCTCCGTGACGAACTCAATCAATCTCCTGGTGGAGGCGTTCTGGGAGTGCAAGAAGGCATCCGCCAACTTGCGTTGCTGCTGCTCCGCGAGGGTAAGCTCGCTGGGAGCCATTGCCTCCTTAGACGTGGCGCTGCTGCTCTGCTGCAGCTGCTCTAAGCGGGTGGTTATGTATCGGAAGCGGCCACTTCTCGCCTGGCGAGATGGCGTGATACTGACCCGGAATTCTTGAAGAAAAGGACAGGCCACGGGCAAAAGTTCCTCCAGCAAGGGGGCGAAAGATTTCTCGTGGCAACGGAGCCCACTCAAGCAGAGATCCACAATCGACGAAGTGCTGCTAGCTCCGGCCTCAAGCGCCCGGTGACTGTAGTAACCATTAACCAATTGGGGCTGAGCATCCAAAAGCCAGCCAATGCAACTTCTGGCTATGAATACGGCCCCCGGTTGCAGTTTATCCACATGAATAGCGGCATACAATCCGTAGAGCAGCTCCAAGGTGGCCAGCGTGTCTGGGAGATGCAGGGTGACCAAATCCAGCATCACCAGGTATTGAACTAGCCATGGAAGCGTGATTAGCAGCTTGCCCTGGCGCATAGAGCGTTCAAGAATCTCTCGGAGATTGAAATCCGGGTGAAAGTGGCTGCGAAGTTGCAACTGTTGTGGGCAAAGATAAGGCGGCGATGGATTGCCATGCTGCGTGGTCCCACTGAAAGGCAAAACAGTCACATAGCCAAGAAACTTGGCCAGGATCAGCATATTGGCCATGCTTTGCACGCGAACGATGTAGGGTCCCTGCTGAACGGACTGCTCCTCGGCACCTACATCTTCTGCCAGTTGAAGCAGATCAAATGTGGAATCGTTGTGGCGGACTAGTTGGACATAAAGAGCCAGTTTCAGATGCACCAGAAATGCCACCGATGAACATCCGGCGATAAAGTCGCGGAAAAAGGCCTGCGAACGGGGAAACTGACCTTCCACACTAGAGTTGGAGGTCACTAGGCGCTGGGCTAGTTTATTGTGTCTGAGAGGATCCAGCTTAATGCCCAGTTCTTCTGGAGATTCAGTGGTTTCAGTGGCGGAGATCAACAGCTGACTGACAAACAATTTTGCAAAGTGCGCCATGTTTACAGGGTGATCCGATACTTTGAAGATTTCCCTTATCCGGGGCGTCAGCTCGCTGGCGAAGTTGAAAATGCGATTTAGATGGCTCACCTCCCATTGCTTAAGGGCCTTGTAAAAGAGATCCCGCTGGGTCTTAAAAGCCCCAAACTCGTTCTGCGAGGGAAAGTTGTCCCGGGAATCCTTTTCCACATGATAGTATACATTCTGTTGGGAGGAGGATGAGGTCTCCAGAGCAAAGGGAGTAGTTATCTCCGGTCTCTGCTGGCAGGACGCCTCCAGTTGCTGCATAATCCCGGGGGGCAGAAGGCTCAGTCTTTCGTTTTGAAGCAGCACCACCAAAGTCCTTTTGTCCAGCTGGAGTAACAACTTTTGCTGGTTCTCCAGCAGCTTCAAGGCAAAGTAAACGCAGTTTTTGTACTTAGTGAGCCGCTCCAAAGGCATGGAAGGATCCGACTCATCGGGTGATTGCCCAAAGTCTCGTATATTGAGCAACTGAAGTACAAAGCTCAGCTCACTCAGGACATTAGGCACTAAATTCAGGTCAAACAATAAGCTATACAATGTAGATAGCAGCTGCAATTGGTTGGTATCGCTCACATCATCCAAACTAAAGGCTTCTTCAGCAACTACCTCATCCTCCAGCGTCCTCTCCTGCTGACTGACATTCACAGGCGCCTCGCTTTTGATCTCCTGCTTGTTCAGCAATAGCGACTTTCGGGCCTCCATCTCCAGCGCTGCTCCTTGACTTCTATCAAAGATCTCGCTGCTTTGAGAGATTCGCCATAGGTTATTATCGTTGCTGAAGGAACTGGTGTCGCCAAAAGAGGAGCTGGCTGAAACATTCTTGCTGATGGTCATGGGTAAGACACGTCGGCGAGGCTTGGATTGCGGTGTAGACCCGGCTCCGGCTCCAGCTATTGAACCCGCTCCAGGGTGTTGATTCTGTTGCTGTTGCTGGGGCGTGGTCTTCTTCTTGGATCGCTGCTGACTTTGGTTGGGCGTCGTGGTCAGAAAATCGCCCAGGCAGAAGCTGTGACCTCCTCCGGCTCCTCCTCCTCCTCCACTTTTGTTGGGCGTGCTGGAAAACTGACCACCACTTCCTGGCGTGGATCTTCGGCCCTGCGGCTGCTGACGAGCCGGCGTCGTTGTCGAAGTGGAGGTTGTCTTACAGCTGCGATTGAGGAGAGAATCATTAAGCTGGTGTTGCTCCTCCAGCTCCTTGGCCACATCAGCGGGCGGTGGCTTGGGCTGACGGATGGGAGTCAGAGAATGCACGGGAGTCTCCGAATTGCGCGTGTAGAAATATCGCTTTGTGTTCTGACGCAGTGCATCCAGAAAGTAAGCGGCAAAGTCTTCCAGGTTGCAATTGCTCTGGTGGTTCCCCTTGCCTCCCTTCTTAAAGTGGGCAACGAACTTCTGCTGCAACTGGGGGCGTGGCACCTTCTCCAATTGCACAAGCAGCTGCTGCAGGTGCTTCTCTTCCGGCTTAGTCATTTCTATATCTCCTATGACTTCTGGGGGAGCATGACCTGCTCTGGTCTATTTTTTTCTGCCTCAGCTCGAGCTATTTTTGACCTTTTCTCCCTCCTTCAATCTCTCTCTCCCTTTTGTTTCCCTGCAACGGAAGAGGAGAGAAGGGAAATGTTGGCTCGGCTTTTCTGGGTTTTCGTTTTTTAATCTATTTTATTTTTAGATTTGTTTGGATGGGTTGAAGTTGCAGGATTTTGTTATTTTTTTTCATATTGACATCACTTTTTCACACACACTAAGCTAAATCAAAGTAAACGAGTAATTAAGTTTAGGCGGCGATGTCATCATCACCTTTACTAAAAGCTATAAAAGTGAAATATTGGTTAGGAAAAAGGGGGAGTCAGGATATAAGGTATTTAAGAACGATTGTTCTTGTGCCAATTATTCTAAAAGAAGTTTACAGATAGCACAGGACAGAATCTCTAAACATGGTAGACACCTACAAAAGAATCGGCATATTTTCTAAATCCTCTTGCCATGTAAATCTAAACAAAAATACATTTATTTTTAGACACCAAACAGTTTGTTTTGAAAGACGAAGAGATTTATGAGATACCCTCCGAATACAATTTATTTTAATCTGGATTACAGACATTATATTATAAATAAATAAAGATAGTTTTATACACAATATTTTAACTACGCACAAAATATCCAATTCTAATATTTCATTTTAGCAGTCTTTACTGTACACTCAACATCACATACCAAATAAGTAATTAAGATAAGCCAATCTAATAAATGTCCGGAATTTGCAACCAAATTACTTAATTTTTAGAAGGAGTTAATTGAGTCCTAAATATTTGCTAATAATGATTAGTAAAGAATGATTTAAACATAAAATATTTAATTTCTACTGGTTTAAAAGTTATTAATGTTCTCCCAATTAATAAATATTAGGAAAAGGCTTTATATACAAGAGGTCAAAAGGCGACAGACCGTGGGCAGTGACATCATTTTGGGGAGAGGGTGGGTCAAACATGCAGACAAACAAACAAACAACACACAAATACATAATTTCACGCAGGAAATTGAAATAAATAAGTGAGAGGGAGACAGAAATATACCAGGGCTTGGCAGCCATACAAAGTCGGAATACACACAAGGCAATTTAACTGTTTATCGCGGTGCCAAACAAAAACAACAACAGCTCCCCCACCTAAAAAAGAGAGCGAGAGAAAACACACACGAATAGTAAGAGGGAGAGCGATACATTAATTGAAGTGTCTATCAGAAAATAGCTGAGGATGACGTAATGCGTACGGTTTGAAATTATGAGCAATGATGGCCAAAAAAAATATGATTTGACGACTTTGGCTTACAAAAACAGAGACGGTACTGTCAAAAATGTCCCATGCAAGCAAGGGCCTTCAACAAAGTCAAGGACATTTCCCCCACCCAAAACAGGTTTTGGCAAATGTAAGGCAAACAATTTATTTTTTTTTCTTTAATCGTGTCGTACCTTAACTCTCCCTCAAACACAAACACCCAAAGAGAGAGAGAGAGAGCTCTCTCTTGCGCTTTCTCTCTGCTGAAGTTGCCGCACCACCACCTTACACACACACACAGACTTCTCTACTCCTGCATAACACACACATACATGCACAACTGGAGTACCAGATACTTTTCTTTAATTGCAATTGGAATCCAGGTTTTTTTTGTTGGCAGAATACCAAATTTGATGACTAATTAAGCACTGGCATTGGACTTTCTGCCTTTTGAATTATGGGCCAAGACTTTTCTCTCACTTTTACCCATGTTTAATTGGGTTTTCATGTCGCCTGTGAGGGTGTGGCGTTGATCCGAAAATTTTCACTTCACACGCAAACCGAATTTCAATTGCAATTTGAACCCACCTAACATTAGGAAACGGGCAAATAAGTAACGGGAACTTACACTTTGATGGCAAATCTAATAGTTCACGGTTAATTTGTTAATTAAACTATTGATTTTCAGTAGTTTTTCGTAATTTTTAAGGAGCGCTTCAATTTCACGGGAACCGCACGGTTAAGAGCACTTTTTCAATATGTCAGCCGATGGGGATGGACATGCATTAGCTTATCGATATATCGGAAGATGTACTCTAGAGGTCAACCGATACTATCGAATCGGGTTAAAAAATTTAATTTAATTTCAGAGGGTATTATAATTTATTTTTTAAATTTACTGGTCTTTCAGACATGGATTTTTTAAACAATACGAAGAAATTTATTGATGTTCGGCATTATAGATGTTAAAAAAATAATTGTTTTTCGATAGTTTACCCAAAAATTAAATATCCCTTACCATCGGTATTTTTCGGAGATGCTCACGCGGTCACACTAATTTCCAGAGCAATCCAAGAAAAAGGGAAGCGGCGAAAAAATAACTAAAATCTGCAGCATTTACTCTTAAAGGAAATCCGAAGCGAACAAACAGAAAGATGGTGGACTACAGCAAGTGGAAGAACATCGAGGTGAGTCCACACCAGAAGCTCGCCCATCGGCCACTCTAATGCTCGGTGATTCCGTGATTCGATTTTTAGATTTCGGACGACGAGGACGACACTCACCCGAACATTGACACACCTTCCCTGTTCCGCTGGCGACACCAGGCACGCGTGGAGCGCATGGCGGAGATGGATCTGGAGAAGGACGAGTTCAAGAAGAAGCGCCAGAGCTTCCAGGCGCGCCTCATGGATGTCAAGGAGCGGATCGCTAAGAAGGACGGCAACGAAGAGGCTTTGAAGGTGGGTCATGGGTCATGATTATCACTTGTTGCCAGCCGGTTCCAACAAGGGATTCTTAGTATAGTCAGAGACGTAATCTATAGTGAAAGTCATACTATAAGTATGGCAGTCATCATACTGGTAATTGCATTGTTCACTTGTTGATGGACTGTCTTAGCTGGAAATTCTTGAGATATATAGCTTACATACATAGTTAAATTGACTAGTTTACGTATGGATATCGCTAGGTAATACAATTCGTCTCTTGATTTGCCCTATTTTATATTTTAACATTTTTAATAAACAATTTTATTTAAGAGTATTAATATCAATCTTAAGTTCCTATTATCATACTCTTTAACAGCCGGTCCCAAAACGTAAGAAAATATCCATAAGATTCGTAGCGATGAAAAACCAATTTAAACTCATTTAGATCATTAAATAATTCTTAAATTTGTCCCCGCAGAAAGAGCTGGAGAAGATCGAAGCCGATGGAAAAGAACTAGATCGCGTTGAGAGCGAAATGCTCAAGAAGGAGAAGAAGACGCCTTGGAACGTCGACACAATCAGTAAGCCTGGCTTCGAGAAGACGGTGATCAACAAGAAGGCCGGCCGAAAGCCGGACGAGAATCTCTCCGAGGAGGAGCGCGAGCAGCGGATGAAGCAGTTCGTCAAGGAGAACGAGAAGCTCTGCAAGCAGTACGGCATGTTGAGAAAGTACGACGACTCCAAGCGATTCCTGCAGGAGCACCTTCAGCTGGTTGGCGAGGAGACCGCCAACTACCTGGTCATTTGGTCCATCAACCTTGAAATGGAGGACAAGCACGAGCTGATGGCACACGTGGCGCATCAGTGCATCTGCATGCAGTACATCCTAGAGCTGGCCAAGCAGCTGGACGTGGATCCGCGCGCCTGCGTTAACTCTTTCTTCTCAAAGATCCAGCAATGTCAGCCCGAGTATCGAGCGCAGTTCGAGAGCGAAATTGAAGGTTTTAAGGGTCGCATCCAGAAGCGAGCGCAGGAGAAGATCCAGGAGGCGATAGCCCAGGCCGAAGAGGAGGAGCGCAAGGAGCGTATTGGACCTGGTGGCCTTGACCCAGCAGACGTCTTTGAATCCCTGCCTGATGTAAGATGAATATGGCAGCTTTTATGGAAAAAACGCTTACATTTGTTCTCTCTTTTATACAGGAACTGAAGGCCTGTTTCGAGTCGCGCGACGTGGAACTGCTGCAGAAGACCATTGCCGCCATGCCCGTGGAGGTGGCCAAACTGCACATGAAGCGATGCGTGGACTCTGGACTTTGGGTGCCCAATGCTGCTGACCTAGAGGGCGACAAGAAGGACGACGAGGAAGACTCAGAAGACGGCGACGGTGGCGAGGAGAAGACCGATGACGCCAAGTCAGAGAGTGCGGCCAAAGAAGAGCCCATCTACACTGGCGTCAGCACCGAGGACGTTGACTGATCGACGCTATTTTTCCATCTACACCATAGCTCTAATCTTAATGTACTGTCCACATGCATATTTCATCCATAACCAGATCCCCGCGTCAGTTGAGTTTTTGTATATAATTTGAATAAAGTCAGCTAAATTCTCAGTAACACGTCAGGCAATCTATGTATTGACTGTAATTTATATCGTTTTCAAGTAGAAACAATGAACCGCCCGGAGCTGGACTACTATGCGGTGCTAGACCAGCCAAGAGGCACCACAAAGGAGCAGCTAACTCTGGCCTATCGCCGCCTGGCCATACGCCTCTGTCCTTATCGCGACAAAAAGGACGAGCAGGACTTTGTTCCGCTGGCCCAGGAGGGTCGTCTCACACATCTATCGCCCATGGGCGAACCCAGGCAGTGGGCCTACATCAACATGGCCTTCGATGTCCTGGGCAACGATCTGTATCGGGCCATATACGATCGCTATGGAGAGGCGGGACTGTTCGAGGGAGTGATGCTGCCGAACGGGTACTTTCCGCCGTATCAATATGACGGCGACCACATGAGGGTCTATCAACAGGTCTTTGGCAGCTACTCACCCTATGCCAATGTGATCGATGCCATTGCCAATCCGCCGTGCTTGTATGCCACCAAGCAGCATGGCATTGGGGTGCGCTCCAAGGATTCGAGCACGGAGAGGATCATCGAGCTGTCTCTGGAGGAGGTGCGAACTGGCTGCATAAAGCTGATGAATGTATGGCGCCAGGAGATCGTAGATGCCAAGGAATCGCGGATGGAGAAGCGTAAGCACACTCTAAAGCTGAACATTGCCCCTGGAACCACGGCGGGAACTCGCTTCTGCTTCAAGGAGGAGGGCGACCGCTATCCGGCCACCATTCCGGGTGACATTATATTTATAGCTGCCGACAAGCCGCATCCGGATTTCGAGAGGAGGAACCAGCACGATCTGGTCTACAGGCACGCCATTGACTTGTCTCAGGCCTTCACCGGCTTCACTTTCTTCATTGGCACCCTTGATAGGCGGCAGTTGAAAGTGGTAATCACGGACGTGGTGCAGCCGGGTTACACCAGGGTGATCCCTCTCGAGGGACTCCCAAAATGCCGAAACCTAGACGCAGTTACAGCCATTAAAGAGGCTAACAAAAAGATAGAGCAGTTCGGGGACCTCATCATAGAATTTAATTGTACGTTTTCTTTTTGTTGGGAGTTCCTTTGTTAATAGTTTCCCCTTCTGCAGACATTTTCCCCAAGTATTTGACGCCTCGTATGAAACAAATGACCCGGGAGTTTTTCCGTGAATTCCGCAAGCTGGAAATTGAACTGGAGGAGGAGGAGGAGCGGAACATGGCTCAATAGAAGTCTCTTTATTGTTATCCCGCATTTAGAACACTTAAAATTGTGCGTACCTTATAAATAAATTTAAATTTTGCGTTCAAATGTTTGTATTACACCATTTTTTAGCATTAAAAACTTTCAGATAAATTATTTAACTTTAAAGCATGTAATAATTTAAAAAAAAACCTCTTTAAAAGAAAACAGTTGTAAGCAGAATGTGTATCCTTATGACACTTCAAGTTATTAAACTAAATCTTTATTTAATATTTCAAGTTAAATAGTTTTGGAATAGAAGAAAAGAGTTAATTTGAATTTAACAGTCATATTAAAACTTACACAAAGAGGTGGCATCCTTGCCGATAAATATCGATTATCTATCGATGCTACAACTCGATTAGTATCCGTTTGGCAGCCCTGACCATCAGCTGTTCAGGGAAAAAGAAAATGCATTTAAAAGATAAAAGAGATAATTAAAAATCAATTGCACAGCAAGTGGCCACCGAAAAGAGTGCAAAACGGGCGGAGAACACTTCGCGTCATCCACAGGGCGCAGTAACTGATCCGAACTGCTCCACTTCCAGTCCAAATCCGATTACCCGTTTCGCAGGCAACGTTAAGTGTGCCAACGCCACAACGCCCCCACCCAGAAGTCCATAGAAACGCCAGCAGCGGAAGTGGAATCACGCTCCACTGGCCCCTATCCCACTGCCACAAGATGCACCTCAGCGCGGACATCTCCAGTGCCCTGCAGCAGATCGAGGCTGTGAAGAAGGGTATCGATGAGTCCGACGACCCTAAGCTGCAGATGCAGACGGCCGAGAGCCTCAGCACCATCCTGGGCATCTTGCAGGACCCCGTCTTTCGCACCATCGTCCATGTGCAGGACTCGCTATCCGAGCTCAATGCCCAGCTGGCCCAGCACCCGTCCATGTTGCCCAACGACTTCGACATTGATGTGGCCGGCAACCTTGTGCTCAGCCTGAATGGCGGCGAGGTCATGTACGACTTTGACGACCAGCGCTCCTTGCACTCCCACTCGTCGCCTGGAAGTCCGGATAAGTCGGGCGAGGAGCCGCGCCCGCAGAGCCAGAACTCTAAGGGAGCTGGTGTGGCGGATCTGTACGCCACAGACTACGCCCAAATCCAGGCCATAGAGCTGGTCAACGACGGCACGGGCCTGGGGTTCGGCATCATTGGAGCCCGCAACTCTGGTGTGATTGTTAAGACTATCCTGCCGGGTGGCGTGGCTGATAGGGATGCACGCCTACGTTCGGGGGATCACATCCTGCAGATTGGAGACGTCAACCTGCACGAAATGGTCTCCGAACAGGTGGCCGCCGTTCTAAGGCAGTCTGGAACCCACGTTCGCCTGGTGGTTGCCCGTCCCGTCGAGCAGAGCGTTCCCACGCCTCAGTACGCCCTGGAACCAGGCACTGCTGTGGTGCCCACGCGCGTCCTCGTGGATCCCGCCGAGCTGGAGCGGTATCTTATTTCCACCGGCTATCCGGAGATCTTCGGCGAGAGCTCCACAGCCTCTACACCGCAGACCACCACAGAAGATGATCGATTTGTGTATCGCGGTGAGACCTCCATGCTGATTGATCCCAACATCGACCTCGAGGAACTGCTGGCTCTGCCCGAGACCGAGAAACTGCAGGTGGAGCTAAAGAAGGACGCCAACGGCCTGGGCATCACCATTGCCGGCTACGTTTGCGAGAAGGAGGAGTTGTCTGGGATTTTTGTGAAAAGTGTCTCGCCAGGTTCGGCGGCGGATCTGAGTGGCCGTATCCGAGTAAACGATCGAATCATCGAAGTGGACGGCCAGTCGCTGCAGGGCTACTCCAATCACCAGGCCGTTGAACTGCTGAAGAAGTCTGGTCAGGTGGTGAATCTCCGCTTGGAACGCTACCTGCGAGGACCTAAATTCGAGCAACTGCAGCAGGCAATCGCTGCTAACGACAAGCTTCCATCCAGCGCTCCTGGAACGCCTTCAAGGGCTCCCTTGCCCACACCAGTCGCAACCACATCCTCGGCCACAACTACGCCATCACGCAGTATAACCCGTGAGTTGGATGAGGAAGCACTACCGGCGCCGGAAGCGTTCATGACCACACCGCCGTCGGTCACCACAATGACCACAACCACTTTGAGCTCCTTTGGAGCGGGTAAACAATTGGTGGCGGTAAGAGATTCTCTTGATGGCTCCACGAAGATCATTCCCACGGAGGTCGTACCCCTGGCGGATAAAACAGAGGTGAGTAGCGATGATGAGTATCTGTCAAACCAATCTTATCTGGAAATCCACCTTTCCTAGGCCAAGAACAGCGGTGTCATCACCCGTCACAAGTATTACACCGATCCCGAGCTCTCCGACGACGCGGAAACCGAGATCATCCGTAAGTGGCAGAAGATTGTTGGCTCCGATGTGGAGGTTATTGTGGCACAGATCAAGAAATTCGCCGTCGGCGGCTTGGGAATATCTTTGGAGGGAACAGTGGACGTAGAGGGCGGACGGGAAGTGCGACCACACCACTATATCCGCTCCATTTTGCCCGATGGACCCGTAGGCGTTAATGGAGTTCTCCGCTCTGGAGATGAACTGCTGGAGGTGAACGGCGAACGGTTGCTGGGCATGAACCATCTAGAGGTGGTGGCTATACTCAAGGAACTGCCTTTGGACGTTCGCATGGTATGCGGGCGCAACAGGAACACCTCGTTGCTGCCCTTCTCGGATGACACCCTGAAAAAGCTGAGCAACAACTTTGAGAATCTGCTGCCCGCCACTGACCGCCTGGTGAAGGCCAAGTCGGATGGGAGTCTTGCCACCGCTGGCTCTGTGGCCGATTGCGATTCAGTGGCTGCTGCCGCCTCGTTTAGCAAGCTCAAGTCACGTTCCCTGGAGCCGTTGACCGGATTGGCCATGTGGTCATCCCAACCGCAAATCATCGAACTGGTCAAAGGTGATCGCGGCCTGGGCTTTTCAATACTGGACTATCAAGACCCGCTTGATCCCAACGACACTCTGATTGTTATCCGTTCTCTGGTTCCCGGAGGAGTGGCTCAATTGGATGGCCGCCTTATTCCCGGTGACCGTTTGCTATTTGTCAACTCTATCAACCTGGAGAATGCCTCGCTGGACCAGGCTGTGCAGGCTTTGAAGGGTGCATCGAAGGGAGTGGTGCGTATAGGTGTGGCCAAACCGCTGCCTATGACCGACAACTCACTGAAGGCCTGTAGCAATGCAAGCACCACCAGCGAAGAGACCCTGGACGCGCAGCCCTCGCCACCAGCCTTGCCCACAGCAGCACCGCCGGCTATGCCGCCCACTGCCTCCAAAGGAGCTGAACCGGATCTGATTCCTGACTGGCGAAATTAGGGAGATATAGGGAAAAATCGAAACATTCCAGGCAGCTGAATCTTTAACCCTGTTTCTCCAACCTAGCAAATCTGGTGGCATCGGAATCGGAAAGTTATTGGCAGTTAATTTCTTTGAATGAAAAAAGGATCCTTTAGTTACTACTAAGGCTACTAAAACCATTCCGATTTCGCCAAATTTTGAAGGATGTAAGAGATGCAGGACTTATTGTTATTACCGAATCAAAATGTTATAAATATTATTAGCACCGAATTGTGTTTGTCCCCTTAACACGCGCATTCCACAAGCATGCAATATCTAAAACCCCCTAGTATTAGACAATGAATTTTAACATGGTATTTCCAAAGTGTATGTACTTAAACTAAATTAAATAATATACCTTCCGTACGATCAATGAGTATCACTTGGGGAACGGAAAGGCTGGGCCTGGGGTTATTGCACCCGGTTCAGCTGTCGCTCAATTCTCATGTAGTTGCGCCTGGACAGGATTCGATCCCGCGCGTAGCTAACCAGGTAGCTCAGTAGTCCGATCACAAAACACAGCACCTCAAATTTCAGGAAGTTCATCTGCTCGATGAGCGCTACCCTGTCGCAGCTCCTGGTCACTATCTCCCCACTCTGGCAGCGCAGCACCTCCTTGTAGTGCGTGTGGATGCAGACGCCCAGGCTCCGGCTGACAATGTCGAACTCTGAGCACGGGTGACACTCCTCCACCACTTTGTACTTCTCGTTCCGCCAGCACGTCGAGTTGTCCTCGATGACGAACTGCGGCTCCCGGCGCCGAGGTCCTTCTGCGGCATATCGGGATTCCACGAAGAGGACTAGGATGGTAACCACCGTCAGTGCTCCTAGTCCTAGGAGCATATGATGCCGTTGGCAGTTCTCAAGCATTCTAAAGGCGGGAAAATGGCGCACTTTTTGGATTTAATTATCCTGGGAAAACTGGATTTAATAAGTGGTTCAATTTAAGGGGATACGGGTGAGATTACTTTGATTCCTTTTGTCTTGTTTTTGTTTTTTTTAGAAATCTGAGTCACAGTGTTACCACAGCTGGATGAATACAAAATTAAAGCAGGATCCAGTTCCATGAGCTTTCATTGGAACTAGATCGCACCTAAGTTTCCGATTGCTCGCCGAAGGGTGACCCCAAGCTGTTAGTAGCTTTAAGCCCATTTCAAAGTAAATTTTTTGAAAAGTTTGTATTTTAATTTTCTAATTATCTAACAATTTAATTTTCTAGTAGTAAAATGTTTTGTCCATTTTCTACGTCAGTTTCTGATGGCTTGCTAACGGTTGAATAAAATCTATACTTATAGACCTTAGTGATGTATCTCTTAAAGTTTTTGGTTTAATTCACATTTGCGTTTAAATAAACTTGTTTTTAAATTTGTTCGGCCTATGGCCGTTATATATTTTCAAAACATCTAAGATTACATTGATTTAAATTTCTTAAAAGTTATAAATTGGTAATCATTTTTAGCAAAGATAAAGGCTACCAGCCTTTTTATTTGTTTGGTAGATATAAATATAATTAGTTACGCTATAGCTCACGGAACTGTTGCGGTGTGACCAGTCGGCCGCCACCCAGCGAACTAGTTCCCTGTTTACGAACGAGAATGGACGGAGACCAAAACAATTACGGACGATAGGCACAAAGCGGACGTGAGAAATCTGTGAAAATTTGTATAATTCGCGTGTGGTGTGGGCGCATTGAAAATGGTGCTGCGATCGGGGATTATAATTCCGTTTCAGTTTCGCGACACAAAGAAGCTGCTGATGATCGGGGTGCCCGAGGAGAACCGTAACCTGAACATATGGGACCTGAAGAACGTGGGTAAGCAGTGGTGTGGACGAGGAGGGGGGCTCGCAAAATACGGAGCCCTTTCAAGTAAAATATGTAGAAAAACATGGAAAGCAATAAAAACATATCCCGCCCTCCACAGTGCGCGCCGCCTTCGGGATCTACAACTTTGAGTTCCGCAACAAGAAGATCGGCTTCAACATCCCGGACGAACTGTTGCTGCACTATCTGGCCCAGAGGCACGACCTCACCAACTTCGTTATAGAGATCAGTCAAGGTAAATAGCGTTTAAGTTACGGCTAAGTCGCGTTTCAATTAGCGTTTAAGCGTTCGAGTGACTGTTGGAACTCCGGAGTCGTAGTTTTCCGGGAATTTCTTAGATCCGTTGTGTTTATGTAGACGCGGCGTGCGCTTCGCTTGTAAGTCTCTGCAATTGCCATCTGTAATAAAACCCAAATTGTAAAATGTTCCCTCTTGCAGCCCTGGAGGATGGTCACGCCAAGGAGCTGCTCTCCTACGAGCCCTCCTGCTCGATGGCTGCCCTGAAGCAGCAGCACCTCCAGGCCCATCACCCTCATCCGCACCAGCACCACGTCCCACTGCCGCAGCGCTCAAACGAAAGCGTCTCGCACCATGCCCACGAATACGTGCCCGGCTCGCAGCCCACTTCCCCGGCACTGGGGATGAGCACTGAGGCCGTGGACTCGCCGCTGGAGCAGCAGGTCCACAACTCGGGATCGGAACCAACGGACAATAGCCACAAACTCCGCCTAGGTCAGGCCTACTCGGAGCGGACGCCCGAATCGCTCACCCAGTCCATTGACCCCATGGACATCATACCCAAGGCGGAGTCCGAGTCGGAGGTGGAGCGCCTACAGCGTGCCTCACGGTTTCTGGCCCGCCAGGAGCAGCAGCACCAGGCCCAACATCAACAGCATCAGCAACAGTTGCTGCCGGGTCAGCAGATATTCCCCAGCTACACGCACCCTTTGCCACCGATGAATGCACCGAATCCCACCCAACAGTCCCCCTATACGCCGGGTCTAATGAGTCGTTTCAGAAGTGAGAGTGATTTTTATTTCGAGTCCTTAATCCCTACATAATTCTTAAATATTCTCTTCAAGAACGCGGGGAGCGTATGTCCAAGGACCAAAAGGAGCTTTACGTCAAGTTTTTCGAAGATAATCCCTGTATGCTGTCGAACCACCGCCGCCACGATGGCCTTACTGAACCTCTGTGGGCCAAACTCGCCCACATGTTAAACAGTGTGCCCCAAGGAGCTGTGAAGAACGTGGAGGACTGGAAGCAAACCTTCGACGCCTGGCGCTATCGCATATTCATGTACACGCGCTACAATTCCAAGCTGAGCATGTCGGAGACGAGCGATCCGAAGAACTTCAAACCACTGACAGCCACCGACCAGAAAGCATACGCCATGTGGACCAGCCACAAGCACATAGCGCCGCAAGACTACGAGAAGATGGACATGTTCGTGCCTCTGGACGAGACCACCACGACCACAAACAGCTACGACTATTAAATCGGGATCAAAGTGCAAAGGATTAAACTGTTAATTTGTACTTTATTTAGTGCTAAGCGAGAAATATATTATAATTTAAGATAACGAAACTGTGTTTTTGTTGTTGGATAAGATTAGTTATAAGACCTATTGATCACCATATTAAGCTTTATAACCTAAATGATGTATTTATTTATTCCAGTGTATGATGTTGCCTTGGATAACTATGTGCTGAATCGCCAGTGCCGCTGTGCTGACCAAAAAATGCTCAACGACTCGCCGACTCCCGAGGAACCCACCAATCTGTGCCAGCCCAGCAATGTCCTGGAGGCCGCGCCCACTCCGCTTATGGCTCTGCCGCCTTGCGACGACGAGGAGCACGATCATGAGCACGAGCACGAGGAGAGCATGAAGTACCGGATCGATAAGGCCAGCAGCGGAGCCGCATCGGCGGAACTGGGTATGCCCGCCTACGAGGCCTGCTCGCCCAAGATGGACTATGATACGCAGGACGAGCTGCCTGACTCGCCGCACTCGCAGCCGCTGCCACCACCGCCTTTGCCCGCGGCCCTGCCGCTTCCACCGCCGCCCACCTCGCATCCCCAGCATCTGCAACAGCAACAACACGACGAGGAGCAACAGCAACTGTTGCAGGAGCGCATCCAGCACGAGTACATGATTCAGCAGCAGCAGCAACATCAGCATTTGCAACAGCAACACCAGCATTTGGCCCTCCTGCAGCAGCAGCAACATGAACAGCAGCAACAACAACAGCAACATCCGCAACAACAGCATGGAGTCAACATGGCCATTGGCACGACCACAACAAACAACATTCGACGTAAGTGATCCTCGTAAAACATTATACAACCAATTAAAATAGTGACTCGTTAAAGAATTAACAGCCATTTGTTGGGTGTTGAAAAACCCTAAAAATAATCATTATCTGAGTAATAAAGTTCTTAGCTTGGGGTCTTACATTTTCACATCTTTGCATTGATAGTAATTTCATAATGCTCTTAAGATCAGGAAATACCCACTTCTTCATATAATATTTACAAGTCCATAATATTTTTAATGTTCGATTACGGACCAAATATAATAAGTGCTTAAAGTCATTGTATCGTCAGTGATTAACTTAAAATTTACTTGAATTTCTCAACATACACAATATTAATAAATTAATCAAAAAAATGTATTCTAATACAAAAATTTTGATTTCCATTAAAGCACAAATATTTAAAGCATCCAATCAGTAAACCCATAAACAAACAAATGTCTTTAAATTCGATTTTACGCACACCATTAAACCTTCCAATTTTATCAAATGTATAATATTTGCATTAATTTGATCATACATTTGAATAATGCGATTAACATGTTTTTACGGACTGCATGAACAATGATGTTAATTAAGCCCCAACTGATTTCTCGCCCACAGAACGCAAGGAGCGCATGTCCAAGCGGCAGAAGGAGCTGTATGTGCACTTCCTGCAGCAGCACCAGTTCATCAACGATCACCGTCGCAACGATCCCGTGCTGGACCCCTACTGGCTTAAGCTGGCCAATCTGCTGAACGCAGTGCCGCAGGGCGCCGTGAAGCACGTGACCGAGTGGAAGCAGACATTCGACAACTGGCGCTACCGCATTTTTCTCTACGCGCGCTACAACTCCAAGCTGCAGGACGAGGAGGCCCAGAATCCGCGCAACTTCAAGCCCCTGACACGCACCGATAAGCAGGCCTATATCATGTGGATTCGGAACCCGGACACGGCGCCACCCGATCTTGACAAGATGCGCAACGTCTTCTGCAACCTGGAGGAGACGGTGGTGCAGCAGGAGTAGAAGCGGGGATTGCCATTGTCGTAGTTGTAACATTTCAAATCTTTCTTTGTCTTCTTTTAATGGTTTTTATCGTGTTAGCCGTGCGTATGTGTGTCGCTGTCGTTTTCCTGTTTTGGGAATGCATTTTCCTTTTAGTTTTTGTCATTGTTATGCTTATATGAATATTAAACATGTGTTTTTTTGAATGAATCGCTAATTTTAGTCGGAGATATGCACGCGATTATATTTAGACTCCAGCTGAGCAGTTCGTTTGCCCCAGCTGTGGTGTTTTGCATATGGTATAGCCACAATGAACTTTAATGCTGAACAGGTTATGGAATTATTAAGTGCGTGGTTTTATTCAACCCGCAGTTCTGGCAAGGATATCGAATTCGACAACGGTTTTGGCCTTGATTGATAGAGTTGTTTTGAGTGACTGACTCTACGACAAACTCCTTTCAGAACCAGCTCCATTTGTATTTCTACGTATCTCTCCATCTAGACACCCACACCCGTTTCGTCTACCGATGCTGATTAATTGGCAGCCCGCGGCGGTACCACATCCAGTGTGTGGCTTGTACTTGTCGCTAATCCCCCGGCCATTAATTATTCGTTCAATCATATCCGATACGCCTGATGCCGCCACACAATCGACACTCTTGACAGCTTTCGTGGGGATTATTTTTATTGGCAAATCCCGATAATAATTCCTTCTTTCGCCAATCTGCAATTAGTTCCAGTGTTTTTTGAACCTGAACCTGCAACTGAAACTGAAAAAGGGAGCCCCACCGATTAGCATATTGTTAATTAAAAAGAAATTGCTTGGGTTCGGCACGACATTGGCTTTGGCAAATACATTTTATTTCTTCTGATTAAATGGCAATTTATCATAAATTATTACACTTAATTGTGTAGAAATGCAAAGTGCTGCGCGACCATTCAGAATTCTTGTTTTATTGGCAACAGAACAGTGTTACATAAATAACTAACTTAAATGAGCGTATCAGCTCGGGAGATATTACAAATGACTCGTAATCGGGGGTGATACACCCCCGGTACCCTCCCTCGCCTTTTGTCTGTTATCTGCAGTGTTTCCAATTGCCATTCCTAATAACAATAAATGAACTCGCACTCATTCCAATCGATTCACTCCAATCCGCTCCGATCCAAAGGCATTGAGTTCGGTTATTGGCTGTGACTTTTTGCGGCCGATTGCCCCCGGTATCGGAGCTGTTCTGGCATATGGGTACATGCGAAAAAATAAGGACGTTTTTGGAATGACACGTGGAACGACTATAAAAATTGTATAAAATCATAATTTAAAGTCTTTATACCTCAACATAAATTGAAAATTAAAAACCAAAATTATAAGAACACAGCAAGTTTACAGAGGAAATGGTGTTTAAAATTACTTATTGTATTTTTCAGGGATCGTAATCATTACAAAATAATCCATATTTTTTAAATTTTATTTTGTTTTATTAAAAATTAAATACTTTTTATATTGTTGTATTCCTACTTATTATTTTGGTTATATTAAACCAAGACTTTCATTCAACATTTTATACCATTATCTTAAAGGCCTTTCTGTCGCAGAAATCTGTATAAATCAATATCTGGTCCTTTTGATATAAATACTTATTTTTTACTGTGCACCTCATATCTGTTGCGTCAGTCAGGCGTTCAATATCAATATTTCAGCATTCAGCATTTGCATTCGCGGTATCGTAGGCTGACGTCTAGGTGGCATTCGTTAGATGTGCCCGAGTATGAATTATGACAGGTGGGGAAAGACAATGCGAAACTTGGTGGCTGCCACGCGGATCGGTTCATGTTTAATTCATCTGTAACTGCATGTGGATATGGGGCACAGGGTAACCGGGTAGCTGCTCTCAGATCGGCCGTCGATAGCCGTTGACAGATTAATTCGAAGTTGCGAGTCCAGAAACCAGAAATATGACCGTGTCTTAAGAACTGGGTGGAGTTGGGCTGGGCCGCCGCGATAACAGCTCGGTTCCTAACCCAGATTCCGACTAATCCACTTCAATCCTGCACTGGTTTAAAAAAATTACCATATATTAGCCGCTCACTTTCAATAGTAATTTATCAAAATTAAAGTTATCACATCAGATTAGTTCGCACAGCAAAATTCTCCCACACTCTCACCCAAAAAAAAAAAATCAGTAAAAGACCAGCAGCAGTTTAGTCCCGAAAAATAGCCAACAAAAACGGAAAACTTCATCAGATCAATCATAGAGACATAAAAAATACTGTACAAAACGATAAAAACACCATAAAAGCGATAATAATCTTTTGAAAGACCTGTTTTGCCCAGCAATGATCAGAGCAGACCAAAGACAGTTCCAGCCCAACCGCCATCACCGCCCCACTGCACCACACACTTCACTAAGCCAAGACATACACAGAAAAAAAAATATATAGAGTTAAGAATTGAATTTAAATTAAACTCGTATTTAAATTTATTATTTTACAAGTATATATTAAATATAATACAAGTTTTGAAAGTATATATTTTAATTATACACAATTAAACATTTTTATAATTTCAAAAGTAGCCTATTATAAAAAAGCTAAGTTACTATAAAAATTAATTGGTAAATGTTCCAAGCCATTAGAAATAGTTTGAATTAGGTATAAATAAATCTATTGATTTGAAATCATATGGATATAATTAATATGGTAAGTTGAGTTGTAATACCAAACCTAAAATGAGATGATTTCTTTCTGTATACTTTACCAAAGGCAACTTGTCAGACCAAAGTGATCTTAACAGACATTTCTGTTGATTTACTATACGAACTTAAATACACAGACACACACATAATGGCAAAAACTTGTGTATGCTAATCGATAGGCGAGCTGATTGATATGCCTTTTTAATTGCATTTACAATTTAATTGACCTGAACTATCTCGCCGCAAAGGCAGAGCCGAAATCCAACAGAATCACTTAGCATAATTTTATGTCCTAACGAGGAAACAGATCTTCCATTAAGCGATACATTGTGAACCCATAAAATAAAATTAAATTAAATGCGAGAACACGAGTATTTTGCATTGACATAAGGCGATCGATAATTATACCGAGTGTTGGCTGCAGTCGCGGTCTGGAGCTCATTAACTTGGCCAGCCAATAAAATCAAACTCGGTTGACATCCAATCAAATTGATGGGGACAACCACTTCGTTGTTGTGGGGGCTTTAAAGTGTTTAATGAAAGAAATTAAAATACGTCAGCCTTCAGCTCATGCGTAAACAGCTCAGCAGCCTCAGAGTCTATATCCAATTTCAATGTCGCTCACGTAATCGCTCTCTGTAATGCCATTCAATTGTGGTTCAGTGTGGCTCGAGTACACACATGTGTGTGTTATCACTCAGTGATTTGTTGAAAGAGGTCAGGGATGCCCCACTCCCACGTAACATTAGGCCTACTATGTAGTAAGCCCTGGCTCTGAACGAACCCGAACCTTTTTTAGAGCTTAAAAAGAACAGTTCAAGAATAGAATTACCTCTCAAAAAAATAGAATATATATAATAAATGGAATTTAGTCTGATTCACCATTTAATCTCCATTTACCATTAAAATAATATCCATATATTTATAACATTATAAAATAAATAATCGAAATGGTGGTTACCAATTACAATTCATAAAAAGTTCCAAGTATTAGTAATGAAAACCATCAAAGTTTACAATTCTACCCAGCCACGTCATAAAAACCTTTAAAATTAATGCTAATTAACGTTTATTTTAATAATGTGTGTTTAAATTATTTATAAAAATACATTTATTGTATTTTTACATTTTTATTGAATTACTTCAATAACAATTAGTGAAAATATCAAACAAATCTGGAAGCGGTATGCAATTATTATTACGTAATTTATGAAATATTTCTAAGTTAAACAAATCATTAATAACTTAGTAATGAATTATTAAGCACATCGAAATATTTGCTCAGACTAATTGAAAACAATCAGAATCAAAAACAAAATTTCGGGTCATTAAAATGAAAAACGGAAACGAATTAAATTATCCCGGCTTTATTTATTAAACAAGTGTCTGAATATTTAATTATTGAATAACAAATGTATTATAAAAATAAATACTAGCCAACATGTACATAACTCTTGAAAAATACTTCGTTCAGCTAAAATATATATTTATTATTATTTATAATTTTAATTAGTTTATAAAATTAACAAAATTATGAGTAAATAAGACTTGTATTTTCCTTGATTAATAGTGTACCCTACTAATCTTAAAGCTATTAAACAATTGGATGACGTATGTTACCTAATAATTATAAGTTTAATAAACTTACTTTTAATGACTTAAAAATCGCTTCGAAATTATTATTTACTTAGAATTCCAAGAATCCAAGTAAAAATCGGCAAAAATAAATCAGACTTTTTTGTATTAAGCCACACTTATTTATTTAATACGTTTAGGTTAAACGCCTTAATTAATAACGACAACATATTTATTTATTATTGATTTACTTCATCTCAACATGCTGCCCCAATCTTGGCAACATGTTTTAAAGAATCCAATGCCGGAAACGGCCCTAGCAACATGTTGCTCAATGGGCCACATATGAAAACTGGCTGGCAAAAAATGAGAAAAACAAAAATGAAAAATAGAAAACAAAGCGAAAAACAGCCGAAGTCGGAGCGGGTTGGAGTTCGGGCTCGGCTTTTAAGTTCGGGCCTGGCTGAAAGCCGTCTGGCTGATTCGCAAACCAGCTGATGAGGCCGACAAATCGGGAGACGGAGACTTTGTGCTGATGCTACCACATTCGCTGCTTTCAGTGTGGCCCGTGTCTTCAATGAGTTTTGTCACGCTTTAGCGCAAACACAGCGGTACGATATCGAGATCGAGATCCCTACGCCACCAGATATACTATATATCCTCCTGATTTCCATCATCAGCAGCCAGCAGCAAAGTATGTGCGGTGTCAATTGATGAGGCAAACATGCTAAAATATTACTGTGTTGTGAAGTTCTCTCGTTAAGTGCAAGAAACAAATAAAAATAAGAATAAACAAAAAAGAAAAAAAAAACATAAAAGGAGCGTAAAAACAAAAGACTTGGGCAACGAACTTGCGTGCTGCAATGCAGACAATTTATAGCCTGCAGGCTATACTGCGCAGCTGCTGTCGCAGGCGTGTTAAATTTATGCAAATAAATAAATCAATTCCACAGAAGATAAATAAAATTGAAGGCGTTCCGCCGTTTTGCACGCACCAAACACTTTAAGGCATTTGTCAAAACAACCGAAAAAAAAAATATGCATAACCAATCTAGAGAAAAATCATTTTTCCGAGCTGCCATAAATTAAACCTCGCCCCTGACTTTTCTCTCCAGCAAAAAAAAAAAAAAAATAAATGAAGGGAAAAACGCTTATGGCCTCTTTAAATGCAACAACTTGGAAATAAGTTTTTGAACAGGCCGCATATTATTATTATTATCATGAGCAGCCAACTCACATTTAGTTTTGCTTTATCTTCGCATAGCTTTTGCTGTTTAATGTGCCGGAAATGTTTTCTCAGCGCAGCAGATAATTGTGAGTACTTGAAGTTGGGTGTTGCCAATGATTATAAAACCTTGTTAATTTGCGCAAATTGGTTTTGCATTGTGTCAAGACCAGAGACGTAGCATCTTCTCCGACTAGTTTGTCGGCTCTATAAAAGTTAAATGTTTAATTTATGCACATAATATGGTTCCTTAAATTGACTTAAGGTCACCTGATCTGCGGGCTTATTACAGCTGAAACGGGTTTGCCTTGCTAGTCGCTAGAGATTCTTATGAATACTAGGCCCATGCTCGTTCGGTGACCTCCAGTGCGAATTTTGACGCCTGAAATCTCATGCGATAGAGTAAGAGTCCGTCTAAACATAGTCACGTTCCGATTGTTAGCCGTGACATGGGCCGGCTCTTTTGGCCGGGCAGTACATACTGGCACGCCTTCCTCCTCGGATATTTACGATGGCAAATAGCTGGGACTTGGACGGCACTTAAAATGCGTGGCATGTGGCTCGCTTTTGGCTCCACTTTGCGACACTGTGTGGCCAAAAAGACCAGACTCGCCACGCCAAAGGCAATTGAAAATTACCCCGTACCTTAGATTTTCAAGAAAATGGTAAATGGTAAATGGTCATTTAAATTGGTTCCAATGTTTACGCATGCGCGACAGATCGTGCGCTCCACCCCCTCGGACAGTCGCAAAGTAAACAAAAAAATACCATCTTATCAGGCCGGGCCATGTGTGGAACGAATCTCGATCTCGATCTCCGCCAGAAAGCCAAAATGCTGCCATGGACATGCTGGCAATTGAGACGCCAAACAGCCAAACTGACAGAGTCATCGTCATCGCTGAGACACAATCACCGCCAAAAGTAACCATTCACTAGGGTCCAACTAAGTAAGGGGATTGCATAATGAGCGGGCCCCATTACATTTGATATTTACCTTAAATCTGATTTGATATTGTCCCACACGTCATTCGATATGCCAGAGTCGTCTACAATTACACCAGGCATCAGATATATAGGCTATATACCTCGTTAATGGAAGTGATGTCTGATTTCTGATTGAGGCTGACCAGGTGACCAGTTGACCAGTTTATCGGTGCACAGCAGTTGCTAAAATAAATTAATAACAAATCTGTATGTAGAGGACAGCCGAACAACTTTCTGTGCTAAAATTGCAATGCAAACTTCAAGTGCAAACTTCAAACAAAGTGATTGTAGTAAAATGTCTAAAATGTCACCTTTCAATAATTCAACTAATATTTTTGCAGTTAAACGACTTAGAAGTATCGGGTTTCATTTGACCATATCAAATAACAAAATGGTAAGTACTCATTTTTTATTATTTATTGTAATTTTTAAGCCGATTTCCGCACTGTAATTGAGTTCAAACACGTGTAGCCCGCAATTCGATTGGCTCGTGCTTTTTCTTGGGTAATCAATGCCCAAGTATTTATGCATTTCTCGATTTTGTGTTTGCTCTCACATAATTATACCCTTGCAGAGGGTATTATAATTTTGGTCAAAAGTGTGCAACGCAGTGAAGGAGACATCTCCGACCCTATAAAGTATATATATTCTTGATCAGGATCACCTCCTGAGTTGATATAGCCATGTCCGTCTGTCCGTCTGTCCGTCTGTCCGTCTGTCCGTCTGTCCGTCTGTCCGTCTGTCTGTCCGTCTGCCTGTTTCTACGCGAACTAGTCTCTCAGTTTTAAAGATATCGAATTGAAACTTTGCACACACCCTTCTTTCCTTTGCACGCAGTATATAAGTCGGAACGGCCGGGATCGGCCGACTATATCCTATAGCTGCCATATAACTGATTGATCGGAAATGCCATAACTCTGCTGTTTGTTAGGTTAGGAAGTTGGGACTTTCTATGGGTTTTATATTTGGCCAATCAATCCGACGTACCAAATTTCATAAGGATCGGCCGACTATATCTTATAGCTGCCATATAACTGATTGATCGGAAATGCCATAACTTTGGTGTTTGTAAAGTTAGGAAGTTGGGATTTTCTATGGGTTTTATATTTGGCCAATCAATCCGACGTACCAAATTTCATAAGGATCGGCCGACTATATCTTATAGCTGCCATATAACTGATTGATCGGAAATGCCATAACTTTGGTGTTTGTAAAGTTAGGAAGTTGGGATTTTCTATGGGTTTTATATTTGGCCAATCAATCAGACGTACCAAATTTCATAAGGATCGGCCGACTATATCTTATAGCTGCCATATAACTGATTGATCGGAAATGCCATAACTTTGGTGTTTGTTAAGTTAGGAAGTTGGGATTTTCTATGGGTTTTATTTTTGCCTAATCAATCCGACATATCAAATTTCATAAGGATCGGCCGACTATATTCTATAACTGCCATATAACTGAACGATTGGAAATGCCATAACTTTGGTGTTTTTAAAGTTAGGAAGTTGGGATTTTTTATGAGTATTAAGAATGCATTATGAATGATTTTGGAGAATATAATTTGCAGAATATTCTGCAAGGGTATTTCAACTTCGGCTCCGCCCGAAGTTAGCTTTCCTTTCTTGTTTTTTAAATAATTACATCCCAAACACGATCATCTGAATGAAATTGACACACACTCTTAGCAACTGCATAAATTTCGCATCAACACATGAGCAATCCCAAGCATTCGTGTCATTGGACCTTGCATTTTAAGATGGGTAAAATAAATATGTAAATATATAAAAAAAAAAGATATATCAAATAAATCAGAAATTTGGAATCTCAAATACTGTAAGATAAAGAAGAATTTAGCAAGAACAATTTTTGTAAGACCTTTCTAAAAAATAATATAGAAAATGTCTTACAAAATGTGTTTAAGATTCTTGGATTATTAAAAACTTACCAAAACAGTGGAGAATTATTATTAATAATAAGCAAGGTTCTTTGACAAGTTTAAAGTAGCTTTTAAATTGGGGATTCACATTAAAGCAGATAATTATAAATTTCTAAGAATTTATAATCTAAGAAAAACAAGAAATGTAATCCTTATCTCCACCAAACAAACTTCTGTACTTCTGTTATTTAACTAAGCACAGAAGGCATAATAAGTTGGTTAGAAATTTACCAGCTTTTACCAGCGGTTCCCAGAGCCTTTTAATATATATTAACAAATATTAAACAATACAATGTAATCGGATATGTGGCCGTTTCCCATAATCTGGGGTGCACCGCCAAGGGCAAACCACATAAAACCACTCTTTCTGCACACAGAAATTGCAGTTGACAAAGGCAATGACCCACAATTGCCCATGTGAGTGCCGTTGAATGTCGATTCTTGTTTATTCCGTACGCATTGTTCTGTGGCAAGTTTGTTTTCCGACTCTTATTTGTACATTTATTAAGCTGCTGGGCCGATGTCTCACCGGAAATGAAAACACTCTGCTCGTTCGGTGAAATCAGCGTCATTAATTGTCAAAATACGCAAGGCAAAAACAATATTTGTGCAACATCATTTAAGTAATTAACGTGTTCGATTATTTTTATAATTCTGTTTTTGGCGATTTGCCACAGACAAAGAGCCCGCAGCGAAGCATAATCATATTAATATGCAATTTGTTAATTTAAATGACTTCCTCAAATGGAGATGGAGATGCTCAAATTGATGTTGCACGATGTTTGGTTTTTTAAATTTAATATTATAAATAGGTATTTCTTTCAACACCTGGTAGGGCGTGCAATTTGTCAGTTACCGTTTACATTGTGATTCAAATTGTGGGTTTGTGCGATTGAAAAATCATAGAGCAGCATATCGGTATTACATCCATGACTTAATGCTGATTTTATGCAGAAACCGAACAAAGCACAAATTATACAAATTAACGGCCGATTTCGGTTTGTTTACAAAACAATCAAATGCAACTTTAGCCACGCTCCGAAATCATTTTCAACGCTAACGGTAGCACATTGACCTCCTGAACACACAGCAAACCTATTGTCTTGACCAATGGGCCATTGTTTTGGGCTGGAATTGATTTGACTCGATATTCGAGTTGATTCGTTTCGTTTCGATTTATTTATTTTTCCCATTTTCACAACATTCCTGGCTAAAAGTTCAAGACACTTAACTGCCTGACAGGCATTAAGTTTTGGTTCCGTAACCGTTGATTAGGCGTCTTGGGTTGCAGTTGCGTTGAGATTTATGATTAGCGCCCGGGTTAGTCGGGCCACTAAGACAGCTTAAAAACAGCGAGACGCATTAAGTGCCCTACTCAAAATGCAAGTTATTACGTCTCGAAGGTTTTTCTCAGTCTCTACGTATTTTTCCACAATTTTCCTTTGCGAAACGGAGCCGCCCAAAATGCCAGAAATTCAATGAGCCTCTGCTATCGAGATGGAGTCAATCAACTGGCCAGCTGAAAACCAGAAATGTCGAACTGGCAAAAAATGTCTTGCCCTCCGGCATTCCCTGGGACATATTTATGGAGATGGAGATCGGTGGCCTAGGAAATCTGGCAGCAGCCCCTTTGGAATGTCCAGAATGAATGACTTTGCTGAAACATTTGGGGAGATCTCCCGGTGATACCATTGTCCCAATTGGTTACACTTTGGAGTTGAGCGAACTTTAGCATTCTTTGGTTTTTAAGTGTGGCCAATAAAATATTGAGAGCGCAGATTTAAAAATCTTGGGTATAAATTAATTTGTCCGTAGGTAAAGACTACGTTTTTCAGTAAATAAAATATATACATTTATTTTCAATATATGAATATAGGCATACTCTACTTTTTAATATCAATGTATATTTCAAAATTTAATTAAAGATCGAAAACTACCACAAACATTACAAATTTTAAGAAAAACCAAGGCTACAAATTAATGGAATATTTGTTAAGGTTATATCATAAATTTTAAAATAAAAGCTTTGAATCTACTTCAGAAGCCGTGTGTATCTGAATGTATAATGTATTACGCAACCGTTGAGATGCTGCCTCAGCTTCTGTAACCGCTTCTCGAGTCATTTATCGAATTTAATCGCGGGCAAAGTACGAGTATTTAATTTGCCAATTTTTCGTGTTAATTAAAAGTTGACCACGCCCCTTGCATGTTGTGTCCGAGCGAGTGAAATCAGCAAATTCAGCATCTCAGCATCTCACATCTCGGTACTGAAAAAGGTCAAGTTTGCTCTGCTCTGTCAGTTTGTCTGGGAACAATTCCGATGGCGAACAATGCCTGTCATGTAAATAGAATCCACCTACACATCATGGTCATGCTGGCGATCTACGCAGATTCGTAATAAATGTTTAGAGAAAAACAAGAAATTCGCTTATGAAAAGATTTAAATTTCATTAACCCCAATGCTTAAAAAAATGCGCATTTTGGCAGCGTAATTGAAATCAACATGATGTCTACTTATTTATTAATATTCTCTGATTACATTTTTCTGCCCATTTTTTGTTTGCTCGGCTGATTGACTCCCACGTCTGGTTTGCTTATAAATTTTTTTCGGGTATTCGATTTGCAAATCATTTTTTTGGCCATCGATTATTGTTTATTATTCTTTTGTTATGGATATGGACTTGACTTGGGCTGAACTTCTCTGAAATAGCATGGGAACAGTGTGGCAATTAATCAAAGTGCATAATCATACTGCTTTTCTTGCCAACTTTTTGGTTTGCCTGGGAAAGTATGCAAATGCGCAGATTTCATTAATGAGAAATCTTTGCTTAATTCATTTGAGTTTCGCATGGGAGCATGGGATATTAGAAGGCAGAGAAAGCTTTGCGGTTATTCTTTTGAATGTATCAACTTCCCATCTGTCAATATCATTGCAATTTGTACCACTTTAAAATATTTAAAAATCACTTTGGCTCTTCAGCCTGTAACACGATACTAGACATTCTAAATTTCGAAACTAGGGTAGCCTCAAAAATCGTTCGATGAGGCACCTTCACCAAACCAAGACAAATCGCTGCCAATCACCTATCATAACTCAAGACACATCTGCCACCGAACAGACAGATCAAAGAGGCTGGTGTGCCGGTCTCCCAGCACAAGGTTATGGCGAAATATCGGTTGAGCTGCACTCAAGAAAAATATAAATCTAAATACCTTGAGAAATATATTAAAATATATCCTTAATTATTAGTTTTTTTTAGCCTTAACTTGTCATATACATTTTTATTTTAACGTAATCCTTAATGTAGTGTTAGATATTGGAAACACTTATATACAAATGATTTTAAATAAAATTAAAATTAATATATTTTTTGGAAATAAAACCTAAATAATGATAGTAATTGCATTGTGATTGATTACTGAACCTATTGATCTGAAAACGCATAAATATTTCT